GCGGTCGCATTTCAAAAAGACAAAGCAGCGCGCCGGCGCTGGTCGCCGGCCAAGCTTCGAGTCAACCGTGGTGTCGCGAAGCGCACCAGGAAGCAGCACGCAATGGAATACCGGCCACAGAGCCCTGACCTGTCCGGGTTGTCCACCGAATCCTCGTATCGGCCGGTCAGTCCGCAGCTGGGACAGCTTGGGGAAATTCCCATCTCTGGTTCCCCGTCCTTTGTGCCACAACAACACTTCTTCAACAACAATAACAACTACGCCGACTTCCAGACACCCGTCACCTCCTTTCCACAACAATCGCCGCAGACCTACCACTACCAACCACAACCGCATCCCGGTATGCCGCCCACGACGCGACGAAAACAGGTCAACTACGCCGAGCAACCCGACGACGATGATGACTTCATGCCCGATGCACCTACTGCCAAGAAGGCAAGACGAGTGAAGCAAGAGCCGATGGATCCCTTTCACAACGGTGCATTCGAGCCAGTACCCTCACCCGCGCCCATCAAAAGCGAGCCCAACAAAGATCCGACACTGGGTTGTCAGATCAAGACTTCGTTCCCAGTAGCACGCATCAAGCGTATCATGCAGGCGGATGAAGACATCGGCAAGGTCGCTCAAGTGACCCCGACGGTCGTCAGTCGTGCCTTGGAGCTGTTCATGATCAAGCTCATTTCAGCGGCTGCACACCAGGCACGAGGTCCTGAAGGGACTAGTGGGGCAGGAAAAGGCCCTAGGAGGGTGTTGGCACAGCATTTGAAGAAAGCAATCGCCTCGGATCCACAGCTCGATTTTTTGGAAGAAATCGTAAGCAAGGTGCCAGATGCGCCAACGAAAGCAAAGAAAGAGGCAGGCAGCGACTCTGAAGACACCAAGCCCAAGAAGAAGGGGAGAAAGAGGAAGGACTCGGGCGATGACTTCTGAACCAAGGCGGACTGATCACGAATGACTGTAACGATACTCCGCCATGGCCTACTGATTTCTGGGGGCCACTCGAAGACTGGCATGCGAAGTGCTTTGCCGTCGTCGAGAGACTTGCTTCGATCGAAGCACATATCTGCAGCGGTGTCATCTGACATCGAAGTGGACGTTTTGCAGCGCACAAAAACGTACCTGCCCTTGCTATCAGTCGCATCTATGCTGAGAACGCTGGCCTACGAACCACGGGGAACGACATCCATCATGAGCGATCCGAGCATCTTGGCGGCACGATGAAGGGTATGGATATTAGGACGGTCCTTATGGATACGCTTGACGATGGTATGATGCCAAGATGCATCTCATTTACGACTCGTTCTCGCGCCGCTCTGTCACGAAGTCCGACGGCACTTTCGACGAGGTCGTGCACGGCCGTCCTGTCAACAGAATTGGTGCCTACGGCTGCAAGTCTTTTATACTTGTTCTTTTGGCACCGGTCTTCGGGCGGCGGGCTCTCCTACCCGAATAGGCAGGGGAAGCCTACCCGCGTCTGCCGTTTACCTTGCCTGCCCCGCACCTACTCCAGGCGCACCAGATGAGGAGCGAATATATAGAACATTCGATACGTCAAGGCCTATTCAAAGACCGCTATTCACAAACTACTCGTCGTCTTCTGACCCATCGTGTGGCTACTGACCGGCGCGTTATTATTTACAGAACATTGCACACCGCAACCATGGTTACCCAACAAAAGAGTCTCAAAGACGTGAAGAACCAGAAACTACTGCGCACCCAGGGCCTCATCAATGGCGAATGGATCTCCTCGTCCTCTTCCAAAGCCACATTCGATGTCATCGACCCGGCCACCCTCGACCACCTCGCCACTCTCCCCGAAATGAACAAGACCGACGTATCCCAAGCCATCGACGCCGCCCACACAGCCTTCAAATCCTACAAAAAAACCACAGCTCGCTCCCGCGCCCGTCTCCTCCGCAAATGGAACGACCTCTGCCTCTCCAACGCCGACGACCTCGCCCTAATCATGACACTCGAAAACGGCAAAACCCTCACAGAATCCAAAGGCGAAATCCTCTACGCCTCTTCTTTCCTCGAATGGTTCGCGACCCAAGCTGAAATGACTCACGGCGAAGTCGTCCCGCCCGCGAATCCTAATCAGAGAATCGTGACGTTTAAGCAACCTGTTGGTGTAGCGGCTTGTCTTGCTCCGTGGAATTTTCCTGCTGCGATGATTACGAGGAAGTGTGGTGCTGCTTTGGCGGCGGGTTGTACGACTGTTTGGAAACCTGCGGGTGAGACGCCGTTGACTGCTTTGGCGTTGGCTGTGCTCGCTGAAGAAGCGGGGTTTGAGAAGGGTGTGATTAATGTTATAACGAGTTTGACAACTGTCGCTGAAGTCGGAGAGGAATTGTGTACGAATCCGAAAGTTCATAAGGTATCTTTCACGGGGTCTACGAGGGTGGGGAAATTATTGATGAAGCAATGCTCGTCAACGTTGAAGAAACTCTCGTTGGAATTGGGAGGGAATTCGCCTTTTATTGTGTTTGATGATGCGAAGATGGAGACAGCGGTTGAGGCGGCTGTTCTTGCCAAGTTTCGGAATAGTGGACAGACTTGTGTCACGGCGAATCGCATTTTCGTTCAAGCGGGGATTTACGAGGAGTTTGCAAAGCGCTTAGCGGAAAGAATTGGGAAGATGAAAGTCGGTGCTGGGACGGAAGAGGGTGTTTTCGTGGGCCCTTTGACGCATGATCGAGCTGTGGAAAAGGCAATGAAACATATCGAAGATGCGAAAAAATTTGGCGGGAATGTTGTCCTCGGAGGCGCACCAGCTAAAGAATTCGGAAAAGGGTATTTTCTGCAACCTACGCTGATTACGAATATGTCGGAGGAGATGATTACGACGAGAGAGGAGACTTTTGCGCCTGTTATGGGGTTGTATAAATTCGAAACTGAAGAGGAGGTTATTGAGAGGGCGAATGATTGTGATGTTGGATTGGGGAGTTTCATTATTACGGAGAATCAGGCGAGGAGTTGGAGGGTTGCTGAAGCACTTGAGGTTGGAATGGTCGGAGTCAATGTCGGTATGCTGAGCGCGTGTGAGTCTCCGTTTGGTGGCGTGAAGGGGTCGGGGTTTGGCAGAGAGGGTGGCACGCAGGGGATTAATGAGTATTTGGTCACCAAGGCTATGCTTATTAATGTTGCAAGTGAGTTGCACGTCACTTGAGATATGTGTGCACCTGGCTAACGCGAGCAGATTAAATCTGTCGCTCCGTTCGGTCGAGCTCTTGTAATGGAGAGCGTTTTTTCTGGGGATTGCCTTGGAAACACATAAAATCGGACAGACGACGGAGAAGCTGGGCTTCACTTCACCTGCGCGCATCGCGCACATCCCTGTTCAATGGCTTGCGCTAGCGTGGAAAATGATATGACAAAAACTTTGGAAGCTTGCACGTTCTTCCTCTCTCCAGCAACGATCGAAAACATACTGATAAGTGAAATTTCTTCTTTTTGTGCGAGCTGTTTGGCGGCGGCGGAGGAGGATGATGAGGACAATAACGAGAAAATAGCAATGGAGGTACGCGAAGTTATTCCACAGCTCTGTCGCTGTCGAGGACCTTGTCCGTCACTGGAAACCATTGGCCTTCGTGGAGTCTGTACCGCAGACGAGCGCCACGCTGAGAGTCCGGCCTGTCTTGATCACGCTCCACGTTTTCGTTTCTACGAGGCCGCAACAGTCCATCGATGTTGCCGATGGGCATAGACATGTTGTGCTGTCGCCAGAGTTAGCCGTCGGAGGCAAGTTCTGTGGATTGAGGTTCGTGCTGATGGACGTGAAAGTATGCAGGTCGGCACGTCGGCGGGAGGCGGTGGCAGCTGTCAACTATGCGCACATGCCACTTATCCAAAACATCACCATAGACCTCTTCGCCCAAAAGATCAGAGAACTTCGTACTTTACCCGACCGCTGGGGCATCGAATCCCTCTGGCGAAGAACTCACCCCGGTTGCCATCTCCGCGCCCTCCTCGTCGAGCTCATCCGCGCAACGTTTATCAACGATAATCAAAAATACCGCTCTCTGATCTGGAATTCTCTCGTCGGCGGCAACAGCGCGACCCCAGAGGGACTTGTTTCTACGATACAAGAATTAGAGACAAGCGGATACGGAATCTGAGTGAGCGGTTGAAGCATGAGGAGAGTGGACGCTATCTGCTCATGGCGTTTAGCAATGATCAATTTGTGTAAGATCGACTTACGATCCATTCGCGGAGATTGCTTACAAACACCCCAGCGAGCACGCCGAGCGCGCCTTGGAGTTGTTCAGAACACTTAGCGATACTCCCAAGCCTAGGCGCCTAATACAACGCGCCCAGAGCATCCTTGAAGCTGCCAGAAACGACTTCACTAACGGCCATAACGATATGTTCTCATCGACTGAAGACAAAGACGCCCGCGATGACGAGGAAGAAGGTGAAGAGGAAGAAAGCGCTGAAGTCCTAGAGTTCGACCTCGTAGCAATCGTACACGAGTGTGAAGCCAAAGTCAGACAAGAGCGAGAGGAGGAGCAACTTGAGCAGGAGCAACTTGAGGAACATCTTCAGTGCCGACTCGAAATATAATCTTGAGAATTCGCCAACAACGAGCCGAAAGGCCATAGATTTAATGGAGAAAGTCTGGCGGATAATGTGTCTCTCGATGATGAGATAATGAGGAGGTTGGAGGAGATTGGTGGAAAGCGTTGTTCGTAAGCAAATGGACAAAGATAGATCCTCAGCTGGACAGAAATGACGTTGACAGAGTATGCCAAATTAATCTTGAAACTACAGACTAATTGAGCAACTGTCGACTTCTAGCGATGATCAGAACAGGAAGTAACAACGGTTGCTGACCGAATCTTTCCCCGGCTCAAAATTGGGCGGTAACGAATCTTCACCCTGGAATATGACACAGACAACAAAATGTCTGATCTCCATGTTCACGACGATGGCGAAGGTTGCGATGATCCGGATGAGAGGTTTATGGGGGTTGGAAGAAGGGCGGAGAGGGATATTGTGAGGGAGCAGAATTTGCGGAGGGGTAGATGGTGAGGAGTTTCACTTTTGGTGATTTGGGCAGTATTGTGGAATGCTTCGGATGGGACTGACTATGCGTAGGTGAGGAGGGTGGAGAAGGTGGGAGATTGGCGAGGCAGTGATGAACGGAGATAAGACTATAATGAATAGTAGTGAATGAAACTCGCCTTTCGTCTCTCCGGGTACGGTTATTTGTAGGCCAGTGCGCTGAGATGCCTCGTCCAACTCCAGGGCTCGATCAGATGGAGTAATGAACTCGACTACTCAGGTGAGCCAAATGGACATGGAGCAGAATTAGTGGTGAACGAATCCCCACTCCTTGTCTCTTCGGTGTGGACAGGTTGCAAGGCGACCTGGACACAGATGCTCTGAGACCAAAAAAAATTCGAACAGATGGAGCGTCGTAGCTGTCGCTGCAGGCCCGATGCTTTCCCAGAATTCACAGACGCTGTGCAGGAGCTTGAGTTTGTGGGAACCTTGAAACGCTGGGACTACAATTTCGCCCTACTGCATCCAACATTAGTACAGGGAGCTGTTCATATCGAAACAGCTCTGGAGAAAAAATAAAAGGGTTCATGAGTTTGAAATCATCATAAATATATGTCAGTGTCGGGTAGGACCCCTCCGACCAATTTCATCAATCGCCCGAAACAACATCCTCCTTCTAGCTCCCGCGTGCTGGGACTTACACTTCAGATGCCTCCTCATTCTTCGCCGCGCCTTCACTAATCTCCTTCGCCTCCTCCTTATGCCCAGCCTCAGCCTCTTCTTCCGCGAGCCAGCCCCTACTCATAGACACAGCCTTCTCCCACTTCTTAAACATTTTCTTACTTGCTGCCTCCTCCATTGCAGGCTCGAATTTCGTCTCACCAGCAGTATTGATCTCCTTTAGCTCATCGAAGCTCTTCCATACCTTTGCAGCGAAACCAGCAGCGATACCAGCACCAAGTGCAGTCGTTTCTCTCATCTTCGGTCGCACAATGGGAATTCGTACGAGGTCTGCTTGGGTTTGCATGCACAAGGCCGAGTTACTCATGCCGCCATCGACCTTGAGTTCAGCCAGTTTGTGTCCACTGTCTTTCTCCATGGCATCGAGGATGGCTTTCGTTTGGAAGCAAACAGCTTCGAGTGTAGCACGAGCAATGTGTCCGCGTTTGGTGTGGTGTGTTATACCGAACTAGATAGCGTGAGTAATGATCAAGGACTACAGAGTTAGCGACTTACCATCGTTCCGTGAGCATCATCGATCCAGTAAGGTGCGAACAAGCCACTGAAAGCCGTCACAAAGACCAGGCCACCATTATCAGGAACTTGCTCTGCAAGCTCGGTGATTTTGTGGCTTGCGTGGCTGAAGCCAAGGTTCTCCATGAGGAACTTCACTCCTGAGCCTGCCACTGCAATACTGCCTTCGAGTGCGTATACCGGCGTGCCAAAGTCGTACGCCACTGTTGCCAGCAGCCCATGAGTGGAAATGACAGGCTTCTCACCAACATTGTATAGCAAGAAGCATCCAGTGCCATATGTATTCTTTGCCGCACCTGGCTCGAACCCCTTTTGTCCGACCAGAGCTGCTGACTGGTCACCGAGACATCCCATAATAGGCCAGCCCTTGAGTGATCCCGAGTCTATCTTTCCGAAAGCCTTCGCATCAGAAGATGGCACGATCTCGGGTAGGTGAATCTTCCGAACGTCAAACTCGTAGGAGAAGAAGTCGAGCATTTGCTCGCTGTACTTGAGCTTGTGAATGTCCATGAACATGGTTCTGCTGGCATTTGTGGGGTCGGAGACGAAGACGTTGTTAGTAGGCCCGCCGTTGAGCTTGTATATGAGCCATGCATCGATTGTGCCAAACGCCAGTGTTCCAGCCTCATACGCTTTTGTCACTTTCTCTTCATTCTTGAGAAGCCACAGCAGTTTGGTGACAGATGGATATGTGGAGATGGGAAGACCGCAGACATCGGTGAGCTTGTCGCTGTCTGGACGTGCTTTCAGCTCGCGCGCGAGAGCAGCTGTTCTCGTATCGGTCCAGACAATGGCATTGTAGAGGGGCTCGCCGGTCTTGTTGTCCCATACGACTGTGGTTTCGCGCTGGTTGGTGATTCCAATGGCTTTGATGCTGTCTTTGGAGTGACCGTCTTGCTCAAACTTCTTCAAGGCGCCTTCGATACAATTTTGCACCGACTGGACAATCTCATCCGGGTCATGCTCGTGCCAGCTGGAGGGAGGTTAGCAAATACACCTCCTTGGACATCGAGAGGCAGACGGACCCTGGGTTGGGATAGATCTGGCTGAACTCTTCCTGATGCACAGCAACCGGCTCTCCTGCTTTGTCAAAGATCAAGAACCGCGAGCTGGTCGTGCCCTGGTCAATGCTGCCCACGAAGACTTCCTCCGACGACGCCATGATGCGATCTCGAGCTGCAGACTTGACGAGGGTGCTGAAGGGAGAGGAATGTACATGCAACAATGCTCGCGTGCCAGACGCGGCCGGTCTTTGTTTATTCAGTGCACATGTCAGTACCGGGCCCGAGCCAGCAGCAGCAAGCTGTCGCCCCAGCGCATGTGATAATCCTCTGGGGCCCCTCTGATGGTGGGGGTCACGGAGGAGCAGCTGCCCGCATTTGACTTTGGGCCACCTGATCATAATAGCCGCCGAGGCCAGTCAGCGTGGCTAACTTAGCACATCTCGCGTCAGAACCCAAGGCTTGGTTTCTTCTGGAACGCACGTGTGCTCGGCTGCGCATGCCCCGAGAGCGCGGGCTCACGCGGCCGGAAATATCGCGTCGTATCTCAGGTGAGCCGATGAGCTGGGCGATGGAAGCAGTCACAGACCGTGCAGCTGCGTCTGCGGGGAGAAAAGTAACTAATCGCAGTCGTGGCGCGTGGCGCGAATGTCGTGCGTTGCGGGTAACAAGACGGGAGTTCGGCGTCTTGTCGGCGGCCAAAAGGCAGCCAAGCGACCCCACCTGAAAAGACAGACGACCCCAGCTCGTTGTCAGGATTCTCCAGGTGCTCACGCACTCCGCCATGGGGCAGCTGTGGAGCGTTCCACTCTGCGACGAGGAATGCGAAGACCGCATGCGTTTCGCCCGCACGTTCTAGACTCTCACTCACCTCTGCGTCGAGACAATGTCTGCAGCAGCAACAATGGGCATACCGCGTCTCGCAATGCGCAGGAACGCAGTCCGCTCGTGCAGTAAGCCGCATGTCTTCTTTTTGCGTGCCACTCGTCTAAGCTCGTACGCCCCGGTTAGCTTGCCCTCTGCAGCGCGTTTACCGATACGACTCCCAGCTGCCGCGGATGCCACGCTCGCCAGGCAAGCAGCGGAACCCTGGAGCTCTGCCAAAGGAGCTGCCACGGCTGGTTTGCAGAGCGGAGACGTAACCAACCACGTCGACGCGGTTGTTGACGGCCCTCAGCACATTGGAGAAGCGACACTTGCTATCTGCCGCTGATGCGACTTTGCGCCGATTTTTGACGAGTACTTGCATGCCTGGGCTGCCTTCCTTCGCACCTCGCCGCGCACACAGTTGCTGGGCCTGCAAGCATGGGTTGCAAGACGAGATCCTCATGCCACCTCCCGCGCAGTCGTAGGGAATTCTGGTGACGCGGATCGGATGTGCGAAAAGCAATGCAGCGGATTGTGTACCGCAAATGCTGTCGTGTGACATTCCCATTGTTCCCAGGTGAGGTGAGACACATCTCGCAATGTGCTCTGCTCTCGCTCAGGGCTTCCGGCCGCATTCTCGTTGGAACCGATGTCAAACTTGTTTCACTAGCACGATGGTGGGGAATTGGTACGGTCGTGGCAAAATAATGGTGAATGCGACTGCATGCGGCGAATGTCCTTTGTTCGCGCAAGGTTTCCGGCCCTTGACGGATGGCGAGACTCAATGTGGCCTGGTTCGCGCAGCTTGCAGCATAAGCTGTGGCATGGCAGTACTAGCTCCCTAGCAGGATCCTCTGCAAGCTGCCTGTCAGACCTACCAAGACGCTCGCCGCCCGTACCAGCAGCTTCGAAGCCTATGCTGTGCAGTCCACGCGACTACCCTGCACCACCCGCTGCCGATCGTGCGTTGCTGAATGGTCGTGCTTAGCCAACCTCCTGGGGCCGAGCCGGTCCTACGTGGTAATATAATCACTGGATACCAGCCGGCGGCACAGGTGGACAAGCCAAATTGATTGTGGCCAGCTTCTGGTGTCGTTCTTGTCCTGCCAAAAAGCTCCCAAAGAGCAGGTTCTCTCGGTGCCGCAACAGCTTCACCTGATATCGTCTCGAGTAACACGCTGGCCAGGAGTGACTTTCGCATCGATATACAAGATGGCGGCGAACAAGCACTCCCCGACGATGGAGCACGACTTTCAGTATGCCGAGAAGCCACACTCACAAGAGGACGGGATCATGAACATAACCCACAGAGAGCGAATGTCCGATTCGGATTTACTGTCAGAAGGTGCCACTGTTGCCACCGTTTCTTCCGCATACGCAGAGCGAGGCGCTCCCATCAACCGTAGTCTGACAGCGGAGCTGAAGAAGGAATCAAACTCAGCGTTGACATGGAGCAAACTTCGGCGGACATTGCGCGATCCCTTTTCTGAGTTCATGGGAGTGTGAGTGTAGAGTCTCATCATTGCGAAGCAGGTGACTGACTGGACTCAGATTCATTCTTATCATGTTTGGCGATGGCGTCGTGGCCCAAGTCGTACTAAGTCGTGGAGAGAAAGGGTAGGCTCGCTCGCGAATCTTTGTGGCACGACAAGCGAATGCTGATAGAATGGTAGCGATTACCAATCCATCTCGTGGGGATGGGTACGTACTCGACATGGGTTGTTGTTGTCGCTCGTTGCTTTGCTGACTTGACGTAGGGCATTGGTGTCATGCTTGGTGTGTACTCATCCGGTATCTCTGGAGGCCACATCAACCCAGCTGTCACATTTGCAAACTGTGTGTTTCGCAAATTTCCATGGAGGAAGTTTCCCGTATACATGTTGGCGCAAACTCTGGGGGCAATGGCTGCTGCCGCTGTCGTTTACGCCAACTACAAGTCTGCCATTGATGAATTCGAAGGAGGCGTCGGCATCCGGACCGTGACTGGAGAGAATGCATCCGCCGGTGTCTTCTGCACCTACCCTGCACCATTCATGACCAGGACTGGCATGTTCTTCTCGGAATTCATTGCCAGCACGTTGTTGATGTTCTTGATTTACGCCATCAAGGATGACCACAACATCGGTGCAAAGAACCTCACACCACTAGCATTGTTCTTCATCATTTTTGGTATTGGTGCTTGCTTCGGTTGGGAGACCGGGTACGCAATCAACCTGGCCCGTGACTTTGGACCTCGTCTCGTATCGTATATGATCGGATATGGCACGGAGGTCTGGTCCGCGGGTGGCTAGTAAGTTGACCAGAGAAGATCTCGTGAGCCTCAGACTGACCCCTTGTACAGCTACTTCTGGATTCCCATGGTTTCACCGTTCTTGGGGTGCCTCTTCGGTGGCTTTTTGTACGATGTTCTCCTGTTCACCGGCCAAAGTCCGATCAACACGCCGTACTGGGGCCTTTATCGAGTTGTACCAAGTCTGCGCAGAAAGTACGCGGGAACGAGGTGGGATGAAGAGTCGTTGAAGAGCGATGATTGAGCGCAGCCGCCGAAGGACGTGTAGTCAACTCTTTGTTTCGCTGGCGAGGTTCTCCCGATTGCCAAGGATCATCCCTGCACTCGGGCAGCAAACCTGCCAGCAGCAGCAGCGCAGGTGCGCCGCAGACGTATCATGGAAGTAAAAGCAACGGTACCAAGATGACTCCGACAGATCTTGAAAACGGAGGCGAGCCGTTTTGAGAGCAAAGGACTTGACTGGAGTGTTTGCGGCAGGCAGCGAGGTCCGTCGCCCAGAATTTCGGTCGATTTTGGGCTTCAATGATGAAGTGCAATGAGATGTTCCACTGTACTAGTACTGTGCACAAAACGGCGTTCAAAAGACATATTGTGGACATGCAGAAATGCCCTTACCCATTGAGCAGCAATGTACCTTCTTCTCAGATGCTTCCTTCCATCTCGTGCACGAAAATTGCCTCAGGCCGTGTGCCAAGGCTTGCACTTGTGGAAAGCCTGTTCTTCGAAGTGGATCGCTCTACAAGAGTGCACGCTGACCACTGTGCAGCGAGACACAATATTGATTGTTTCCATCTCTCGAGCATTCAGGAACACAGCGGACGTCTATCAAGTTGCGTCACCCGCGAGTCGAATCGAATCTTGCTAGACCAATCTCATCAGGCAAGTCGCAGCGGCAACAATGGCTCCGGAATCTCAGCCTTGCAGAGTCGCCTGCATATCGTGCTGCGACACCTTTGTAGGGGCGGCGAATCAGAGCATGTTCTACTGCGCCAAAGATGATGAGGCTTGAAAAGGCCCAGATCAGGCAGACTGACGCCTTGCCGGAACATCAACACTTGTGCACCCACGGGCAGTGATGAGCCTGCGATTTCGAGTGCCATTTGTACTGACATTATGATACACCTTGAGATCTGAGTCGACAAGACGCACGTCACGAACATGGCCTTCACTTACGATAGTGTTCACCTGCCTCAACCGAAGAAACAGATTCGGCTACTATACCTCCAACCTGCGAGTGATGATTCGGACATCCAAGCCAGACTGGAAGTGTGCAGATTGGATAATTGCCCTCCTTTCAGAGCCATTTCGTACACATGGGGCGACCAGAAGCCTGAGATGACGTTATACATCAATGGCGGCAGCTGTCGCGTGCGCATGAATTGCTGGTACGCTCTCTGGCAAATGCGACATCACGAGCATTCTGGGCCTCTCTGGATCGACTCCATCTGCATCGATCAATCCAATCTCGAGGAAAAAAATGCACAGGTCTCGCTCATGGGAAAGATATACAGCAAAGCACAGTCGACGGCTTGCTGCCTTGGCCCTGGTCGCAATCTTGCCCACGCCCAAAGGCTTTTGCGGCCAGATCAATATGGGAACGCCACATCGAGCATTCTTGCGGCTGATAAGCGCCTTCTTTGGGAGCTGCAGCATAGGTCTTACTTCAGACGCACTTGGATCAAGCAAGAAATTATTCTCAGCAAAGAGATCCACCTCTTCTGTGGCATGGACAATCTTGACTGGAACACGTATGTCAAAGTGTTAAACAGCTGCTCCAGTGATGACATGAAATTACTTGCACAGATTCAATGGCAGCGTCCGGAAATCAGCGATCTTGCCAACGATGTTCACATGACGCTCGTGGAGGGCCGGATAGCGCGCCACGTCAGTATCCAGTCCCCTCAAGATGTGGCGTTCTTAAGCCGGAAAGGCTCTACATTGCGGCCCTGGGCTGAGCTTTGGAGGTTGTTGAATCAGTATGGAGGTTCAGAATGTCAAGACCCACGCGACAAAGTGTATGCCCTTTTGCCCCTTCTGCCGGAGCAGTCACTGATGGAACTGGAATTCACAATCGACTACACGCTTCCGGTTCTGCCGCTTTGTCTCAATATGATTGAGGGCTACATCAAGGAATGCCTTACTGCGACTCAAACCCATCCTGTATCTCGGACAGTCCCTGACACATTTTGGGACTCGATGGCACAAATGATTGAACATTGGCTGCACTCCGAGCTTTCCGACGCTGCTGTCTTTGATTTCATATCTCGTTGGAGGACAATAGACGAGCAAAGTATGGTTCGTGCAGTACAACCCGGTCAATTGGCCATGTCCGCACACAGCCCACGATTCATTCGTATGGAGGTGTGGCAGCGATTAGAGGTTCTCGGGCATACTCGTGACCTGTATCAAGAAGCTCTGTGGGACAACCACCATCAACTTGTAGAGGACGAGTCACTTCTTCCCGAGTACTCAGACTTTATCCCGACGTACCTCAGTGATGCCATGACAATCGAACAAATCCAGAGGTTCTTTGAGCGTACGGCGGATTTTGACAAGTGGGACCCCGAGCTGGACTCTTCGGCTCCACATTCACATGGATTTGTCTTCTCCGCACTGCCTCCAGACCTACGGATCAAAGTTTTGATTGCCAGAAAAGATAGGAGTGGGCAAAGGTTTCTTGTGTCTGCCAATACTGCAATTGGAGATGAGCTGCTTCTGTGTCCCTCGATGAGCCAACGACATGGAGAATTCCTTTGCCCCATCGTTCGACCTGCTGGGAAGTCAAGTCAGCTGCTATCATTAGTAGATGATAAGACACGCCGTTCCTACTTGGCAGGTTGGGCTGTACAACTGTGCTATGACGGATCGCTACGAAGAAGCCCCGAAATGCTGCTCGGCGGATTCGAAGATATGCACACAAGAGCAAAAAAAAGATACGTATCCCTCCAACGGACTCTGCACTTCTACATGAATCATCAAGATTTGATACTGGACGCGATTCTGCGGCAGGATGCAGCGAGTTACTTGGCATATCCTCGCACTCACCCGAAAGAACCTTCCTTTCTCGAGGATATCCTTCATGACCGAACTGAAATGGCCAAGGCTGAAATATTTTCAAGCAAGAAGAAATCTAGAAGAGTGGGCTTTGCATAGCAAGATGTTCATTTGCCAGACTACAAGCTCCATTCACATTAGGAGGTCATAGCAGAAATGTCAGTAGATGAGTTGCTTGATCTCCTAAGCACATCTATCATTGCATCTTGAAAGTGGGCGGCCGCACCGATAACAGAACTGAGCGCCGCAACGGCAAGACATATGCATGCAGCCACTCGACTTCTCTACCAAGCTCTGGCAACGCGGGCAAGACTTCCAGCCTCGTGCGCGTGCCAAATCCCTGGCCTGCTGCGTTGCCACATCGTGTACACACTCAGATTGCGGATGCGAAGGCCCTTTACAATGTCGACACGTCCTGGTATAGCATCGTGGACACTGGATATCGTCCGGATTGGTCGCCAGCCGAGATGGCAGGAAGGTCGCGCACGTCACACGAGAGCAGTACACCGGATTGATTTCCTGCGTTTCTTCGAGCAATGCTTGGTACTGTGTCCATACCGCGACAGCGATAGTCCCTTGGATAGTATCTGCTTGCACTGTCTGCCGACAACACTGAAACGGTCGACGAGCTGCACATGCGGTTGATATTGCACCTGGAATGTTAGCTTCCATTTTCTTACAGTGCTCAAGAGCGCGGACCTACCTTGTAAAGCATCACGGCAATACCAATGTGCACATGCAAGTTGAACGACCTCAGACAAATCGTGCTGCTCCATACAAGCTGCACAATCCCGCAAGCGGGCCCTCCGACGTTCCTCTTCTGCACGAGCTTCAGCTTCCTGCTCTCGCAAGCGTACCCTCTGCCGTTCTTCATCTGCGCGAGCTTGAGCCTCCATCTCTTCCAATACAAGACGCTGAAACTCCACTTCCATTTGCTCTCTCGTGGCTTCTTGGAGTAGCCGTTCCGCTTCTGCCGCCGCCGCAGCCTCTTGAGCAGCATGTTCGGCAGCCACTCGTTGGCGCTCATCTTCTGCCGCTCTTGTTCTTCGCAGCTCCCCATTTATTCGCGCTTGTACAGCCTCCTGTTCCTCTACAAGACGCCGCAAGCTCGCCTCCAAACGTTCTCTTTCCAATTCCCGGGCACGCCTTGCAGTTTCCTCAGCTACAGCAGCCTCTCGAGCAGCAAACTCTGCCGCCAGTCGCCGACGTTCCTCCTCTTCCGCTCTCACTCTTTCCCGCTCTGCGTTCACGCGAGCTCGTTGCTCTGCTTGCTGCCTCACTAGACGCTGCACCTCCGCCTCTCTGGCTTCCCTGTCAGCCTCCTCTGCAAATCTCTCAATTTCTTCGGCCAAAGCAGCCTCTCGAGCAGCATGTTGTGCTGCTGCGCGTCTTCGCTCTTCTTCTCTTCTTCGTGCTTGACGAGAAGCTTCAATTGCACGGGCTTGCTCTTGTTGCTCTGCGAATTGCTGCTGGAGTTCCGCATCTCTGCGTTCCCTGGCTGCTTCTTGGACAAGTCTCTCCGCTTCGATGGCTAATGCGGCTTCAACAGCAGCACGTTGCAATTGTGCTCTTCGAATTTGCTCATTTTGCACTCTGAGCATGCGTTCTGCTTCTGCTGTTTGCTGAGCATTTTCTCTCCTCTCGTGCTCTCCGCGGAGGGAGATGAGCTGCTGCTGTTTCTGCGTTTTCAGTGCCTCTTCTGATGCCTCAATTTGATCGTTCCATTTCTCCAAAGACACTTCGGCTCTTTGCTCCACGTCTTGGATCACTTTCAGACTGTCAAGATCCCATACGATCCCTGCTCTCTCGCGAGGCTGCGTGGCTTGGGACTGGGGTCGACCATATAGAACGCTAGTACGCCGCGCAGGTAAGTTAGGTGTATACCTACGACTACGCACCCTTGGAGCTGGATCCATGGTGTGGCATTTATTGTATCAGCCCATAGTACCCAACTGCTCATTGAGTGAATCTCTAGGATCCAACGTGCTTCGCCTTGTCAGCACCGCACAGATCTCAGACTACCAATCTCAGGCTCTCTTGCAGCGGGGCGTCGAATTCTGCGTCTCCAAAACGAAAGGGCGGCCTCTTTGTGATTGTGGCATCATGCGATTGGTCCCGGCTTGTGCCATCGTGGACCAGGCTGCGGACCGCCAAGAGAAGGCGATCAAAGTCAGGCTGGACGAGGCTGCACAGCACCTGGCGATCTCACATCGACGGAGGAGGCGCAGAAGTTGCCGATGATGCTGATTCTCATCTCAATTCCAACAGAATCTTGATCGCAGAGATCAGATCCTCAAGCCATCATGGACGAAGACGCAGTAACCGTCATTTCGGTGAACGGTCAACATGGCGATGACTTTGTAAAAAGGCAGTCCAACTTGGACCATGCCTGTGAAGCACTCGTCCGGGTTAGTAGACCTTCGCGTCCGACCGAAGCTATTCCTAACAACCATATAAGTACAACGGCCAACGAGACAAGCATGGCGAGCACGGAGTCGATGCTTCAACCCCTATGACAGGCGGTCCTGGCGGTAGCTTAGCTGTCGAGCTCTCTGAGTCCACTGAACAAGTAGGCTACATACATGCTGGCAGGTTTGCGTCAGCCTGTAATCAATACAGAAGTCGCTCCGCGGCGGAAGCTCGTTTTATCTGCGATTGGTGGTAATGGTGAGACTGGTCGAAAGGGGGGAGATGGCCATTCAGGGCTTTCTGGTACTGCCGGAGCGGCTGCGACGCAGATGGCGGATGCTGAAGTTTGTCATTTCATTCAATGCTGTCTAGGGGCTTGTGACTGATCAGATCGTGAACAGAACGGCACAGACGGAGGTAACGGCGGCAAGTGAGTCTTTTATACCGGTTCGAGTACGTGGCACTGCTAAGGCACTGACTCCTGAACAGCGCAGGCCGCGGAACGAACGGAGGCAATGGAGGAGACGGTGGCTCAATCCAGATACTCCTAGGCCATGATATGACTCACCTCCTCTACGTCGTGAACTGGAATGTGTCCGGCGGAAGCGGTGCAGCTGCAGGTGAGCATGGTCGTGCCGGGAAAGGCGGTGCGGGTGGTGCTGGAGGCGAAGGCACGAATTGGTATGTCTAAACTCGCGTGTGCCAAAACGGCATCAAAGCATTCTGACAAATTAGCACAGGGACCAATTCGTTGGCTACAGATATCGCTGTACGCCGAACTGCCTGGGCAAGAATACTCAAGAGATCAGAACTACCTCGCCGTCGAATGCTTTGCTTATGGCTAGTACATCGCTAGCGAGAAGTGGGTGAGTCGCACAAGCGGTACTGATGAGGGTTGAAACACTAACATTGCTACGTTAGCACTCGCGCTCGCGCAGCCATAGGATCTGAGAACGTGGCCGGCAGCGATCTCCACACGGCCGTAGCATTAATCGCTGCTCGCTATCATGCCAGACCTCAAAGACGCGTGGGTCAGGGTCTTTGCCACTGCGCTGGGGGACAAGGTGATTGCGCTGGCTGCGATAGTCAGCCTATCACCAGATCACTCCACAGAGTGCCCGGGCAGCCTGGTCAGCCTGGACGAGATGGTCTCGAGCAAACCAGCGTACTAAAGGCCGGTCTACCAGGCGCTTCTGGCAAAATGGTAATTCTGGTACAGAACCTCGATGGAACGATCAGCGAGTATGACAAGCCCTGGAAACTCCGACTCGTGTCTTTCGATATTGAAGACGAGAATGGTGATGGGATCTTTGAGCCTGGTGAGAAGATCATCATACGTCGAGTTTGTGTGGAGAACATTGGTATTGTCTCTCCACCTCTAACATTCCATTCATCGAGCAAATCGCTGATGATAATTTCTAGGGGGAATGCCGTCGCCCTTACAAGGAATCGAATTGCTCATAAAGCCATCTGAGCATCTTTTGCTAGACGACGAAGTCAAGCTGTTTCTTCCATCCTCGATTGCGCCTAGTACCGTTGCTACTGTCGAAGGATATATAAGTGCCAAGATACGACAAGCCGAAGAAATCGTTGCCGACACTGCATACATGGAGCGCGGCGCGAAAATATCGCTTGCTGCAGTGCTTCCTTGGCTGAATGTTGAGCTTCCGGAGTTTGAATTGGAGAGGACCTTCGATATTCAATTCCCTTGCGCACTCTCCAACTTCCGGGTCCTACCAAGCCTTAGCCCTGGTTCTTCGAGCACAATTTCGTGGGAGGTAAGATTCTGTGGCACAGATGTGGGCATCGATACTTTATTAACACACATGGACCTAGATCACAAATCTCAGCTACAAAGCCATTGGCAATGCAGCCACATCTCCACGCGCTATCGAAGTCGTGGTTTCGGTCCCCAGAGAATATGGCACTCTTGGCTCAGAGCACACGACCATTGTCAATGATTCCAACGAAGTGCCGGTAGCAGTGGCTCATATCGAACCGAAAGCCACAAGTATTTCGTCGCAAGTGCTCAAGATCTTACCCGAAGGTCGAGCTCCGAGTCGATTCTACCTTACAGTAGCACTGTATATTGCCGATTCCGTCTGCTCGGAGGAAGTGGATGCAGCTTCAGAAGTCGAAATGATCCTTGCTCAGATGATTCAGATCGAAGTCAACGTCTCGAAAAGCTATTGTTTCAATGAGAATGCCGGTATCGTGATGGTGGTCAACTCGACGACCCCACCAGGCCGTGTTCTAGCGCTGCATCAATTCATCCAAGGAGAGCTGAACATGACAGTGGATTGTCTAGATGTGAACGAGAACGGCGGAATGCAGGTGGATGAAGATGCCGAGCTGGGTGAGTACTTTTTGAAAGTGGCACGGTGCACCGTATGCTACTCGATTTTGCCGATTCGCGTGGAGATGACTTACTGACACAATGATAGCCCATCTCTTTACCAAATACGACGGAAAGACTGTCATTCTGTTAGGCAAACCCTTCCTGTTCCAGAACTCGCCCAGGACAACTCCTGAGCTCTGCGATTCGAGGCAGATTCGTCGATCCTTGTCGTCCGGCACCTCATTTCTATTCCTTGGACTCCATGATGATAGGACCAGCAACAAGCTCTTCGAGCAGGTCGTTTTCGAAGTCGCGCACAACGCTTCCAACACATTGGCCTCGGTTCCAAAGTCGGCCAAATTCACCCGCATTTCTGATTTCGTTGGGGCTATCCTGGACCAAAAGCAGAACAACATGGGAAGCTCTTCTCCAACCGTGTTCTCTTTGGCTGGTCGGCGGCGGCGTTGCAATGGAATGCTAAGTCCAAGCATCGAAAGTCAAGCGAAAGCGGCGTCTCGCAAGCTACACAAGCTTTTACCTCAGGAACTATTTTTGCTTCTGCCGGTGTCGCAACAATCAGGATCGTCGCCTTCCGTTGGTGGTGATCAGTTGATCATTTTGTGGGGTGCTGAAGCTACTGTTCCGTTGCGAGTCACTGAGATCCGGGACTCTTACAGCGCATCTTTGGATCACTTCGAAAAATACAGTATCGTTGCTGCGCTTCCTGTGGCTCACAGAGTTCAGCAGATCTGGGACGATGAGACGGATGGCTCAACATCTTCCGTAACCGAGGCCGCGACCTGCTCCCTCGGTATCGAGTGCATTCGCCAGATCGATCAATATGCCTTCTCTGCATTTTCTAGTGGGCCTGTGAAGGTCTTTACGGAAGATGTACTTGGCGTGCATCTCCCTACCGTGGCAGCGGTATTATTCCACCCATGGTCATCGAAGGGTGTTCCTCAGGCAGTCCAGGTTATTCTGGTTTATTGTCTCGACACATGTCGGCCCCATACCAAACGACAAGCACTTGCTCAAGCTCTCATGTGGAACAGCTCCAGTCGGCAAAGACTTGCCAAATATCTGCTAGAGTCCGTGGAAGCTCTTTCTCCAGGACTGGGTGCCGAGATCCAGCGACAGGCCGATAAGCTCCGTGATCAGGAGCTCAACGCGATGCGACATGTGGTCCGGCGTGGGGCCAAATTGACAAGAATGTCCGAACATGCTTTTGAGCGTAGTACTGAGTCCACGATGGACGTGGTACATGGCTCGGAAGTCTGCACGGCTGAAGAGTGGGATGCACGGTGGGCTGCGAATCAAGATGCGTGGGACAGAATCGTTGAAGATGAAAGCCGTGCTCCACAGCCCATTGACACCATGTCACGTGGTAATGTAGTTGCATAGCTGAGTGGTGAAGTGAAGTTGTGTTGGAGGAAGGCAGGTGGAATGTGGATGCCTGAAATCTCAGGCAGTCAGAAGAGGGACACCAAACTTCAAGTCTACGCGAGACGACGCGCAACTGATCGACCAACATCGAACTCTCTTCACAATAGCGCCGCTGATGAAAACGTCAGTAATATCCTTAGCGACACGTCGTCCCAGCTCCAGCAGCTCTGCATCTGCTTGCTTGCGTGCCACCAGCTCCACCGCCGTCTAGAACGCAAGCCACACGCCGGACGTCAGCCATGCTGCTCCTGCGCCTTGTTTTCTCGGAACCAATGACACAAAGCTCTGCATCGTCGGCACAAACAGCAGCACTGGCGATCAGCACAACGCCCAACTTCCTTGATTTCTGCCCTACGATATGACGAACATGACGAAGTCCACCAGGACCCTATAGCCGATCATTGCGGCTCCAGTATTGCTTGTGTCCACGTGGATGCATGGCCAACGACATTCGTGCTTCAATGGGCGTAGAAGAGGGTCTTATGGCGTGACGTCGGGCTTGTGGCTTGCAGCGCAGCTTGAGCTGTATGCGCGACTTAGCTGGATGAGCTCTCTGTTTGAGTTTGGGGAGTCCAGAGCCATGGACGCGTGTATAAAGAGTGCTGAGTACTGCTACTCCTGCCCTCCTTCGCAATTCGAAGAATTTCAGATTACTTGGACTTTTTCACATAGAATTAACGAACAAGAAATCATACCATCATGTCTTACAACGATAACGACAACGACAACAGCTACGGAAGCTCTGGTGAGCTCCTCCATTGAAGCAAGCTATCGACAATCAAAAGCAGTCTTATCTGACGAGTACACAGGTCGACAAGGAGGTGACGCTGGCTACGGTGCCGGTCGTAGCTACGGTGTATGTACCTGATTGCGGAGCTTCGCTCATTGGCTCAGACGACAGACACTTATCAGTAGCAGGATGATGATGTCGGGCGCGAATCTGGCGTAAACGCCGATGGCAGCTACGGCTCCTCACGCAACGAAGGCCTAGGCGATTCATCCTACGGTTCTTCCAATCGTACTGGAGGAGGCGATTCATATGGTAGCAGCAACACCTATGGGAGCTCGGGACGCACGGGAGGAGACAGCTATGGAGTAAGTGACCCACTCCTTCAGATAACGGAGATATATGTTGAGCTACCTCGCTAACTCTTCTCACAGAGGTAAGCAACAATGGCAGAACTCTCTGGCACGACCAGTGGTCCAGGCTGGGGCAATAAGACATCAGGCACTGAGAACCTTCTTAGCTCCGACAACTACAACGACAACCGAAACCTGACCGAAAAGGCCAAAGACAAGTTGAGCAGCGATCGCACTGATCGACCCGACGATCCAGTATCAGGAACGAACTACGGACAGAGCGACAGCTACGGCTCGGGAAACAACACCTCCTCATACGGAGATTCTTCCTATGGAGGAAACGACAACCGCGGTCTAGCCGATAAGGCAAAAGACAAACTGTCCAGCGACCGATCTGATCGCCCAGACAATCCTGTTACAGGTACGCACTTCAATAGAAGCAAGCTAGCAATAGCCGAAAGACGTGTTATCTGACAAACATCCAGGCCGGAATTTCGACCAGGATACCAGCAGCAGTGGATATGGTGGCAACAACACCTCCTCATACGGAGATTCCTCATACGGAGGAAACGACAACCGCGGTCTAGCCGACAAAGCCAAAGACAAATTGTCCAGCGACCGATCCGACCGACCCGATAATCCCGTGACAGGCCGCAATTTCGATCAAGATACCTCCAGCAGTGGATACGGAGGCAACAACAACTCCTCTTCCAACTACGGCTCCTCAGGCAACAACGACAACCGCGGAATCGGCGAGAAGATCAAGGACAAGTTGTCCAGCAAGCGCTCTGATCAACCAGACGATCCGATTTCAGGAACGAACTACGGAGAGGACAGCTCCCGTGGCTCTTCGGGCGGAGGCTTGATAGATAAGGTCAAGGCGAAGATTGGTGGGAGCGGAAATAACAGGAATGATAATGACAGCTATGGTTCGTCTGGAAACACATACGGAGGATCGGACAGCTATGGATCTGGAAACAACAACGACAGGAATTACTAGGTTCCATACATTGAAGCAGCTGTGGGTATTGGCATGTAGTCTAGTATGAGATGAGATGAGACGAGTTGAACGAATGGATTATGAATTTGACGGCTGTGAAGCAGAACAAAATTCTCTTGTTATCTTTCAAGTTCATGAAGGCAAGGAATGCTTGCTATCTCAAGCTGACATTGATGTAGAAGCTTTTATCCTTCTACAATGGCTGATGCTAAGGATGTTGACAACTCATCTCACACGAAGAACAGAGTTCGACTTTTCGAGGCGAACAATCTCTGCTCAGCAAAGGTGCGATTCGACTCGACTGCTCATCGATAGCGGAATGATTGTGAGGTCGGGGTCCTGGTAGCATTCGCCTGGACTTACCCATGCCAATCTTCACGGCCGTTACATTACAACACGATACGTGCATCAGCTAGAGTCGAAATGCGGCAGGTTCGAGAAGGTAGAGCGCTGGGTCTGATCTCTCTAGGGATATGATTGTGATTTAGTCTAGGCTAATTGTGCTTGATGATGGTTCATATTCTTTTTCTGTTCTATGATGAAATGACTGTACACGATCTATGTCGCCTTCGGAGATCTCTTGCATCAGAGTTGCTGTTCTCCTCGGGCAAGTTCTGCAATTGGCTTGTGTAAGGCCACGGACACTAATACAATCCACTTGTGAAGGAAGCCCTAAACGTTCGTCATGGAACTCTGACACTGCACATCAATGTGATCAGAGTAAAGCAGAGCATGCATTGATCACGCGCTCTCTCTGCGCACATTACCCGTGGTTTGGACAACAAAGACCTCTCAAGAGCTACCGATTATTGTGCATGTCAGCTCCAATGGTTCTGCACTTCAGTTCAGTTGCTGGGTATAGCCAGAAAGCAGCGATCATGTTCGTCTATACTTGACCTTGGATCTCCCACACCGCTTCAAAGCCAGCATAATTCGAGCACGATCTCTGCAGCATCTTGCAGAACCCTACCTGTTGCGGCAACGTGGTCCGACAGCAGCCTCGTGAATCGTTTGCTCGGAGTTCTCTGTGCCAAGGATAGCGTGGTGTGCTAGGGTGTAGTTTGACATGACAGGCCAGGGTATGCTGAGCAGGATATGCGCCACCAGGACAGCATCGCCTACCATTCTTCTATACGGGTCTGTTTGGAGAGCTGGTGAAGGATGAGCTATGTTAGTGAAAATGCCTCGCTTGATGCTGTAAGAAAATGCAACCGGATGAAAGCGCGATGCATGGTCATCGTCAGTGGGCTTCAGCATCGCAGGAGATTCGTATCGCACTCCCACATGGCGTGGATTGCAGGTGATGTAGTGTCCGCTTTTCTGCTCGGCAGGCAGGTCAAATAGTCGTGCTCCCTCCTAAGAGGTCTCAGCCTGAGCCATTGCACTTGCAACTACCAGAACAGTATTGACCTCCAAGAGCATGAACGGCATGGCGTCTTACTTTCCTGAAGTCTCCAAGCCAGGTCTTGGATTTGCAGAACCGAGAGACCCACGCCTCCAGCCAGCGTGGCGCAACACTCTCGTCGCGTCGACAGGAGAGTTCGTGGGGACCTTCATGTTTCTCCTGATTGCATTCCTCGGTCACAGCGTAGCTGTAGAGCGGGCTGGTGACAGTGGACCAAACGGTGCAGCCTCAAGCCAAACCTTGGTATACATATCGCTTTGCTACGGGTTCTCGTTGCTGATCAATGCCTGGACGATGTTTCGTGTTAGTGGCGGATTGTTCAACCCTGCAGTCACGCTCGGGCTGGTGCTTGCTGGTAAGCTGGAAGTGATTAGAGGCGTCGTTTTCCTGCCGGTTCAAGTCGTCGCAGCAATGAGCGCTGCTGGCATCGTGAAAGCCATGATTCCGGGAGACATTCGGCAGGTCCAGACTACGCTCGCTGCCGAAGTCAGCATTGCACAGGGCCTGTTTCTCGAGATGGTGAGTTGATCTGGTGTTAAGTCAGACCAAGTTACTGACTCGTGTGCAGTTCCTCACTTCCATGTTGGTCTTCACCATCCTGATGCTGGCTGCAGAAAAATGGCGAGCAACGTTCATGGCCCCGATAGGCATCGGCATCGCCTTATTTATTGCCGAGCTTGCTGGTGCAGCTTACACTGGGGCCTCGCTCAATCCCGTTCGGTCTTTGGGGCCATGTGTCGCTGCAGGTGAGTTTCCCGGTTATTTCTGGATATACGTCGCTGGTCCGATGCTGGGAGCTGTGCTCGCGGGTGGCTACTACTGGTTCGTCCGATTCTTCAATTCGGGAAGAGAACGTTGATGTTCGAGACGGACAAGGTTCTGGTCGATAGACGAAGTAGAGAAGCGCCAAGGCAACGAGTTCATCAATACTGTAGCTCAATCAAACACGTGCGCTGGCCGCGGTTTGACAATAACAAGGCCGACGCGTGTCGGAAGCAAGTGTGAAGTGGCGTTCTCACAGCAGGAATGTAGAACTAAGTAGAATAGAGGGAGATCGGAGATTTCAGTTTCAAGCCGGAAGCGGCAAGCTGCTGGGGGGCATTTTGAAGACGGTTTGACGACGATCCATCGAATTCATCGTCGATGTGCTGTAACAAGGCCGCAATCAACCTGCTTTGTTGTTGCGGAGTGGGCATGAGTCGACAGCGACCTGTTCGTGTGTCGCCAAACTAGCGCGACGTGTATCGCTGCCTGCCGTGTTGTCGCGTGGGTGCTGTGCTGGTGCGCGCCGTCGATGCTGGCCGCCACGCCCGATCCCGACCATCGACAGCAACCGGGCAAGAACGAGCCAAGTTGCGCTCTAATGAGGCGTGCTGGCTGCCAGTATTCCGTCCGCTGACCACGCTGTCTCACCTTTACTCTCCTCTCTCTCCACCGGTGCAGTGATCAGTGACGGCGGCATCATTCAGCACCGCCTCGTGGCAGCTCCCTACGGACCAACCAATACCCATGGCGCCAGCGTGGCTTTGCTACACCCTGACACCTGCTCCCCAATCGTAAGCTCGGCCAGGGCGGGCATTGCAATGTGATGGCTCGCTTTTCCTTCCGGCCTATCTTGCGGAGGCTGTCCAGCAAGCACTCAACCACCGCCGCCTCCACCAAGAGCGATCCCAGCGACCACAGCACCGCCGCGACCTCCGCATCGCCCTCTCCATCCCCAGGCCCGCCGTCCTCCTCCAAGCCGCGGCGGGCCCGGAAATCCGCCTCACTTGCAAAGCTCAAGGATAAAGTCCGGCAGCTGGAAGACGGCGACCAACCTGCAGCTGCTGTCGCCGCCCACCAAGAGTCGCGTTCGAGCAGCGTGGGCGTGGTCGAAGAAGAACTCATTGCACCAGCAGCCAGCAGCAGCGAGAACGGCGGGCAGGCGCCGATCGGAGCGATTCACGCGGCTAGCCGACCCGACCAGCAATCTCACGCCGAGCCTGCCACACCACCACCTCCGCCATCCGCGCTCGCCCTGGACGGCGACACCTTGCCCGAGAACCCCCTGCTGGTCGTGGAAGAGCCCACTCCCGAGGCATTGGGTGCGCGAAGTGCTCGTCAGCGAGAACCGCCTCAGTGAGTTGTCCTGCGAGCGCTGTGATCGTGATCTCGATGTTGTGCATGGAGCTCCTCCGAGCTGTGTGTGCACATCGCGCTAAACCTTATGTTTCTGCAACCCATTCGAGATGCATGTTTTACGGACGCCAAATTTCACTAACACATGCTCTCCTATAGCCCCGGCTCACGACCAACTTCCTCATCATCGGGCACGCTGCAACGAGATCACGGCCTGAGCCTGCGACTGGCATACCCTCGCCCATCCACCGCAGTGCCGCAGAGCCCACGCCATCAAGCTTCAGCTCAACCGCGCCCTCGGAGCGTTGTGGGCAGCTCCGATGCCGACGTCGTAGACGCACTCACTGATCCTCCGCCCCAGCACGAGCCCACCCCTGCGAGCCCTTCGGTGCGTGCTCTGTCCGCAGCACCAAAAATGGCTGCTACAATGCATCGCAAGATCTGGGTGAAGCGGCCGAACGCATCAGCAACGCTGGTGCAGATCCGCGATGACGATCTGGTCGACGACGTGCGGGACATGATTCTGCGCAAGTATGCCAACTCGTTGGGCAAGACCTTCGACGCTCCAGATCTCACGTTGACCATCGTCACGCGCTCAGAACATGCTGGTCCACGGAGTTCACGCATGTTGGGACCTGAAGAGGAGATCTGCAGAACAATAGACTCATACTACCCAGGCGGCCAAACTGTCGATGAGGCACTCATAATAGACCTGCCACAAAAGCGGACTCCGCGTCCCTCGCCGAGAGCAATACACCACAGTTATCATGCCTTGGATGAGTTCAGGCCCCCGGAAACTGGTTCCGACTACTTTCCCCCGATGCCTGTCACCGTCCAGCCTGCACTGCCCAATCACATTGCTCGTGAACATCACGGATCGCTGTCGAGCGAGCACCCGAGGTCAATGGCAGTGCTGACCACAGGCCAAGTGCCTCCTCTCCCATCGCCTGGCACTGTCGGGCGCCGGCACCGCTCAGAACGCGAACACCGACCTCGAATAGGAAGGCAGCATACCTCCTCGCCTACCATCATCACGCATGCCTCGCACGCCGATCAAACAAACGTTCCTGCCTCGGCGGCCGCCTCTGCTCATCTGACCCGCTCGACTAGATCTCGAGTCGATTCCTCGGCATCGGAGGCCACACACCGACCTCACGATCCGCCGACCGCACCTCCTCTTCCCACTCCCCCAGCGCCAGAAGCTCCGCCAACAGGCAAACCCGGGTCTGGTCCCCCGACTCCAAACACGGGCGCTCTCAATGGCATGCGCGGCCCTCGACCCCGTAAAGCGCGCAGGTCTACACCCGATAAATTGTCATCCAAAGGACGAACGGGCACTCCTCATTTCGACACATATAATAGCATAGCAGGTCTGTCGAGCGTCCTAGATGGGTCGGTGCCGCCAATCAACGTGCTCATTGTCGAGGACAACATCATCAATCTCCGTATCCTGGAGGGCCTGATGAAGAGGTTGAAAGTTCGATGGCAGACAGCGATGAATGGGCAGATAGCGGTGGACAAGTGGAGGACAGGAGGATATCACTTGGTGCTAATGGACATTCAAATGCCAGTCATGAATGGATTGCAAGCTACGAAAGAGATCCGGAGACTGGAAAGAGTCAACGGGATAGGTGTTTTCAGCTCGACTCCCGGGAGTAATACCGAGAAAGGCCCATTGGACGCCAATGGCAGCGGTCAGGATCAGGAAAAGACCCATAATCCAGACGATGACAAGCTCGACATGTCGAAGGGCCTATTTAAGTCGCCCATCATCATCGTGGCGCTTACTGCATCCTCGCTGCAGTCCGATCGACATGAGGCACTGGCCGCCGGATGCAATGACTTCTTGACCAAGCCTGTTAATTTCGTTTGGCTTGAACGCAAAGTCAAGGAGTGGGGTTCGATGATGGCGATCATCGACTACGATGGATGGCGACACTGGAAAGACTTGGCTGAGCAAGAGAATGCGGGAAAGACTGAGGAACAAAAGCAAAAGGAGCGTGAGCAGGAGGAGAAGCAAAAGAAGAAGATGGAGAAGCTCGCTATATTGCAAGAAAAGCAGCGAAAGACCGCCGAGGCGCAAGCCAAGGAGAAGGAGCGAAAGAAGCGTGAGAGCATGGGAGAGCCACTGTCTCCGCCTGTTGCTGCGGAAGAGCCTCCGGTTGCCAACGGGATTGCTGAATGAGCATGCCCCACTTTGATGCGTTTTGATGTTTCGCGCAAGGCTGTGGAGCGTACTGCGAGGTTCTCGTGGGAGTCACCTTTTGCATAGCGGGCATACGAGCGATGGCGTTGTTGGAACACGTTGGATATTGAGCATTTTTGGGTCTTCCCTAGTGAGTGAGATGAGTGTGACAGCGGATACCCTATTCTTGCACATGCCGAGCTAGATTATTTTACATCAATTGTCTGACTTGAGGTCAGATTGAGCTCGTTACCTGGACTTTTCTGTCAATTGAGTGCTAATGATGTGAAATATGAAAGAGGGTAACCATTTTTGCAGAAGATCATACCATTTGCCGAAAACTAAACGATCAGACACGATTCTATCCTATGCTCTTCCCACTATCTCTTTATAAGATCAACCACGAAATCATCCTATGCTCTTTCTACTGCGTCTTTACAAGCGACCCCTCTATTCCCAATGCACAGTATCCATGAACTCCTTAATCCTCTCCGCCTCACCAACAACCTCCTTAATCACATGCCAAACATACTCCTGCGTAAAACTCATTTGTTCCGGCAAAGTCTCAATCAAATCACCCTCAGCCGTAACGAAAATCTCAAAAGCCGGCGAACGGCTACTCAATTCTTTGCAGAGAAGCTCTGCGAAATGGAAGTAGAGTGCGTCAGGGGATTCGAAATTCTGGCCTTCGAGAAGGAGGATACAATCGAATGTGGTGGTGATGAGGGTTTGGAAGACGAATTTCTCGTCTTCGATGGTGGTGAAGTAGGCGGATTTGTGGGCGAGGGTTGCGTTTGCGGTTTGGAGGAGTTGGGTTGTGAGGATGTTGGGTTCGATTAGGCAGGGGCGGGAAATATCATCGGTGACGGGGCGGGAGAAGGATGCGTCGGGAAGGCTATTACGCCAGCGAGCATACTGCACGAGGAAGCGGTTCATCCAGTCTGGATTTTCGACTTCGTCGAGGACGTAGTGGTGGTGGTTGGGTTGGAGACTTACTGGGAGGCCGAGGGTGGACTCTCTGGGAGTGACTTCGTGGCGTCTTGCTGCTTCGTCGACGAAATTTGCTTCTTCGCCGGTTTGTTCTTCACTCATGACCTGGTCTCCATGTGAGAAGTCTTCCATGTCGTCCAGTTGGCTTAAGTACTCGTGATTTTCCTCATCGGAAACGCTTTCCTGGTCCATGTCGTGGTCATGTTCGTAGAGCCTCTTTCTGCACGAGGGACAGTTACTGTGGTCTGTCAGCCAGCGAACGATGCATGTGCCGCAGTAGGCGTCTGTGTGAGAGCATACTGAGATCTTGGTTGGTTCGATGGCCTCGCTGATCAAGCAGATCAGACAGTCGGTTGGTGGGCACGGAACCAGTCCGTCGCCCATGAGAAAATCGATCTTCGGTGGTAGGGTCGTCATACTGTGATACCGAGCTGTAGGTGTGTCAAGAGATTTCAAGCGATGTGTTCGTTGATGTTGCTCGACCGGTTCCTGCGGGTCGAGGTGCTTGGTATGAGCAGAACGTACACAGGGTGGGTGTTCATATTTATGTAGATACCATGAGATGCTCTCACACTTCAGAATTCGTTTGACAGCCGCTACTCGGTGCATTGTTGGAAGTTGTGTTCTTTATTCTCTTGTGCCATTGTGAGTTTGGCTTGAAAGAAATTCGCGTGTTCCTTTATTCAGAGAGTGCATTGTATTTTGACCGCGGTAACTCAACTCAAGGAGGCCGAAGGAACGGAGAGGGCAGACTGAGCTAGTACCAGGACGTCCGATTCAATGGGTCAGCACAATCATTATCGGTTTGAGAGACATCGTGACCGCTGCAGTCGACAGTGCGTGAAAGTTGTCAGAAGTCGCACGAGTGCAGCAGGAAGAGGTTCGTGATGTTGCTGAAGACGACGACACGAAATGATTTCCACTAAGCACATTGTTGCGTGGTCTTCTGTAGTGAGTCTCCATATGTTGGAGAGAAGAACTTCGAAGCTGGAAGGCGCTCCGTGGAAAAAATAGCTGTTCGGCTGGCTTCCGGGCTGCCAACGAATCACCGCTGGCGGGCTCAGCCGGAGCTAGCTCATGTATGTCTTGGCTGTCGGACAAACGTCAGGCACGGACGTTCTTGCGCTTCGATGATGAATGGTGACTGCAGTGAGCAAGCTAGTTCATGACTCTCTCGGCTCGACAGATTCCCATTCACACTCTTTCTGGTGTCGTGCTCGTCGTATCCATCAAATAATTGATTGACGTCCCTCAAATCCCCATCAAATTTCACACCTATCAGGATCGACGGATGGCACTGAGAAGGAGCCAGGTGGGAGCTCTCACGTACGCGAAGACTCCGATACGTCCGGCGTTTTCTGCAGCTTCCAGCTTCCGTCTTACAACCATGCCACAACGCCTTCACCTCACATCCGGAGTTCCCGCAGCCATGTATTCGCATGCAAGACATTGCCGCCCGCCGCCCAGGCTAGGAATGCGATACCAAGATACCCGCTCCCCGCGACCGTTGCGAAGATGATGTGGCCTATGACGCATGGATCCAACACATCCATTCGACTAGGAAAGTGATCAGATTATTTGTAACTCCTTGTCATAGCGTACAAATCATCGATCTTACTCCCGTTCCCGGTCCACGTCCTCGTTTCCACTCTTCACTCGAAAACATACGCGTCCACCAATTCACCTCGTAACAGCAACAGTGAAGATGGACTTCCTCAAACGCAAACTCTCCGTCCGCAAACGCAGCAACACAGCAAGTTCCACCCAAAGCAGCACCATCACATCATCCGACTACGAGAACCGCAACCTCTCCCCCGCCGAACAACGCATGGAACAACTCAACGACGAACGCTACGAAAACGAATACCGACGCTCTCAAGACGGAACCCACGTCCCCTCTCCCACAAGATCCAAATCCTTCCGCAACAGAACGCCTCGAAAATCTTCTTTGACACGCTCACCGGCTTCATTCGTGAAATATGGTGGACCGGGATTGAATGCTCCGGGTAATATGAAGAACGATTCGGAGGGGAATGCATTTGGGATTTCGGCGGGGGAAGTACCGCCTTTGCCGTTGAATGCGCATGTGCATGGTGATGGGCAGATTAGTGATTTTGAGAGGTATAGGTTGCAGACTTTGAGTCGGGATCCGGTGCATGAGGGGACGGGGAGTGAGAGGAGGGGTGGAGGGTTGGAGGGGGTTGTGGAGGTGGAGGGACGGTAGACGAGGCACTGGGTTGTGAGCGACTGCAGATCATTTGAGGGTTACATGGAAGGGAGGAGGGGAGTTGAGTGGGAACAATGCGTTGCTCTCAACGGTATGGGAACGGAGAAAAGGGAAACTTTGGGGCACTTTCACATAAATGTGAGAGTGATGCCAAATGCGCAGGACGCAATTTTGGCAAAAGGGCGAATGGGTGCATTCTGTTGCATCTCGTAGGGTGGAGCATGGCATCAAGGCGGATTTCATCTATGCATCGACGCATCGGCATCATCGATTTCATATGTACCCGGCATCAAATTGCCATATTTGTGGTGGTACCAATTCGACCTTCTGTTCTCGATTCCCATCACATTGGCCATTGCAACCGGCGCACTAGTCAACGTCCTTCTCTCGATGCCCAAGCGAGCCAGGCCCATCAGAGACATCGTTGCCATCTTCAAACTCCGACAGGTTCACAAGACTGTCACACTAGCTCTTGTACGTGGGTGGATCGGCCAAGACCCAAACGTTTGCATGTCTTATCGTCCTTAAGCTCACGCAGTACCAGTGGTAGCGATGAGCCCCAAACCATCTCAAACGTTTCCTCTCATCTTTGAGTGGCTTGCAATAGTGGTAGACTAGCCCATGGCCGTGGTTGTACAATTCTCTCCAGCACGTGCTATAATAGTGCTGTGCACGAATCATGGAGCTCAACGCTGCCAATTGCCTCGAACTCTTCTATTGAGAGTGCGGATTGGCTGGTCCGCACATTTTTCTATTCGTCGCTGAGATCCACAATGCCGCCATGTCTACCACGTCTCTTGCTTGTAGCGGCCGCTCTTCTCCATGTTCTCCAGGTATGCCTCGGCTTCTTCTGCAGACATTGCGCCGTGTTCCATAAAAGCATCTATCAATGCTTGACGAACACCTTTGGGCATGTTCCCAGACGATCCGCAGACATAGACTTTGCCGTGCTTCTGTAACAGAGCTTCGCAGACCTTGTTTCCATTGGCTCGAATCTGGTCTTGGACGTATTGTCTCGGCTTGTCCTGGTCACGAGAGAAGGCGGTGCAAACAGCAAGTCCATCGTTTTCCGCGAATGCCCGCCATTCGTCGCGGAAGAAGTAGTCGCTGTTCTCGTTGCGACAACCAAAGAAAAGAATATCACCAGTCAGAGACGTCGGATCCTTTCCACTTTGCGCTTCCTGTGCCCATAACAGTCGCTCATGGACCATCGAACGCATTGGCGCCAGCCCGGTACCAGGCCCGACCATGACCACGGGAACCTCAAGTTCTGAAGGCCGGACGTCGAGATAGCCTGCCTGGAGCCCAATACTGATCTTCTGATTCTCCTTCAATGTGGCGATGTACCTCGTGCACACGCCGTATCGCCTGCGATACTTAATGATCGGACTGGGAGGGTCGACAATGGCAATCAAGAGCTGTACCCTTGTGCGGCCACTGTCGTCAGCCTTCAATGCGCCACCACTAGCAATACTGAACTGCCGGCCTCGCATGATAGGAAGCGCGGTCAGCGCGTATTGCCAAGGGATTTTGATAAGGGTAAAGTCCATCATAGCTTCGACTATCGTTCGTTTCGGTCGCGTGGTGTAGTCCCACAGCTCATCGATCAGCTCTGGATTGGCAAGCTCTAGTAAACGCTCCTTTTGATACGCCTCATCTTCTGTACTTTCCCCAGCGAAATGCACCAATCCGGCGAAAAATGATCTCCGAGGTATGGACATGATGTCGAGTACATTCTCCAGTAGCCATCGTAAGGTCAGATTCACTTCTGATAACTTGAAATTCCGCAACGGCGAAGGCGTGGAGAGCTTGTTGTTCAACATATCTTGATTGGTAATGAGCGACAGCGGAAGGTCTGCGACATCTTGCCACTTCATTAGTTCGATGAAAGCTTGCACGTCTTCCGGGAAGTTCTTGGGATATATCACTGCGACCGCGCCTGGACCATAAGTCACCTGCTCCTCAACGCGGAGATCTAGCAGTCTCACATCCTGGAAATGCTTCGTAGGCGTAATGCGATCGTTGTGCTCAATATGGGCAGCATATGAGCCGACTACTGGCAGCAGAGATGAAGACGGTAGGCCCGCATCCGCCGAGTCTGCGCTTGCATCCGTGGTACTGTGCACGCCATTGATATTCAGGTTAGCATGTAGCACATCTCCAGCCGGCTGTGCCACAAGCTTCCATTTGGGCTCGACAAAGAAGTCATCTGCTATCGGCTCGACGTCGTCGGCCAGAGGAAATGCTTCCAATAACTTCTGCTTGAGCTGCACGATCCATTCACGAAAGCCCGCACTGTGACCCTCTGGATGTTGTTCGTTGCCTTCACCTCGTTCGCAAAAGCTCTGTGCTCCAAGTTGGGTGAGGCGGCCGCAGACGAGACGATGGGCCACATTGTACTGTGCATATGAGCTGTCACCAAGACCAAAGGAAGAGAAACGAAGTCTACGGAAAATGCCCGGCTTCAAGGCGCTGCTGAGCAGCTTCTTCCAAAAGCCGCGGGCATTCTGTGGCATCTCACCTTGTCCGGTGGTGGAGATGGAGAAGATGACTATCGTCGGCCGCAAGAGGTCTTTCAACACGACCGAGTCGAGGTCGAGGACGGTCGTGTCGAATCGCAGACGTTCAGTCATGCGACCAATCTCCTCTGCCACATCCTGAGCATTGCCTGTCTCAGAGCCATAGAGAATCAGGGCAGTGCGCGGCGGGCTCCTGCGTCTTGCCGCATCAGCGTCGTGATCCTGGCGGAGGAAGAAGGCATCGGCTGCCGTGTCACACGCGCCTACTGCTGCAGTGCTGGCGACTGTGGCGAGTGCGAGGGAGGTGGTGTTGTGGTGCCGTACCGTTGACTCTGCCTGCCCTCAGCAACGCCCGCTCCTGCTGCTGCATCGTGGCCAGTGCTTTCCGTGAATGGCATCGTGAGGGCGGTGTAGCGACAAACTCATTGGCACATGTGCAGGGGCCGAAGAGCAAATGTGCTGCTGAGGCTCGATCATCGTCGCATGATGGGTCGAGCGGTGGCGGCCACGGGCAAAAATTCACCAGCATGCACACGACATGGCCGGGTCGAGTGAGCGTCATTGGCTCCGTTCACTTTAGCTCCCGCCTCCAGTTGCGCCTGCTGTGCGGCGAAGGCAGGGGTCCCGCTTGGCATGCGAAATGTTGATGATTCTCGAACTCCTTTCCGACGCTTCTCCTTCTCTCCATCGTCAATCAACAACACCATCACCACAACACCCAAAATCTCACGATCAGGCCACGAAGCTAGCCACGACAACTCTCCGTACGTCGCCCCCGCAGAAACGCCGCGCACGCGACAAGCGCATCGTCCTGACTGACACACTTTCTACAGCTTGACAATCTGTTTCCATCAGCGGACCAGGGCACCTAGTTTCCTTAACCACCACACGACCCCAGTCAATACCATACCCACAAAGACCTTTTTCGTGTCATCAACCTGCAAACAATATGTCTGTTGAAGCTGCCACCGCCCAATTGGCAAACACCACCCTCAACGAGCCTACCGGCACCGCGGAAGGCGCCAGTGTCGGAGCTGGCGGCGACAAGCCCATCAACGCATCACAGAATGAGGCTGTCATCGCAAGCGCCGCCGAGGGTCGGCGACTGTATATCGGAAACCTCGCGTACGCGACCACCGAGGGAGAGTTGAAGGAGTTCTTCAAGGACTACCTTGTGTACGTTGCACCTGCCGCCTCGTTGCACAGGAAGTCGCGTGCTGACTGTTATTACAGCGAAACCACTTCGATCCCAACCAACCCACGCACGACTCGCCCAGTCGGATACGCCTTCGTTGACGTGTCCACCCCTACCGAGGCTGAGCGTGCCATCAACGAGTTGAACGGCAAGACCATCCTGGATCGCAAGGTCTCCGTCCAGCTCGCCCGCAAGCCAGAGCCTGCTGCCGAGAAGACTGCCACATCCGAGAACGCAGAGGGTGGTGAAGGCCAACAGCGTCGCCGCTCATCTACCCGTGGCCGTGGTCGCGGCCGTGGACGAGGTGGACGCGCAGGTCGTGGAGGCCGCAAAGGCGCTGAGACCAACGGCGAGGCTACCGAGGGCACCAACGGCCCCACCAACGTTCCTGCTGCTGTCAACCCACTGACACAGACCACAAACGAGGCTCTTACCGGCCAAGAGGGCGAGGAGGGTACCATCACCGTGGACGGCAAGCAGGGCAAGTCCCGTGCCCCACGCGAGCCACGCAAGCAACGCGGACCTCCAGAGGACGGCGTTCCAAGCAAGACGAAGATCATGGTTGCCAACTTGCCTTACGATCTTCGCGAAGAGAAGGTATGTTTCCACTGAGTCTCAGAGTAATCGTTCCTGCCTGATGCTGACCTTTTAGAAGCTGCTTGAGATCTTCGCCGACTACCAGCCCACCTCCGCTAAGATTGCGCTCCGCCCCATCCCCAAATTCATGGTTCGCAAGCTTCAGGCACGCAACGAGCCACGCAAGGGTCGCGGCTTCGGCTTCGTCACGCTCGCTAGCACCGAGCTCCAACAGAAGGCTTGCGAGGACATGAACGGCAAAGAGATCGAGGGACGTGAAATTGCCGTTAAGGTCGCGATTGATAGCCCAGGCAAGGAGGACGAGGACCCAAACGCACCAATTGGCGAGACTGGCGTTGACGCCGAGCCATCGACTGCTGAGGGCTCTGCCAACGTCAACACTGCCACTGCTTGAGCGGGAGATTCTCGCTAGCGCGCCTGAAAATCTGTCTTGCCTCTCCTCCACTTCTTGCCTGTTCTATGCAGCATCTTGGCTATCTGGTATGGACATACGCTGCAGAGTTCTGGGCGAAATCGGGCTGCGGTGGGACAAACGAAAGGAAGAAGAACACCGCTCAATGTTGACATCGATTTGAACATGAGATGCGACGAGTTTATGCCATTCTGCACATTGTATTCGATGTAGTTTTAGATATGAACACATTGAGACAACCTGGTTGTGCAAGTTTTCAACTCCAGAACTTGGTCCGGGGCTTGTGGTTTGCGTGTTTGCATGTGCATATCGGTGAAGCTTTGTTGTATGCATCCTTGCCCTCGGCTCTGCACGTCCCCACAAAATCGTCTGAGCTCTTGTTTCTTATGCCGAGATCGCATAGCCGTAACTGACGTCTTCTTTGACAGAAACCGTCCGAGAACTGTCTGCATTACTTCAGAACAGCAAACATGGCCACCAAACTACGGATATTGGTGCCAGTGAAGCGTGTCATTGACTATGCTGTAGGCTCGCCCTCCAATGGTATCGCACCCTGCTGGGCAACGACTGAATCGTGTCATGACAGGTCAAACCTCGCGTCAACAAGGCCCAGACGGGCGTCGAGACGAACGTCAAGCACTCGATGAATCCGTTCGACGAACTTTCGATCGAAGAGGCCGTCCGTATGCGCGAAGCGAAAAAGCCTGTCGAGGACATCCTTGCTTTCTCCGCTGGGCCAGCCAAGAGCCAGGACATTCTGCGCACTGCGATGGCTATGGGTGCCGATCGGGGCATTTTGGTGCAAGAAGACAAAGTGGAATTGGAGCCCTTGGGTGTCGCGAAACTGCTGAAGAAGGTCGTGGAGCAAGAAGACCGGAATCTGGTCATTCTGGGCAAGCAGTCGATCGACGATGATGCGAATCAGACGGGACAAATGCTTGCGGGGCTCCTCAACTGGCCGCAAGCGACACAAGCTAGCAAGGTCGATATTGCAGACGACGGAGCGGTCACTGTGACGAGGGAAGTGGATGGCGGAGTGGAGACTTTGAAGGCCAAGCTGCCCATGATTATCACCACGGACCTGAGGTTGAACGAGCCGAGGTATGCGTCGCTGCCGAATATTATGAAGGCGAAGAAGAAGCCGTTGGACAAGAAGACGCTCAAGGACTATGGGCTAGACGGCGAGAAGAGGCTGAAGACGATCAAAGTCGCTGAGCCAGCGGCGAGGCAAGGCGGCGGTAAAGTGGAGGACGTCGATGGCATGATCTCGAAGCTCAAGGAATTGGGCGCGTTGTAGAGTGGACTCGGTATACGATTGAATGCCATACACGTGTACATAGGCGTGGTGTTGGTGCGAGGCAAGGTGAGTTGTTGCCTGATCTGTCCTTGGTACCGCAGGCTGCTGCCGCAGCCTTGCCACTAGAATTGGCAATCTGATGGAGTTGATACTTCTGATTTTGCGCATGCTGGCAGCTAAGCTTCTGCTTCCCCATGCCACAACAGCTTTCCTCTTTTTCGAAACTCGTTGCTGCTAATCTCGCACCTTCATACTCACAGGGAGCGGATTCGAGAACGCGCGCGCGACCACGCGAGCCACCAAGCGCTGGAGCGACGGCGCGCTTCAGCGATACGAAGTGCGTGCGGCCGTTACTGGACGACCACGTGAAGCGCTGGGCGCCTTCACTTGCGCTCACCTCGCGCTGCATTTGCTGGAGTCATAAGCGAGCTTTCTCCTGCCATCCATCACACCCACAACGTCCTTCGACGTGTCGCCACCACCGCGCAACGACACGCGGTCGTCAGCGAATGCACTCACTGCTCTAAAGGTCTTGGCCTCTTCGTACACATTATTTTGGCTTCCAAGGACAGCGCACCGCGCCGGATCGGACATCGCACATTTGGCAAACCACTGGATTCAAAATGGCTGCTATCGAGGGGCTTACAGTGACGCAGAACGTCGACCTTCAGGGCGTCAATGTCGGCGACCTCATCTTCGTGGAGAAGGTCGAGTACGACTCAGATGACGACGCGGAGTACGAGAGCGACGAGGAGAATGAATCCGATCGTGATGAAGACGGCGACGAGTACGGCGATGATTCAAGCTCCACCAGCGACGACGATGAGAGCGATGCCGACGACGGCGAGTCCGTCAAGCCAACCATGTAAGTAGGCGATGGAGCATTTTTCTTCGCCCCCATTTCAGGCGCAAGCAGTGAAATGCAGCTTGACGGAAGATCAGCTAGACGCAAGCATTTCGGAGATACATGCTAATGGAGCTCAATAGGTACATCATCGTAAGCATCACCAAAGATGCTGACGAGATCGTCGACATCAGCATCGCACCCTTGGCTTTCAGCGACAAAGTCGGTGCCCAGTATGGAGGACACAACTACCATATCTTCGGAGATCGGTGCGGGGCATCCCATGAATGTGAGTATCACCGTTTGGTGTCCCCGTTCGATTATACAAATGACGGAATCTGAGTCCCATTGGCTCAACTGCACCACGGCATCCCTCACGGGAGCCCTTCATATGCTGACCATCTTTTCAGGCGACGAAACGTGCCCCTTTGCCACTAGTATCAAACAGGTTGCCTCGGATGCTTCCGTCTTCTTGGTAAGTCCAACTGGTGACTACATCAGGAGCGTCATCATGTCCCCTCGGCGTTGTTTGGATACTTGCACGAACGGATTTCTCGATAGTCTTTCTTGCCTCAGCGACATGGTGGAGAACTATACCCCGGAGATGTTGGTGTACGAGCAGAGCAATGCGGGAGTGGTCCCGGCATTCTTGGAGAAGCCGCTCTGCCCCGTGTGTATTGGGCCAGGTCTTCTGCAAGAGCAACAAGGTCTTCAACATGATTTGTTGGTGAATAACCTTATGCGCTTCACGGCAATTGTCGATTACCACGGCATGGTTGCAGCGCGCCGCAATGCTCTCGGCTATCAGTTCGTCCAGTTTGATGAGCGGCGTTGGGGTATGGCATTTGGGGACATGCTCTCGGAGGACCAAGACGGATATGACGACGGTAAGTGAAGACACCCTGTGCATCTTCATCCTGTGATTCAACCCACTGGCTAGTGCGGCGGCGGCAGCAAGCGCAAATGCGCGAAGGTGAGACGCGATGGAAATGAACATCCCCTGACACTTACTCTAGGAGAATACGAGCACTGGGCAGAGGCCCAAGATCCTAATGCCATCGTGAACCTTCAGCCAGCTTCTAAAGAGACGATCGCCGCCCTTCCTCGAAAGAAGCGTAGCGAGGTCACATTCCAGGGAGAAGATGAGCTGTGCCCGATCGATCTACAGTCATTCGAGAGCGACTGTACACTGCTGCAACTTTCATGTGGCCACAAGTATCACGAGGAATGCCTTGTTCAGTGGCTTCGACACCACAACACTTGTCCGGTTTGCCGTGAAGTTGTCCCCGATGTCAATGGCGAGCAAGAGGGCAAGGCGAGGCCAGAGGTTACCTCAGGTAAGTTCAAATCATCACAGAACCTGCACTGTGCAGTAGCTCTAATTGCAGGGCGGAAAGCTGTGGTCGGGCGCTTGACTTCATAAACAAAGGAATTGTCATATCTGTCTGAGACATGCTAATCTTCTCTGGAACAGCTGCAATGCGCATGAGTCTACAAGAAGCACTCACATCACTGGGTTCCGCCGAGGATGCTGATTTCGATGCCGTCGACCAAGAGATGCTGCCTCTCATCTTCGAGAGCGCACGCGTGGACCGACCGGGCTGGCGTACTGAGACCGCAATCGCCAGAATCCAGGCTGAAATTACTCTTCGTGCTGCTGATGCAGAGGAGAATGAGGCTGACGGAGCAGTGCCGATCCAGAATGAGAACGAGAACAAGGGCGAGGACGAAGTCATGGCTGACGAATAGGTCGACAAACCGAGCCGAAGAAGACGCTCAACATCTTAGCGAGGGCGCACCGGAGTACTTGGCTATGCCTCAGCAAGAAGTCTGTGGGTTATATTGGAACTGGCTCTTCATGACAAACCTGGCTGGGTATGTGTCTGCGCTGGATACACCTGCCCGCTACCTGAACCTCTGCCGAGGTTTAGTGGGCCATACAAGTTGGTCGGGATCATGGGAAGAGAAGACAGCGCAAATATTCTAAGATGGGCGCACATGGCTTCTTACAATGCGCCATAGCGTTTCGAGCATGTCACAAATGACAGCAGTGTTCTTCTCATGTTCCACCATATTCCATACCTCCGTGACTTCATCGTGACCCTAACTCCGGCTATCGCCGTCTCTCGTCTTCACAGCTTCACTACTAAGCTGGACCTCGCCCGTTCTCCATTCTCATGACGTCTGACCTCCATCTCCGCCTTCCAGAACCTGCGAAATGGCGTCGCAAAGAATAGCAGCGTCTTTGCGAACGCTGCTGAGGGCCGGTCCTCGAAACACTCCCAGCTACTCCACCTCGACCATCAACGCGCGTTACCAGCCTTCTCTACACGCTTCCGGCACCTTACAACGAGCCCGCCCTACCACACGAACACAATGGCACGACATATACCGCAGCGCACAACGAAACGCCTTCTCCTCAGCCTCCCGAACCCGACCTCGAAGCAACACAAACTGGCAGCGCGCCTGGCAGCAGTCGCATAACCAACAAAAACGCCAATATGCCCGCCCCATGTTCAACCAAAGCCAATTCCAAATGGCCTCAACTCTCCTCCGACGCTGGGCAGCCCGCCCAACCTTCTACTACGAAGTCGCCTTCCTCTCCGGCGGAGTCGTAGGAATCTACATTTACAACCTCGAAACAGTCGCCGTTTCCGGCCGGAAACGCTTCAATATTATAAGCCCCGAAACAGAGAAAAAGATGGGAATACAATCTTATCAGCAAGTTGTACAAGAATATGGACGACAGATTATGCCGCCGAGTTCGAAGGAACATCGCATGGTGGAGAGGGTTTTGCAGAGGTTGTTGCCGCATTGTGGATTGGAAGGTGAGGAGTGGGAGGTTCATGTTATTAATGATGATATGAAGAATGCGTTTGTGGTGCCTGGTGGGAAAGTTTTTGTGTTTCGAGGGATATTGGATGTTTGTCAAGGGGAAGATGGTTTAGCTGCTGTCTTGGGCCATGAAATCGCACATAATGTAGCTCATCACGCTGCAGAGCGAATGAGTCAATCGGCGTGGATGTTGCCTCTGGTGTTGGTCGGATGGCTTTTTGGGATCGATCCGAATATTTCTGGGCAAGTGGGACAGATTGCTTTCAGTTTGCCGGGAAGTCGGAGTCAGGAGCAAGAGGCGGATTATATTGGACTGTTGATGATGGCAGAGAGTTGTTTTGATCCGCAGGCGGCGGTGGGACTCTGGGAGAGGATGGAGGCGGAGGAGAAGAGGATGGGTGGGGCGCCGCCGCAGTTTATGAGCACGCATCCGAGCAGTCATAATCGGATGGAGCAGATTAGGGAGTGGTTGCCGAAGGCTGAGGCGAAGATGGACGCGGCCGGATGCTCGAATGTGAAAGGCTATTTGGGAGGTTTCACTCAGGCTGCTGACTTGGAGACATTTGGCATGAGTGGCGGTGGTGGCCGATGGGGATGAAGGACCTCCCTGTACTGGATTGACGATCCCCACTCAAGAAGTGGACCCTTCTTTACTCCTACGATAACGAAGTTACACTATGGCCTTAGCGCTGCTCGATCTTCCACTGTGGACTGCGCGTTCGCACAAGCTCGAGGCGAGCATAGCACTGGCCACCAGAACATCAACAGCGGCAGCCCTGGCCGCCACGCAACAGGCACATATAGGATTGCAGAAAGGTCTCAGCGAAATCTCAAACAGTATATTCACGAAAACAGAGTTATTCATCTTTACTTTTGGACATGCTGTCAAGTTCCACTCATGCCAGAACTGCAGCTCACGACATCTACCAAGTCATGCTCTCATTATACCACCCAACCTCAACTCCCTCTTCACCCAGGATCTTCACAACCGCAGCTCGGCAGGCCTCACTGAACTGAGGCGGCCCACAAGTCAGAATTGCCAAACTCCTCGTCGCCAGATTGCGATGTCTCCGCATCACAGCTTCAATATCTGGCCTGCCCAGTATCACCTCATATGGCTGTCGATGCTTCGAACGACCTCGATGATGCTCTGCAATACCCTCTTCATCTTCCGCGTCAGCTGTCAAGTGGACAGTCATGTTAAGACGTCCGGCCTCGAGCACTGCTGCGAGCTCGTTCGCGCAAACGTCATCTGCTAGCTCACGCTGTGGGACGGCCCAGTAAATGTGCATACGGGTCTGAGAGTTCTTTTCGGCGAGAAAGTTCGCGTGTGAAACTGCTGTCGTGATGCCGGAGCCTCCGCATAGGACGAGCACTTCGGAGTAGGTTGACAGATCCAGCTTTCGGCCATACGGTCCTTCGAGGAAGACTGTCTGTTGTGCTGGCCCGAGTGAGGCTCTGGAAAGCAGTTTCCTTTGCATTCGGCCCGTCATGCCTTTGTATGGCCGTACGAGCAGCGTATGGGCAATCTCGCCGCCCACGGCGTATTCTCTTAAAGCCGGTCGGATGCTCAGATCGCTCTGTTTCTCTTTAATGACTTCAGTCGGCGACAGTGGTTCGGAGTTCGCAGCTTGCGGCCTTCGCCAAGAGCAAAGAGTGAATGGGTGACCTTCGTAACCGCGTAAGCCATCAGGTATGTACAAATAATAGTACACACCAGGTGCGATCCGTGTGTTGTCAAGAAAGTCCGTAATATCGAGCCGAACCATATCCATTTCTGGGTTGCAGGTAACAGTAGCCTTGACGCCTTTAAAGAATCGAGGCATTACAGATACCAGGACCAGGCTCTTGAGCCTCAGAATCCGATCCAGGACCCATATGGCTATGCACGGGTAGAGAAAATAGTTGAATTCGCCATCGAAGATGATGACATGGTACCAGGTTGTGACGAAGAAGAGGACTGACAGGCCGATGTGGACCACGAGGAAGGAATCATAGTACTTCTCGCGAAGGTAGTAGATCGATGCGAGAAGCATGAAGCAACCGATCACGGTCGCGGCAACTCCATTTCGCCAGTAGGCTTGGATTTTGTATGCGTCGTATACGTCGAAGAGGAGAGCGAAGGCTGTCCATGCCACGGAGTGGACAACGGCGTGAATGACGCAAATTCTGGCAACGAGACGATGGAATCTGGTGAAGGTTGCGAATGACCTGGAGACTGTTAGCGACTACTGCCGGATACAAAGTTTTCGGGAAACTCACCAGCCTGTCAACCACATAATGGGGTTGTTGCGAGAAGCAAATACCCAGACCATCGGCAATTGAGCAATTGACAAAAATCCAGTTCTGTCGCCGATATATCGTGCCCATTGGACCCTCTTGTCAGGATACCAGACATGTTCAGTAAAGACGCTGTACCCGGGGAAGCACATCATAAAATTGATCACCACGTACACGGTAAACAAAATGCTCTCGAGCCGCGGTGGTATCGTCCCAACGTTTCCGATCGCTACAGCTTCCTTGCTGCCAAAGGTCGCCGGGAACAGGAGATTTCTGCGAACATACAACCACAAGGTGGACGACGTGTCATCTGCAGCTTTCCTAGTCGACTGCTGAACTCGATACGTTATGCCAGTTGCAATCGCGGCGATCCAGAATAGCGCGAGCAGAAACGAGAAATTGAAGCCAAGATCCCATGCTTTGTAGAATGTTCTCACGGTGCGTGTGGCGCGTGCCTGCCATTCGGCATCCGGGATAGCGGGTACAACGAGCGGCGTTTCAGCAGTGGTGTGCGCTGCGGTGTGGTCGAGCACGAGTATATCGCGCAATTCTGATTCTGGCAATGCAGCTTCCTCGACGGTCGGGATGCGAATTCCCACTTCATCGCAAAGTGTTGTTAGCGTTGTCAGGCCAGCATGTCTCTCTGCTACAGTGCAATATGTTTGTGCGCAGTAGAAACCAGAGTTTATCTTCAGCGTATTGGAGCATCGGTCTACTTTCCAGTCTTGGCTATCATTGCTGGCGGGTTTGTAGTCGAATGTAATGGCATTGATGGCATTGAAGCAACCTGAGACAATTAGTGTCTTGGTTACGTCTTCCGCTAAGCATGAATCTCACCTTCAAAGCAGTACTGATCCACGCGTGGATAATAGTTCTTGTACCAACTGTACTGTTGTGTCTTGTAAGCTTCAACCTGTACGGGTGCTGTGGTAGATGCCAGTATTGCAATAGCAGAACTCCAGCTGGAGATCGTAGCTAAACGAGGCGCCATGTTGATGTATGAGACAGGATACGTTGGACAGGTGAGGTCGATGTTGGCAGCGACGGAGTCGGCGGGACGCGGCTGCCATTTCCTGATGCCCGCTGACAGGGCAAGGTTATCCTGTACAAGCTCTGAGGCGTGTTGACGGCGCTTGCTTGGGTATGCTAGACTAGGTTCTTGCTGTTGTTACGCTGTATAATTTGGAAGAGAATTGATCGGGTGATTCTGACACCATCCGATGAGCTCGCCTCCTTTGTAAGGCCATAAGGCATACGCTCTGAAACTAGAATAATGATGTTAAGATCGATGTGCGTGATTGCTGTCAGAAGAATTAAACGGCTTCCCAGTAATGTCGCACGACCTTAGCAATGCATCTTTGGTCCTAGACGGCTGCATCTCTTAGCAGCGGGCAAGCAACCAGCTGATTTGTCTTGCTGCGATCTGTGAGGACCGACCCCTCGCTGTCTGCAGGCACAACTGACTGCCGAATTTCAACAATGACAATGAACCGTTAGCTGCGAATTCTTAGTACGCCAAACGCCACACCTGCAGATGGACCTGGGCCAATTCTCATAGCTCCTGCGCAGCTTCTACTGCAAATCGGACCAGAATACGAATCCGTGGGGCAGTTTGGACAGAGATTCATTTGCTTTGGACCGGTGTAGTTCTACCCACCCGCGGACTGGTCCAGAGCACACTGCGCTTGCCTACACGGGCATCGCCACGCATGGGGCAGCCTATCGTCACCAGAAGGACATTTTGATGTATATCACAACAGCTTCTGGCGCGTGGGTGGACGCTGTCACAAGAGCAAATTCAGGCTGAAATGCATCTGATGAGCATGTTTGCGTAAGTGAAGAGGGCGGTGGAGTGTACAGCCTGGTAGCACTGGTGGCTCCTGGAGAGCCATTGAATGTCCACAAGACCGGATCGGGAGGCCTGTGCGATGTATTTGCCGGTATGATCTTCGAATCATCCGTAGGGCTGAGCACTGTGGCAGCGGCTCATGTTAATACTACACGTGTCGATAATGTCCTTCTTACGCTCTCATCACAGATCGTGACCCATGGAGGCCGCATATGCCTCTTTGGTGCTCACTGGCAGTCGGCGGTAGCAAACAATTGCTCCCGAATGAATATCCGCCATTCATGCTTCAGGTCACATTGCTACTCAGCCCTACGGCTAGTGAGCCATGGTCCTCCAGCGGAAGGTCACCTGCTTTTGCTCCTGAAGGCTGCTTCGTGCGTTTGTGAGCCTCCCGTGTAGCGTTGGAGATGCAGGCTCAGTGTCGGAAGGCGTCTGATAGTCGCATGTCTTCTAAGCGTCATCATCTGAGCAGGTTGACCTGCTGTACGCTTCGCTGGCACCGATTTTGACCTATTGGAAGGAGGGCTGAAGACGGCAGCTTGCATCGCGGTATGCGGATGGAGTCCGACAGGCAGTGCCTTGTGCCTCTCCGACTGCAAACGTGGAGTCGCCTGCATCAGAAGCAGCCACCGCAGCGATGAATAGTCGCTGTGCGCGGAAGCGTCTCAGGCCGGGCGTGCCACACGTCTGGGCAGCGTCGATGTCTTGAATCGTCCCACGGTGCGCGGTTGGCGGCATTTGCAGCTCTGAGTGGACCAAACGAGGCGCAGCGGCGTCTCGTCGCAGATGCTTCTGCTCTCTTCTTGCTCCCCGTCCCACCTCGCAGGAACGGCGCGGCCTCGTGGATATCGCCTTGCTGCATCGCGAACTCTTGCATCCTGGTACATTGTGCGAACCGTCGACGCGTGTGCGACGAGCCGGCGCGAGATAAATGTGTCGTCCTCCCACTGGCCAAGATTGGACTCCAGTCGCCACGAGTCTGCAAGGGCCCTCACTCGGCACCAAGATCTGCAGGCACGAGCACAGTCGAGAATGAGCTGCTTTCCGCGATCCAGTCACCCTCCCACAGCCTGGCAGAGCTGGCAGACGGAGCAGTATGCCCACGGCAATCCTGTATATACCAGCAATGGGCACGCAATGCCTGGCGACTACACGCAGAGCCAAATGCACGTCCCAATGACGCCGCCGCCGCCGTACGATCCCGTCCAGAACCAGTATGACTACGGACAACAGCCGAGCAGAGCATTCTATCTGCGGCCCGTGCAGAGTCAGCAACGGGTGCATGTGCCTGCAGAAGCAATAGCAAGACAAGATGGCAGACTTCGAAGGCAGGCATCGGCATGGGCATCTACAGTCGACCTTGGGCAAGTGTATCAGAACACCGGATCACAGCAGCAAGCATGGCAGAGTAGTGTGAATCTCAGTGCACCCCCTCTGCCAACGCGACCAGCTCCAAGACAGAATGATTGTCCTCTAGTACAAGCCATGAATCAAGGCTCGGCTTTGTGTGACCGAGTAGCAAATGTTGCGGCCAGAGTGAACGATGTTTTCGCGCGGATCGACGACAGCGAAAGGGAGAGCGACGACGAGCTCGAAGAAGCTACGGGAGGACTCATGACGATCAACGAGAACGAGCCTACCAGCAGAAGCAAGTCCTCGCCTCTAGTAGACTTCAAGAAGACGTGGATGTATGCCAATTCTCGTCTACCGCCGTTCATGCTGCCCATGAAGATCTACATTCCCACATGGCAAATCATCTGCATGGTGGCACAAGCTTCATCAGATGTATACCGCAGACCACGACGAGGCGAGCGAGAAGACTTCGTCGAGGCAGATTGGCAGCGAGGCACGAAGGCCATGGTCATCAAAACGCGTCCCGTTGATGATAAGAACATCATCGTGCTCGCGATTCGAGGCAGCAAAACATGGAATCCCGTCGACTGGGCCATCAACTTCAGAACACTACCCACTGAACCTAGTGGCTTTCTCGATGATACTGGAAATGCTGTTCACGCTGGTTTCCTGCAGATAGCCCGCGCCATGGTCGCGCCCGTCGCCTCTCGCCTGCGAAGTATGCTCGAGCAAAGCTACGCCCGTGGCCCTCCCTCACTGATCCTCACCGGACACAGTGCTGGCGGAGCAGTAGCAAGTCTGCTCTTCATGCACATGATGTCGACGAGCTTCGAATCCGAACTGAACGATCTCACAGGCTTCTTCAAGCGCGTGCACTGCATCACATTCGGAACACCGCCCGTCTCTTTCCTTCCACTGCAGAAGCCATCAGGAAAGCGATACGAACGCAACATCTTCCTTCACTTCGCAAATGAAGGCGACGTCGTCGTCAGAGCGGACAGATCCTACATGAGCACCATCGTGCGAATCGTAGCTGCTCCTTCACCCATGTCAACCCCAACCACGACGAACACATTACGAAAATATGCTTCACGACAGACAATGAAAGGCGGATACCAACCTGGAAACAAATACCAACCACCACGATGGGAAGTCCCACCGGCTACTCTTTCGAATGCGGGCAGAATGGTGTTGTTGCGAGAGAAACCCGGCAGCAAACGAAGAGCTATCGAAGCTGTGCAGGTAACGGATGAGGAATTGAGGGATGTAATCTTTGGTGATCCGGAAATGCATCGGATGGAATTGTATAAGCAACGCATTGATGAACTTGCTGTTGCGGCTGTGACAGGACGTGACGATGGATGAACAGGACCTTTGCGACATTGGAGACGCAGGCCATATGGTGGATATAATAATGATTAATGCCAGATGAATGAACGGAGCGATAAGCTGTATGATGAAGATTCAATACCTTCACTGATCCTTGATCTCGTCTAATCATCTACACGTCTAAGCATCGTTCCTCTCTTTCTTTGCCTCTTTCTTCCCTACCTATTCGCCCTTCCCGCCACCTATAGGATGGTACCAAACCCAAAAGTCGTCTTGATACTCCGAATGTAATACTCATCCCAATTCCTCTTGGTCGGCTCCTCCTGCCCAATCGGCACACCCTCCCAATCCACCCTCATAATCGTCACAGCATCCACATCATTCTGCTCAAATCGAATCTTCAACGTACTGTAATGTCCCTGCGGCCACTGCGCCAACCTCCACTTCTGCTCCAAATACGTCGGCTTCTCGAGTTTCACGTAGCTGCCTGAGACATTTCCGCCAAAAATCTCGAATTTCCCGCCTTCGTGGGCGCCTTCGAAGAGTTTGGGCGCACCGCGGGTGAAGGCTGCGATCCGTTGGGGGTCGGTGAAGACTTCGTAGACTTGGTCGGCTGTTGTGCGGAATTCTTGTTGGTCGGAGAGGGTGGTTGTGTTGACGACGGAGGTGTTGCCGTTGTTGGTTGTGGTGGTTGTGGAGGCGGATTTCTCGCCGGATTTGTTGATGCCGGAGTTGCTGTAGGTTTTCGCTGCGGTGAACTTGGCGGAGGGGTTTTCGCCGGGGGCGTGCTGGACGTCTTTGCCGTGTTCTGCGATCAAGGCTGGACCGAGCTTTTGAAAGTGTGAACGAAGTTGAGGGGTGATTTCTTTGCGGACGAGCTCTTTGGCGGGTTCTTTTTCGAGGGATGAAGAGTAGAGCTCTACTTCGAACTAGAAGAACGCTGTTAGTACTGTGACTCTGACTGATCGACTGGCTGATCGGGTAGAACATACGACATATTCGTCCTCTTCTGTGTCGTGTGCGACCTCTGGTATCGTGATTGTTCCGCTCACGTCCTTCGTGCCTTCGCGCTCTTCTTTGGTTCCGTCGTCATTTTCGTGCTCTTCTTTCACTGGGATATTGCCCGTCCACTCCAATTGTAACCGCACATCGAAGATGGTGATGACCTTGCCTTTCCGCTGTGCGACTTCCACATCACCGTCCATGCTCAGCACTTTGCTGACCTCTGCATTGACGCCATTCTTCTCAGCTTTGATGCCTACCAAGTCCTTGTCGAGGTAGTCCTTAGTCCAGGTGGAGACGTCCTTGTTGACCCAGTGCCAGTTGTTTGGGTTGTGGAGGACCATCTTGGTGGGGTGGTGGGGTTACTGGAGGGGACGATTTGTTTCGAAGAGAAGAATCGTTGGAATCTGATAGGGTACACCTGGACATTTAGTCAACATCATGCTTGCTATATGCGAAGGTACAAGCCAATGGCCAGCAGAGAAAGATAGCAGGGAAGGATGAGGTCTTGAGCCATGCTAAACGAGGATTGTAGAAGTGCAACATCTCGTGTGGTGTGAGGAATACCGGCGTGATTGGATTGGACCATGAAGAATATGCACTCACCTTTCAAAGCATCTGAAAGTCGTCAGTGAGTAACAGAGCAGACCACAGCTTCAAACATATTCTCAGAAGCTGCGTTTCTAGAATCACGACGAAGCACGCGTGCCTGAGTCGGCAAAAGGAAAGGCCGAGCCGAGGTGGCTTGTGGCTTGCAGATCCACCTCCACTTCTACGCGCTTCCTTTCTCTTGCCCTTCATCACGAGAACGGTCGGCAATGGGACTTTCATCTCCTGCTATACAGAGTACTCGCTCGTGCCGAAGACCATCTCTCAGCAATGGCTCGACCCGGTTATGTGCTGTGAGCGAACAATCGGCAAAATGCATCTGAAGTTAAGTGAAGTGAAGCCGAAGTAGCGAGAAGCGGCGTGAAGTGAAGCAAACGATGATGGGAACAAGCAGCCATTTTGTCGTGCAGCAAACTGAGCGACGCGGCTCGTCCTTAACAGCGGATACATCAGCGCTGTCTACTTACCACCATCGTCTGCAGTTCTCCGCACTGACTGCACAGGACATTCGAACAAGATGGCCGAAATGGAGCAACAGAAGCACTCTGTTGTCGATCACTTTCGCGCCGCGTGTGCCGCTCAGAAGCAACAAGCCGACCAGCTGAAAGGAAAGCCACGCAACCAGCTGCCTTTCCTGAGCAGGGATGCAATTCTTCAAACTCTCAAGGCTGGCCACGAGCAACAATTGCAGACGGCGGACTCTGCTGAGAACAGTCTACATGTCTTGATCGTTGGGCATCCTTACCCAGCATGCTCCAAGTCAGTACGAGAACTCGATTGTACGCTCTCAATCAAGGACATGCTTCTCGAGACCCGGCACGATGGAAGGGCCATCATCTTACGCCGCTTCGGTTCCGTTGTCACGAATGCTGTCGGAGGCACATACGGTGTGGAGGATGCTGAGGGAACCACCGAGCTGCTTCTGGTAGATGCTTTCAACTTTGCCGGAGACGATATCCTTCCGGCTGGCGCAGCTTTCGCCATCAAGGAGCCTTTTTGCAAAGTCGATGGCAGGGGCGATGCTCGCATCAAGGTTTCTCACCCGACCGATTTGGTTCTTTTGGACCCTGTGGATCAAGTGGTCCCACTTCATTGGCGCATCGATGGACTTGCAGTGTCCGACGCTATGGCCTCGACAGTGGTTCAGACAGACATTGAGATCACCGGAAGCGTCAAGGACCATTCTGACGAGACTGACCAGACGGAAGTGCGTAGCACTCCACAAGCGGGACGAGGGTTGTTCGCAGCAAAGTCCTTCAAGCTCGGGGATCAGATTCTCGCTGAACGCGCAGCATTCTTGATGTCCGTGAAGGATGACAACACTTATCACGCTCTCAAATATGACCTGAGCAGGAACATGATGACGGATGATCGTGTTGGTGCGCCTTACAAAGAGCTCGCACGAAAGCTCCTGCACGATTCCACCCTGGCTTCCAAGGTGTTCGATCTTTACTCAGGAGCTATCACAGCGCCCTGCGACGCTGAGATCCGCGTCGATGGCAAGCCTGTTCTCGATATCTTCCATATTCACGAGGTATGGGCCACAAACGCGATTGCATGCCCGGTATCTGTTGAGGACAAGGCATTTCCCGGCCGCCTCTCCGAGGACATCGCATCAGCTTCAGGGCTGTGGTGTCGCACAGCCTACTGCAATCACTCCTGCATGCCGAACGCAGAAAAGAGCATCAAGAATGGCGTGCTGACCCTACGAGCAACTCGCACCATAAAAGAGGACGAGGAGATTACCATCTCATACGGCGAATTCAGCAATCTGGCCGAGAAACAACGCGCTCTCTACCGCATCTGGGGCTTCAAGTGCGAGTGCGAGCTATGCAGAGCAGAGGGGCGTGACACAGAAGATCTCTTGAACCGCCGCGAAGCTCTCCGGGCTCGAGTCTCTGCTCCATTGCCCGCGAAGCTCGATGCCGCTTTGGTCTCCGACTCGAAAGCTCTGGTCACTGACGCTGAAGCAACATATGCCGAGTACGACGACAATACACTGCCACGTCTTGTCGTAGCAGAAGCATACTCTCGCCTTTTCGCAATCTATTCCAAGCTACTCGATTTCGATGCGGCCGAGAAGGCCCTGCTCAGCATGCTCAAAGCCCTTGCCGTTCTTGACTTGTCATCAGCAGGAGAGGTCGTCCCTCTGGGTGGCAATCTGGAAGAGATCACAGTCACGAATGTCCTCCTTCTTGCGGACTTGCAGAAGAAAGCTGATCAGGAAAAGGTGGCACAGAAATTGGAGGAGTTTGCTCAGAAGGTTTACTTGACGCTTAACGGCGATATGAGTGGCTTCGAAAAGCTTGTCCTGCCCGTCATCCCAAGCTACGTCGACAACGGCGGAGAAAAGTGAGCAGGGGCACCCGTTGAGCCATGGCACCAAGCTTCTATCAGTAGGTGTGATCATGGACTTGCTGTGCACTTATGTGCTTCACGGCGACGCTTCCGAAATAAGTAGCTGTGTATTCGCTACCAATAATAACATAACGCTACAAGGACTCAAGGTCCATTTCAGTTCTCCCACTGTTACTAGTTTGCTCTTTTGTCTGTTCTGACGTTTGTGAAAAAGTACGAAATAACCTTACCCTCGGCTACTGTTCTTCATGCTTACGGACAGCTTGCAATTCTTTCTTGCTAGAGCACAACATTGACCAAAGCTCCTTCCGTGGACGAAGTTGATCGCGCGAAGTGATCTCGAAATGTGCTGCGGCGGGATTTCTGTGTGCTGTCAGCCCTTGCCGCTGTCGCGGAGTTGACAACTGTCGCCAACGATCAGCTTGTTGCGAAAGAATCACATCTTTTCGGTCAGCTGAAACCAGCCTTTTCTTTTCCTGCTTTTCTCCCACTGCGATTATGTGGCTCTGTTTCACACTCAAAGGCCTCGCTGGTCCTGGCCACAGCTTTTCTTGGTGGTGGACAGCGTTATTTCCCCTGCACTTTGGGTTCTTCATCGAACAGTTTCATGTCTCACTGGCGCCCAAAATGGCCGCGAAACATAGTGCAGATGCGGTATTATGAAATCGCATCGCCGCTCTACGCTCTTCATCGGTGCGTTGATTGCTCTCAACATGAGCCAATTTGTTTCCCCTGATGCTCTCGTCGAGCATGGGTATGATATCCGTTGCGCGTTGGCGTAAAGGGTTCAGCCTTCATGGACCTGGACCTTGTAGTGCGGGGTCCAAGTTTTGCTGGAAGTCTCGTTGCCAGTCTTGTGGCTGCGCGCTGGAAGCTCCTGATCTGGTTGGGTTCGAAGACGCATCCGGTGTTACTTTCTCTCGCAATACAGCTTCAGCTTCACCAGCCAATTGTTCCCAGCTGTAGCCCGAGCGAAGCTTCGCTAGGATCATAGAAGCATCTTGGTCGGAACTTGTTGCCATGTAATGCAGGAGGTCTATGGCGCGGGAGAATGTGTGTCCTGCGGCCAGATTATCTGCTCGCTGTTGTTCGGAAAAGTCGAAGACCGAGCCGGCTGACGAGTTGCCCGAGTTGACAGAGAGCGACGACGGTTTTGAGGCTTCAGCTTCGGCTTCGAGCTGATTGACCCTATCCTGTAGCAATCCGTTCTCTCGACGCATGGCCATGCCGCGACTTTCGCCTTCTTGAGTTTCGTAGATACATGGCTCCCCTTTCTCAACGCAGTTTGCGCATTATGGACGTCCTCCGTCGCACTGAATAGCTTATGAGAAATTTTCATCACTCGAGAGCGGGGAATGAAAAGACACATACGCGAGTTTTCCTTCGTCGACACGTCCAACAAGCCACTTGCAACATTTTAGGTCGATCTGCTGATCCTGGGCTTCGCTTCTGTCGCTTCTTTGTGCATTGATTGTCTGCCATTCTTCCAAGACATGTACCGCAGGATCAGGGTTGATTCGCTTTATGGTTGGATTTTAGGTATGGATTGGAAGTGGCAAACTAGGTGTGCCGATAAGTCGCTTGCGTTGAACCGCTTAGCATCCCTGCTCGCTGCCTGAGCTTCTGACTGGGCAATGTTGAGCGAGGAGGCTCTGCTGAACTTCGAACTCATATAATGAAACAGGACGGATTCACAGGCTGCAGACGCAAACTCCGAGTTCTTGCCCGATCAGTGCATTGCGACGGCTTTTGTGGGCCTCGGAACTGTGCAGGTGAGTTCTCGGTCGCCTCCCGGGAGATGGAGTCGGTTCTGCCCACGTGCAGGAGCGAGCTTATGGCACTGTGGCGAAAACGTAGAGATTCTGCATTGGCTGATTGCAGTAACACACTGTTTGAGCGATATCCTGCCTTCTTCGACGACGTTCTTACCGCCGCATCGACAGTTCTGTGTAGATGCAGTTCACATGGTCTGGCAGACGCTCTTCTCCAGACGCTTTTCAGCTTCTACAGGTTCTCAACAGAGGTAAGGACGGAGGCAAATCGTTATGGGCCTTCAACGGCGAGCATGGCCCTGCGCGTGCCGTGAACTCGCAAGATCTTGACTGGCATTGGACTGCACGACTTGAGGTACGCTTGCGAAGCGAAGATTGCCCAACACAGCAAGGAGATCATGCAAAATGCAGGCGATCGACGATGCTTCGGAACTTCATCCGATGACAACTCTGCTCGGCGTATGCTGTGCGCAACGCATGCCAGTTCCGTGAGTACAGCGAAAGTTCATGAAAGTATGTGCCATCCTCCCGAGTGCAGTTTAAACTGTTGCGTAATAGGAGGTATCATACTCCTGCGAAGCTGCTTGGTCATGCGCCTAAATCCGCTTCCACAAGCTACACCTCCGGGAAATGCAGCATGGTTAGACGCAGGAGTGTTGGAGCATGAGATGGACTTCGAAAGACGCAGAAATGTCTAGACCGTGCTCTATGTGAGATCTTCAGGCCACATGAGGCGACACTCTTCGGAGGGGACAGAAAAGATGGACGGTTCTGCTGCTTGCATGTGGAGGAGTGAGTCCTGCGGAAGAGTTACATTACAAGCCTGTCCCGTCTGATGGCCACTTTCCAGTGCCGTTCGCAGCAGTCCCGGGCCGTTTGTCTCATGTCAGCGACTGCGGAAAGCTGCGACTCCCTGTGTGACAAGTAGCCGTGTAGACGCCCTCCAAGCACCAAGATGGCACATTGTCCAGTATACCAATTGGCATCGATGCGCGTCCGTACGAGCATCTCCATACATCGCAGCTTGCAACTTTCCTTCCTTGCCCGAGAGTCGCACAGCATGTACTTTTACATGATGATTCGTATCATCTGTTCTCCTAATCAATTGCCTCAGAACGCCGCCCGTGCCGCTAATGGTATCATTCGTCTTCTGTACATTTCGCCTGTCGGCGATGCTCTAGTGTCCACCGCCACCAGAATACTTTATTTTCTCTTGTGTGGGCCAATAATTTGTGGGTAGAATCTCGACAAGTGGTGGTTGATTGAGCTTTTGGATTGCTGCGTCGCCTTTCGAGCATCCATGCATCCTCGTAGTTGTTGTTCCAGAGCAGCACAACCTGCTGCACTATAACCCGATGACGCCCAGCATCCTGAGAGGTCAGTTAGCCAGATGCGACTGCTTCATGATACACCATGCGAGCGTACCTAGCATGCTGCTCATGATGCCCAGACATGGGTTTGCTTCGCCTTTGTTGGGCTTGCGAACGCGGAGTTTCGGTAAGGGAGGGAGCTTCGGCGTCGTTGTCTGCGCAGCCCTGGCCAGAGCCTCACGAGATGTCTTTCCGGCCACCATTTTGACGGATGTGGTGATGTTCGCTGCTCAGCGCACTCACAAGCAGTGGACGACTCCCGCGGCGTGTGTCTCGATTCAGATGCAAGTCACATGCTAGCGTGTTTTTGGCGAGACGCTGTCGCCTGGGCACGGGCACGAGCTTGTTGTTTGGGGTTCCACTTTCGCCGCGCTCTCAGGCACAAACACACTCCACACGCGCCGCTGCACGTCCGACCGCAACAAGGAACCATGGACGCGGACACGACATCTATACACGACATCCATACCGGTCCCACCGATGCAATGCTCCCCACCGCCACGAGCTCCGACGACGACTCCGCCGCCGCATCGGCGCAACTCGAGTGGGACATGGGCGATGCCGCTGCGCTTGCGCCAAATCTTGTTCACATCGCAAAGGTGCAGCGCGCGTGGGAGCGCAAGCCTGCATCGCCGTTTGCCAGGCGACGATTCAAAGTCGGGAAGATCATGAAGCGGACTGGGTCAGGCAACACACTCGCACCTCCCGGCATGTTTAACGTGCACATTCGCGAGCCTGCAAACACAGGCGCCACCGAAGGCACGCCGCTGAAGGCGGTCAAGAAGATGCGCGTTGGGAGCGGTGCGTCGGATCGCACATCGAGCATTGTCAGCAACTGGGACGGGCGGGGCAGTCCGCAAAATCGCAGAATCGTGACGAGAAGTGGTCGTGGCGATGAGCAACTAATTGCATTGGCGGACGAAGACGAGGATCAAGATTGCCCAACAAATGATATGGACGTGACCGCACTTGTCGCCGACAACGCACTCGAACGCGAAACCCCAGACGACCCTGAAGGAACCATGATTGAGATCCTCGATGAGAGCGGTATGAAGATGGACCTTGCTTCTAATGACGTGGATGACGACGAATGGACCGATGAAAGTGATGATGCTTCGGACTCAGACGACATTGACCATACACCTGATCAGTCAGAAGCCGCGCCCCAGCAGGATCGATCTACTCCTCCAACGACACGTTGCGAAGAGTCTCTCGCCGAAAGCGATGTCGATGATGATGCCACAGAAGTGGACGACGAAGAAGAAAGCGCGAGAGGATGGCAGAAGCTACGCGATGAGCTGCCTGAGGAGAGGAGAAAAGAAGCTAAATCCTTGGGCATTCCGCTCGGCGAGTACCTTCGACGCTTCTCTCCTAGCTCTTCGGAGTCAAGAAAGGGCGACACGACAGATCTACGTGAGAACTCCGGCTCCACAGATGCCACGGACAGACTATCGAAAGTGCTGTCGAATGACCAGACGAGCTTACCACCCGGTTTCGTCTCACCTGCCGTCGCCCGAAGACGCCCGATTAGCCAGGTCAAAGCGCAGAACGCCAGTCGACGGAGGACACTTCCAAAGGACTTTGCAGCACGACAAGCGGCCGTGCAAAACGACGCGCAATCTGACTCCAGGTATAACGTTCCTGATGAGCAGCACGATTCTCCGCAGGAAGACGCTTGCGTTCTCACCCCTGAGCAAGCTTACATCAAGCAGCAGCGGCAAACAACATTTGGGCAAGAAGATAGCATGGAGTCAACCGAGAGTCTACCTACTCCGACGTCGAGTCCGTCGGCCCGTGTCCCAGATGACTCTACGGCGGCCAGGTTCTCTAGTCCAGTCCCCAGCATCGCTGGATCACATCCGCGGTTACCACTTCGACGTTCGCCTAGAAGACAGTCCAGCAGCCCCTTCAAGCGGAAAAGTATCTTGAAGTCCACGCAGAAACCTCATTTGATTGCTTTCACACCCATCAAGAGGTCCGAGCAAGCCGCTTTCCGTGGTGATAGTTCGCCCTTACCTTTTGTGCCATCAGGGATCGCAATTGGAGATGATAACCCTGATCGAGCCGCACGATCATCTTCTGCACCACCGGAGGAGCCACAGATGTCACCGCGAAGACACCAGCAGCCGCGCATATCTGACGACACTGCTTTGCTCGAAGCGTTTCTCAAGCGGGCTTCTGAGAGCAAGAGCGTTAAGCGGGTGTCGGACACGGCAAGACGCGAATCCTTTGAGAGGCAGGCTGAAGGATCAGTCGTGCCCCAAGCGCTGGCCAGCAGTTCCCTTGTACAAGTCGCGCCGACCTCGAAGGATGTGTTGGGAGATCTGGACCCTAACAGCCCATCTCCGCGCAAGGCGTCCATGACACTTCACGTTGCGATGCACAATCAGCCGTCGAATGCCGAAGATCCAATTTCAGACGATCATGACGAGGATGAACTTGCTTCACAGACAATCCAACGCCCAAGGCCCACAGCGAGTCGCAAAAGCGGTCGAACCAAGAAGAAGCCCGAGACTTTGTCAGCGAGCACGTACTCGGGGCCGGCAAAGATCTCCATCAAGGGCAGAAGTGAGGGCGTTGTGCTCAAGCAGACGGAGGCTCATAGGTTGGCCATGGAGACCAGGAAAAATACTCAGGGTAACAAGAAGGGTGCTGTCATGCCATTGGTGCGACTCAAGACCTTACGCGAGGAAGCGGAGGCTTTAGCAAAACGCAGTCCCGAACTTGGAAGCGACATGATGGAGATTGAAAAGCCAGCAGGACGGAAGGGCATCACGTGGTCCGAGACTTTGGTGTCATTCTACCAAGGCGAGGAGCCTGAAATCAGCATAATGACGGAAGATGCTTCACTAGATCCACTCTCGTCACAGGATGACACCGTCACTGGATTGGAGGCAGGAATTGTGACAGAAGCACCGCCTGCCAGGGCAACGCCTAGCAAACCGAGAATGAGACGTCTGAAACCATCAAGGACTGCGAGCACGCCTGTCAAAGCTAAGCCCGTAGCTGGGCAATCGGCCCCGGTGACCGAAGGTGAGACTCAGGCGGCCACGACCACGGACAAGAAGCCCAGATCCTCAACGTCAGTAAAGCGACAGGTCTCACGCATCGCGACACCTGCGAAGCCGAAGCGAGGTGCGCCATCAAATGTTGACGACGATGACACAGTCGTGGCCGGTGACGATACTCTGCAGTTCATTGTGCCACCTGACGCCTCTTCAACCGTTCAAGATCATCCTGTGGCTAAGTTGAAGAGATCTATTCCAACCCCCGCGTCTAAAAGGACGACCGGGACCAGGCTGCCAGCGCCGACTGCCACGCTTCCCACTACCGGCAAAGAGAACAACCTCATCGCATCTCCACCTAAGAAGCGGATGACGAAGACGTCCGCTCACGCTGCTGCGGCGCCTATGAAATTGGGACAGTCAGGCGAGCCTAGGAGCCTTGCGGCTGCTCCAAAATTTGACATTCAGAAGGCATCCAAAGGCCGCGCAGGGAATGATGGGCCCGAGGCAAGCTTAATATCCAGCCCACCAAAGAAGAGTGCACGTATGCTACCAGGGAAGGAGGTGGCAAGGGGCATCGTGCTCGGTGTTGGAGTAGGGGTTGAAGATCAGGACATCAAGCATGGTGAAATGTCATTGAAAAGCCCAGCCAAGAAAAGGACTACCAGGCGGATGATCAGCTAAGGCGGTCGGCCCCATGTTCTGTTGCACCATCTGCAGATCACCACTTTCATGGGCGACCCTCTTGCACGAATGAAATCGACTGCAAATGTGCCGGTTGCCATTGTTGGGCCTCATACACGATCCAACAGTTCGTCTTGCTAGCAAGTCGCGTTACAAGCGCGGCTGTTCCCACGCAGCTGACCACAATTTGTACGTATTTTTACTTCTCTTGACGAAGTCACGATGTCACGCCACACAATCCCTAGCCCATCCATTCCCCCACGAGTACGAGTGGAATTTCTCCTACAGTTTCGCATGACCTCAGGGCTGCGAGGCCGGTGCGATGCTCCAAGATTCCAGCCAAGAGTTCTTGGTGTCACAACCCTATACTCTTGATATGACAATGTTCGTAGCCACATGAAGGCCCATCGACCTGCGTTGCAAAGCAGCTCGCTTGCGGGAGAGGTGGATCAGTGGCCGGGACTACGCCTAAGCATCGTCAGAATCTGGGATCATCACTCAGTAGTGAGAACCTGTCCAGGCGAACGAGCAGTCCAACGAGGTTCTTTGATGGAAGCACGGATCTCTCTCGGGCAATCCTGCTTCGGGCCGGCGTTAGATATGGCGCTATCACGGTGCATGAAAGTGAGGTCGAAATAGGCTCGTCGTAGGCCCGGAGGAAGCTCCATGATCGTCGGCTCACATCCGAAGCGCACCCACTTCCTTCCTTGCATATTCGCACCTCGTGCCCGCCTCCGATGAATCCATTGCTCGGCTGGGGAAAGTCGCCTGTCGGTATCGGCAGCTTGCAGCATTTGGAAGCTTGCTTCAGCTCGTCCAATCCGATAGTCCTCTCCCGAGGAAAGTCGCGCCTGCGCACGCTTTCTGGTCCTGCATTCTTCCAGATCCACATTGAGGATTTCGCGAACATGGATCTTCCATGATCAGCAAATAATCAACGAAATCAGCTACATAACACCTTGCAGCAGAATCGACGGCAGAGAGGACTGTCGTCGAACTCGCACTTTGCTCACAGACCCGACTCCACATCCCTGTGCTGTATGCAGGAGATCCTGAGTAAAATGCAAGTTTCACACTGGAAAGTTTGCAATGGCGGATAGCTTGGACTAGGCGGTACTTCCATTGGATACGTGCGGCGTCAGGCTAGCTGATGTAGCTGCAGTCGGGCCCTTCTCCGTCGCTGCGATCCGACTTCACCGGGACACCACACGGCCAGCTCCATGTCCCACGTATGTTTTTGTTCCAAGTACAGGGTGGTTCAATGGAGCAGGGCACGATCTCAGCTTGACTAGACTTGTGACATGGTGCTCGGGGTGCTTGCTTCCTGGCTGTGTTCTTGTATGATGTGCTTCAATCTCGTTTTCCGGGGGTGAAGGGCGGTATGCGTATGTGCATTGTCTTACGCAAGGGCTTACTAAAGCCTTGGAAGCCAGACATACTCACTCAATTCGGAAAGGAAAATGCCATCAGAGATATCACGGCAGCACCGGGACTGGTATCAACGATGATGAGTGGCAGCCTTTCAACAGAACGGCCCAACGCAAGCCTTTCTCCGGGATTCGAACAGTTCACAGATCGTGCCAGCTTTATCAGAACATTGCGAGAAAGATTGTGCCTTTCATTGCCTCTCACTTTCCAGCATCTCGTCGCCCCCTGCGCCGGACAAGGCAGAGTTACGCAAACCAAAATTGAAGACGTACTAGGGTTGGACGATTGACCGCGCCCTCCAGTGCAAACATTCGACAAAGGTTTGAGATATGTCAAATGTGCACCCCTGGATGTTACTGTGGACTATGTAAGATGGAGTATAGCCACGCCGGCGAAAAGGCCGAGTCCGCGTTGCATTTCCGCGCGACGATCATGCATTGAAGTCTCCTTGCTCTGAGGCTTTTCAGAGACCAGTACCGGGACCCAACTTTTGTTGAGCTTGTTGAGGCAACAACATTTCGTACTGGACTTGAAAATCAAACATCACTCTCAAGTGTGTCCAACGCTTTACCTGCGTAGAAGCTAGGTCAAGCGACCAATAAGCTCCATCTCCGGACCCGGAATTGCATATACACGACTCGTGCGTCAAGTTTCTCCAAACAGCCTGCTATGCGAGACCGTCCCAGCGCTCTTACTAGCTGCAGTGCCAGCCAGCTGCCACGATTGGCAACTAATGTCAAAGCTTCTCACTCTGCCACTCTGAGAGCCACTTTCAGAGGCCCGGAGCAATGAGTGTCTTTCGTTACAGCAGTCCAATGCTGGTCACTTTGGTGCAATAGAGCACTTGTGATGTTGAGGTTCCGGCCTCCCCGATCAAGAGACAGACGATAGATGAGTGTTCTTTTTCGCTCAGCCCTGACAAGTTCGATGGATATGTCATTTGGAGTGCTCAAGAAGCCTACAGCCGAACACGGTCTACACCTCATACGCCTTACACTGTACGATACAGGTGGCTTGTTTAAATGTATTTCTGGAAACGCCTGTGCCTCAGCTACCGAGCAACCATCACGCCACTGAGCGCAGGAAAAATGGGCATCTGCTGCAGGAGCTACAGCTATCACCTACCATTTGCAATCGGGCAGCAATCTTGTCGCCCAGTCGTGCCAGTAAGAAGTCGACAGATAGCATCCCTGCGCAGTCTAGCACGTGGATACCACATGCGGCTTCCACTTCCCTTGTGCAGGACACAGGACCGAGTCCGCGACAGCCCCCCCCCATTGTGGGTCCCGCAGATGTGTCCAAGAACCGATACTATCTCGCAGCCACTACATCATTCAGACGCATGCGGCACAGCTTGGCTGTTAGCACTGGAGAAGTTTGTGATTATGGCCATAGAAGTTTCCTATTTGCGCATTGTATCGTAATTTGTGGTCCAATATTAGCACCGTTCATCGTCTCATGGCTGCCACGCTTTACAACAGTCCATCAGCAAGCTGGCTCGCGGCGCGGGATCCATAGCACCAAGCGGCAAGTAGTAGCGACGGGCTTCGCACCGAATGTGTTACATGGAGCATTCTGCGGCAACCAATGCAATCAATGTATTGCATTGCTTGGCGTATCAGGATTCCTCCTCCAGAGCCGATGCTCAATTCCGATACCTCCCACGGACCGGATCGAAGTAGCCACGGTAATGACCATGACCGTCAGCACCAGAACCTGGCAGCGATTATCAGTTAGTTACATCATGTTCGGAGCCACTCCCGAATTCGTACCTCGCGTCATTGTCACTGGCACTGCAACTTGCGATGTGGGCGAGGGCGACTCATCGCCGTTTCCGACAGCGTCGTTTGCGCCAACAGGTTTCTGTGCTTGTCGACCATCGCGATACCTGAAAACATGCCAGAGCATCCACTGCGAAAACCTGTAAACAACGTTTCAGCTGAACGCGAAAGGCTTTGACGCACCCGTATGATCCAGTTCGGTCGTTCTGGGAGCTCCGGATCTACGGCGAGATCGTATAGTGTCTTCGTGGTCGGTTGTGCCGTGTGATATATCCGCCGAACTTCTTCATCCATGATCTCTTCATCGACTTGCGAAGTACTATATGAAGACTGCCTGCTGCTGCCAGGAACGGCCCCGACCGCCGTTGCACGAGCATCGAGGACTGCAATGATTCGTTTTCGGCCTTCGCTGGCTTCGAGCTGGGAAAACTTGTTGTGAGAAGCTGCGCTAGTTTCTGTGAAGAAGACAACCACGCACTTTCATTAGCGTATAGATCCGGCGATGCATGTTGTCCCTCATGTCTAGACCGATGTGGCTAGAGTGGCAGACGTTAACCCACACACCGCGCAACGATATATCCGCCGCACACTCACTTCAAGAGCCTGGCTTTACTATCGCTTCGCGGAAGAGCAGGGAGAGCTGGCGACATGGTGTGAGAGGACAAATTTGGACGAGCAGAACTCAAGACGATCGTGGAGCAACCAGCACATAGATGGGCGCTCTGGTCTTATGGATCTCGCGTTGAAGCCTGCAGAACCACACATGCGAGCGAGCCTCCGCAGCTGGTTGAGCTGGCTGTGATCTGCACTCATAGATTGAGCAACACGCTGGGGTATGTGGTCGAGGGCGAGATGAGTGCATGGCGGAGCAGCTCGCCCGCGAGTAGGATCTCAAGCGTGACGGGACGCTGATAAACCTGTCTGTTGTGTAACCCATTGAACAGTTCGATCTGGCCAATTTCAGGCGGACGGCAGTACGAGCCCGCCTGACAGTAGCCATCGCAGGACCACGTTCCTTGCCCTTTCCGTTCGTGCGTGTCCTCACCACAACCAGGACGGCAGGTGGCGAGGGGCCAATGCCGACACGCATGGCACTAGACAAAGGAACCATCCAACAGCATCAACGCCTGTGACCCCCGGGAGGCCCCTAGTTCTTGCTGCCCCACTAAAGTGGAACAGTACAGTGCAAGCAGTGCTTCTGCGCTTCGTCACAATGGCGAGGTCGTTATACGGCTGGTCCGCCATATCAACAGACGCACGGATGCACTAGAACTAGACTGGCGGCAACCAGACAACTTCGCCATCGCCACCAGCATATTTGCTGGTTGCACACCCTTCATGCGCCACAATATGGTTGGTACGATTCACAGATTGACGGAATTTCTCTCTTCTTCAGCCCCATCATTCGAATCGGATACTTGCAACTTGCTACGGCTTGACGAATCCCGGCCTCTTCGTCGGGACCGACGTGAGCAGCCTCACTCTCGGCAATTTATGATCCTCAAAGTAGCATACTGTGATTTGTTCGTTGCCTTTCGCAAGAAGTGCAGAGGCTGCAATGGCACGCAATCCTGACGAAGTGGCCCAAGCGTGGTCACATATCTCATGCACATGCACCTGCACCCGTGAAGAGCCCGCCTAAAGAAAAAGGCAATTCGCTGCTTGTCATGCCAAAATATGTGGAGCCCGCTTGCCGTGAATCCCGTCTCCATGCACACACCAAGGCGGGTAGGCGTGGTCTGCAGGCTGCAGCCGCACAGTGGACAGCCCGATATGCTACGCCGCACGTCGTCATATTGTCCCGAGCCGAAGCCAAGTCGTTGTCTGCCATCCTTTTCAGCGCCAAGCTGCGAGAGGAAGCTCCTGCATGTACCCCATGAATCGTGCTTGCAACGCTGGACGATACTGAATGCTCAACGACGAGCCTTCTTTCGCGCATCATGCTGTGTATTTATCGATGCTACGGGGGAAATTTCAAGGCGGTGTGTCCAGTTTCCTTAATAGCTGATGTGAGTGTGCGATCGCATCGTTACAGATGGATGAAATTCCACGTCACCTGCCTCATGGTCAGCACGATCCACGCCTGACCCTTTCGGCGTCTGCTCCGATTTTGCCAGCAAAATTTCTCAACTGCCGCAGTCATCGCTCTTGCTGATTCACAGACCCTGCAATTTTGTCCAATAAGTTCCAATCGAGACTCATAGCGTCGCGTTGAACCAATGCTGCATGTCCTGATGGGCAATGCTCCGTGCGAATACAGTGCAGCGACAGCGACGTTGAAACTGGTGACGAACCGTCCGTCTTCTTTCTCGGTCTGCATCCTCGCTGCTTCATGACGAATCTTTAGCATGAACACTGTGGCGTGATCTCCTAACGAGTCATGTCTAGAGGAGAACTTTGAAGGAGGGAGCAAGTTCACAGCAGCTCAGAGGTAGCGAAGAGATGCACTGACGGTCGCACAGCACTCTGCTTCTCCAGGATCCTCCCGAAGAAGGGAAAGTCGGTGTCCAGATTTGAACAGCTGGAATCACAGTGCAATGAACCCGTCAAATCAGATGCGCAACCAGATTGAACTTGGATGCCCGGACTTTAGGCCTTTGTGCGATGCCATATGTGCTGATGCTTTTCTGTCGCTCTCAGCACGCTCATAAAGTATGCCATCGCATGTCCATTACTAGCGGATAACCGACATTAAAGCAAAGCGGCAACCTTCCTTTCCCCCTTCCGCCTCCCTGTATGTAGAGCTGCTGCAGAACACGAGCAGTTCAAGGGCCACCGGTGAAGGAACATAGTAGAACTCATGATGGAACTGCGCAGAGGTCATGGTGACAGCTGGCGAGACAACCAGCGCACGGCTACAAACGGTCTTCTCGTAGGACGGAAGGATCCAATGTGACGGTCAATCTCCTCGAGGTGGTTCATTGACGGGAGGTCCGCCCAACGAGCTGTGACCACGAGCGCAACAGGGACCCACAACTTGTGAGCTGCTGCATTGAGCAGGGAAAATGATTTGCTGCTGAAACACGCTATTTGAAATTTTGGGGGACCCATCCATCCTTCAGAGAATCGCAAGAGGAACGGTATTTGCGCGTGTGATCGCTGATCAGGAGATGAGAGCTGCGGGTGGTTGGTCTCAGCAGTCGTCGAAGCATAGACGGCCTAAGAAGTCTAACTGACAGATAGACAGACAGACTTTCGCGCCCGAATGATCTGGCGGGCAAAGTACTGTCGGCTCCAGACCTAGGCGGCCAGGCTGGTCTCGATTTCGGGCACGACACCCAACACTGGAAGCTCTTGCCCCCATACTTGGAGCGCGGCTTGCCTCCTGCAGCTACATCCTAGAAGCTCCTGAGCTTTGACAGTATGGAATACATCGCGTAGAGCCCGAGCACTTCTTCGCTTGCCCAAGAAGACCCACCGTGGTTGTTGTCAACCGCATTGCCGATTATTGTGTCTCCTTCGTAAGACTTCGTAACAAGACCTCGTTTAGCCTACGCAACCATCTGCCGTGCTTCATCTTTGGCGAGCCTCGTCTGCGTCTCGCCTCCTCGACGAGTAGCTACAATGAAGGCAGTGCTCTTTCACGGCAAGCACCACATGCGTTTGGTGCTACTGTGGCTTCCCATCTCCCGGAGATTCCAGATGACTCCGATCCCGCCGTCCAGGGAACGAAGCTTGGATGATTGTGGGGACTGAAGCATCACAGTGCTGTAATCGTGCAGACTCGTCATCTGGCTGACGAGGAATGGACTACCAGGTTGTCAAGACCTGGAGAACCACTATTGATCTGGCCACAAGGTCGATAGGTTGAGTGCAAGAATCAATGAATAGGACGCTTTGATCGTATCGACGCAGCTTCCGATATTGGGCCTCGTGTCTACGCAAGTGCGAGATGCTATCTACTAATCTTTTGGATGCTTGCATTAGCCGTCGTATTTATCCCAATAGGGGCGTCTGGAATACCTCTAAACGTCCAACTGCAATGCTGGAGACCCGCTTAAACGCATGTGACGCCTCGAAACAAGTCTCATGCGCGCTTGCATCGCTCTTTGCGCTGGGAAGAGAGGATCTGTAATTCGAGGCGGAGGGCTTCTTCACGAAGGACACGCGAGCAGAGCCACATGGAGGACCACTTGTTGACCCTTGTCGGGACTCGTGCTTCGTCTAGCTTGGCCAAATTATTGATCGATGTGCTGTCGAAACACAATCACACAACGCTGTCATTGTTTGTCAAGGAAAAGCGTATTATACGCGAAGGCGTGGAAAGAAGTCCGGATCTCGACGAAGGAGTAGCTCAGCATCCACTTGGCTTGACTAGCCCATCAAAACCGGCCTTGGATACAACTACTGGCTTTGGTTATCGACTTCATGCCCATTGTTGGCTGCAGTGTGTTGCCAGGATGACCAGAATACACAGAATGTGTTGAATCTGCTGGCCAAAAGACAAGTCCACCAAAAACGGAGAGAAGTACTCTTTTCCCCATGGTAGAGGATGCAGTCGAGAAGGTATGAATCCGAAAGTTATTATGTTCCTATCTTGCTTTACGGTGATAGACAGACAGCAAAACCTCAAGACCAGTTCTGCCCCCGATATGCAAGAGTCTGGTCATAAATCCCTCGGTTAACGTGCTCCAGTCGATGCCACGAAGCGGCGACATAGCTTTAAGGCCAAGCATCATCTGCTCCTCTCCACCTCTGATCGAGTGGCTTCCGCTGGCCCGCATCGCCCGATCTCAGCCCCTTGATCCGGTGGGTCTCCCACACGTTACGCTGGACGTAAAGCTTCATGTTCGCGTCCTGATCGTACATGGCGAGGTTGAGGATGTCTTTGCTGTCGACTTCGTGAGGAAGATCTCCATTGCTTTCTCGCTCGCCGGAATGTGGTCTGAAGAAGGTGGGGTCGGGATGCGGATCGAGCATCTCGGTGAACGCGAGCGACATGATTGCATTCTCCACCCCAGCAAAGACATAAGGAGAATGCATTGATGGCGATGCAAGCGAGTAGACACTGGATTCGAGAACTCTGTTACGATTCCAGCTACTACCGCGAGCGATGAAAGCTGGATTGCTCGCTCGGAGGAAGATATTGTAGTCGTCTGCTGCATCACGCTCTCCAGAACTGCTCTTTTCCTGACCCTCAACATCCAAGTAGCTGTAGCACTTCGCGCCAAGTCGCATGTCGAAGACTTTCAGCAGGTTGTGCCGACTAGTTCCAGCAAGTAGCCTCTCCTGGCCTCGAGGCAAGATCGTATAGATTGCGCTATCGTCCGCTGGATCGATATAAGTTTGCTCTACTTGACGGTCGGAGCGTAAATCATGCAAGCGCACAATACCATCGTATGCGCCGGAGAGGAAAACCTCACCGTTGCCTGAAGATCCCATGCCGGCTGGCAATGGCACCGTGGTGTACACGTTGGAGGTCGATTTTCTCGGTACTCCGTTGGGAACCATGTCGCCATTTTGTGCATCGAAATTTTTGCGAAGGCTGATCTTTCTCACGTCGTCTCGATGTAGACCACTTTCGGTGATTGGGTAAATGTGGATTGGCTCATCAGAAGGCCCAGCGCCTACGGCTAACAGCTTTCTTGATAAGAAATTGGTAGACCACGCACGATGACTTGAAGACGGGTTGCCATCTGCTCGCAATGCTGGCTTGAGGTCGAACTGGCTCGAGGAACCAATTTTGGACTGTTCTGGGTCCACAGTGTAGAGAGCTATACGGGAGTCTCCCAAATTCGCAGCGAGAAGCGAGGGAAGGAACTGTTCTTGTAACAAGCTACTCGACCTCACGGGCATGCCTTGTGTTGTGAAGTATGTAGTTCGCACGTCCTGGTCGTAGGGATCATCGATAGGAATGCCAAGCAGTTGCAAATCGCCGTTTGCAGTACCGGTCAGTACATGTTGTCGCTCGTCTCCAATACTGGCGCCAGGTCGTAGCAAATGCATTGCAGTGATATCATCTCGACCCTCACGTGCTGATAATGGCCGATATGTGTTCCATCTCACATCATCAGGTCCCGCGCCTCGGGTTGTGTGGCGAATGCATACTTCGGCACCAGCACTGAACGCAAAAACCTCTGTCCTATCGCGCCATGACGCCTGAATGTCCTCGTATACATCCACTTGCGGTGTGAAGCCAATGGTCTGACCTCGTGGCCGCTTCCATTTCTCAGCCTTCCTCCTGCCTGGAAATGTGGTGATTTTGAGTCGAGGCTCGACATGAGTCGCCACGAACGCTCTTCTATCCCAAGCCCTCGAAAGGCTCGTCAGCGTTCGCGCCACATCCTTGGGGGATGAGATGTCTTGAGGGCATAACGTCGGAAAGCGATTCTTCACGAAAGACTTCCAAGCGTCCTTCTCCACGAAGGTGTGTAAGCTTTTGCAAGTTCTTCCAAGGGTGGCGATGGACCGCGCGGACGGCAAATAGTTGGTGATGTGATCCCAGAGCTCAGGTGGAAGATCGCCAAAGGTTGTCGGCTGCTTCGTCTTAGGATTTTCCATATTGCGATTGAGTGTGAGGTGTCTTGATGCAGTGTGTGCTGGTGCAAGGATGTGCGTCATGCTTAGTCAGCACATCTTTCCTAGCGTTGCATGAACATCACGAAATAGGGCCAGTTTTGACAGTAGTTGTTCTCAGTTGTTGACTTTACAAGTGTTTTAGTGTGGAGTAGTAAGAAGACCTGTGCCAGTGGAGACTCATCTTAAGTACCGTCGTGCTAGAAGAACGATGGTCGATGCGTTCAGGATCCAAATTATGAGTCAGTAGAGTCTATCCACTTTTACACTTCACTTCACTTCAGCCGCTGCGCTATCTTATGTGTCATCAGACATTGACAGTGTCCATGCCTTTGACTGTCGAATGCGTCACAAAGGGCTCGGACTGACCTTTGCACAGCCATCTTGGCCTACAAAACCGTTCAGACTCTGCATAAGCAATAGCAGTGAGCTCATGTCATTGAGTGGAGGTCTCAGGAACGAGGCTGCACTCCCGCAAAAATTCGAGATGGAGGGTGGGAAACAGCATATGTCATTGTTCCGGCACATATGAATGTCTCACGACCCATCCAATAATCTTGGCGATCCCTGCCCGCCAACGTCCTCTTCTCCAAGCGATCTTTCGTCGTACACCGGTCTCACGTCCCATCTGAGCGGCTCCTCATCCAATCCATGCCAAACGCCTAAATCTCGTGGCAGATAGGCTCCTACATCCTCCATGAACTCCTCCCGAGCGACTCGATCCGTTTCGTGCAACCTATCCAGATCTTTTCGCGCCTTTTCCACAATCTTCTTCATAGCCAACTCGCTCACTTTTCTCCTTTCCACTTCCCGCAGCAACTTCCCATATCCAGCAAGGAATTGCTCGTAGAAGACACTGAGCTCCGCCAGCTCTTGTGTCTTTGCACGAATATCAACACTGATACTCTGCCATCGCTCTCGGAAGTGACCCGCAGCATCCAAATGACCAGGAATGGCAGCACGAATTTCACGCATCGTCTCCAGGACTTGCTGTAGAGATTGATGTTGCGCTCTTGCTTTCTTGGCATACTTTGTCAGCAGAGAGTATTGGTCTTCCATCTCGCTCGCCCTATCGCGGATTTCGGCCACCACATCATCGACTTCCTGAGCATCCTTCAGGAGAACTTGCAACATTTCAACTCGTTCCTCATCGGAAATGGCCTCGGCGACAGTCTTATCGTACAAGGATTCTTCGGTGCCAGGTGTGGCCTCTTTCATATCCGCAGTAGCGGCGCGCGCAGCTTCACCGCCTCCTTCAGTATGCTTGAGGGCTGAGACGCATAAATCGTAGTGGTTGACAAGATTCTCCAGCAGGCCGGCCATCTCTGTGGCATGTTCCTCCATACCCTCGAAGATGGAGGATATGGAGGGCGGAGGGTTATCATAGATCGTGGGCTTCTCTGGTTTGAGAGTCGAAGCACCCCCTGCATTCTCTAGTAGCTTGTCCTTGATAGAATGTATCGAGGATTCGAAGCTAGACAGGTTGTCGTTGAGGTCACCACGGGCATCGTTGTACTGATCGATCAGACTACGGAGAGTAGACAAGAGGTTCTCATGTGTGTCCTCGTCGACAAAGTCGAAGAGTGTCTTGTTTTCATCTTCGTCCGACTTCTCTGCCGCATTCGTAACTGTGTCGTTAGTGCGCTGTCGGGAAAGGGAGTGTCGCTCTGCAACAATAGTCTTCCTCAGCTGACTCAAGGTCTTATCGAGCCTCGCATGCGCCTTGTCCAAGTCGGCGATAGTAACATCAAATTCATCTGAAATCTTGGTCCCATCATCAACGAGAGCCTCTCTGATGGCCTCCAACGTGCTGACTTGCTCATCGAGGCCTCGGCGTGCATAGGTGTTCTTCGCATTGAGAACAGCGATTTCTTCGATCAGCGCTCTGGAGTTAGTCACCACCTCGTTGGCACGGTAGACATGGCTGGTGGCGCTCAGAGATTTCTTCGCGTCCACGAAGTGCACGACCAGATCTTGCAGGCCAGGCAGATGATGCGTTACCGGCGAGCGCGGCGGCGATGGAGATGGCGAAGCGGATAGCTCGGCCGAAGATGAGTCGCTGCTCATGGCGATATCGCGGCGCTGCCGAACATGGCCGAGCGGGATCAGCTCCAGAACAGCAGTGCTGGCGGTAGGCTATCTCGACTATGAAGTGTTGGTGAGAGATTGGTCAGGTCAGGTGGCGTTCACACGTGGAAAGCGTAGAGCGAGCGAGCGAGATGCAGGGATTGCCCGCCCGCCGCCAAGCACCCGACTTTGCTGCTCTGCACGACTGCTGAACCGCCTCAACACTGCCGGGTCGTTCCCAGTGAACGGTGCAAACGGCACAGAGTTCTCAGCGAGCCTTTATTACCTCAGGATCAGTGGACAAGGAAACCGGGACAACCGCGAGATTTTCGGGGGTGCAGGCCCGCGATTGGTGAAAGAAAGCTTGCTGGCAATTGCGACAGCCGGCTTAAGCATCACCTCATCGCGAGCACCTCACATCGCAAGCAAGCACCTCACTTCGCAAGCAGTTCACATCGCGACACTGTTTGCGCGTCGCCACCCCGGCCGCCCAGTAATCGCACAACGACACCGCCCATTCGGATTGCGTTCCCCATTGACAACGTGCGAGGATCACGCCGGCCCGCCTATCTGTTCCGCCACAGACGAGCACACGAGAGCGACTGTGCGCGCCAGGACCGGGACTGCATGGAGGCTCTCGTCCCCTGGGACGCCATCACTACCCAGCGCTGGCGTGCTTTATGTCGCCATGTCTGTGCTACATCATAATTCCGCAGGCCGGAGCCACACCGCTACCACCGCCGCCGCTCGTCCCTCCATCGCCCAGCAGCAGCCCACGCCTGGGGACGACGACGACACCAGCGCCAAAACAGAAAATCACGAACCCTTCTCGCTACCGTCACGCCATCACGAGCACGGACATGGTGAGCTCTACACCTCGCATCACGATCACGAGCACGAAAGCAGCCTGAAGAGAGACACCCTCCAACACCCGCCTCCACACACCAAGCACGCCGATATGAATCTTTCCTCCTTTCTCCATGAGCACATCCCGGGCTCCTACAATCCCACTGGCGACAACAGCAGCGCCCACGCCCACAAAGACCACCGCGACCACGACGCCGAAGAGCAAAGACCGAACACGAAGTTCTGCTACCGACACCGACCTGATCTGAAGTGCCGGCGGCAAGCAAATGAGACGTCAATGGAACAACTGCAGCATGAGCTATCGGGACTCCCGCAAATGGATCAGCAGGTCATCTCCCAAGTCTGGTCCTCCTTCTCTGCCGCCCCCGCCAAACACCGCAACCTCATGCTGCAAGGCATCCTCGCACAATGCTGTTTCCCGCAGCTCTCTTTCATCTCAGCCAACATCCGCGATCTGATCAAGATCGACTTCTTGTCTGCGCTTCCACCCGAGCTTGGCTTCAAGATTCTCTGCTATTTGGACACCACTTCGCTGTGCAAGGCCGCCCAGGTCAGTCAGCGATGGAGAAGCCTGGCAGATGATGATGTGGTATGGCACAAGATGTGCGAACAGCATATCGATAGAAAGTGCACCAAATGTGGTTGGGGATTGCCTTTGCTGGAGAGAAAGAGATTGCGGATTGAGAAGAGACAGATACAATTGCGCGCGACAGGCAGGGGGCTCAACCAATGGTCACCAGACATTACTCCGATTCCGGAAGATGCTGAGGCTTCGATGCCTCCACTTCAACCACTGGACGGAGAGGCAGGCAGCAGCCGCGGCACAAAGCGATCCATAGACGCCACTTCCGTGGGCTCGCCAGAACTCGCGAAGCGACATTGTTCCACATCATCCCAGGACAGTGGTGTCGTCGGTGTTGACGGGAATGACGCTTATTTTGCGCCACGAAAGAGGCCATGGAAGGATGTCTACAAGGCTCGTTTCAAGGTTGGGACAGCGTGGAAGTATGGCAGATGCTCCACGAAAGTATTCAAGGGCCACACCAACGGTGTCATGTGCCTGCAATTCAATGAAAACGTCTTGATCACAGGCTCATACGACACGACAGTAAAGGTCTGGGACATCAATACTGGAGAAGAAATTCGAACGTTGACCGGCCACACGAGCGGCATTCGGGCCCTGCAATTCAACGACCAGAAGCTCGTCACTGGCAGTCTGGACTCAACAGTAAAGCTCTGGAACTGGCGAACTGGTGAACTGTTGAGGTCATTCCACCCTCACAGCGATGGTGTCATCAGTGTGACTTTCACATCACGTTATATGGCATCTGGATCGCGAGATCGGACGATCCGCGTCTGGGACCACAAGAATGGCTCGACCTATACACTTCGAGGGCATTCAGATTGGGTGAACAGTGTCAAGATCGACGATGCCTCACGCACGCTGTTTTCTGCCTCGGACGATCTGACTGTTCGCCTGTGGGATCTGGATACGCGCGAGTGCATCCGTGAGTTCACTGGTCATGTTGGTCAAGTGCAACAAGTCGTACCCATGCCTCCTGAATTCAATTTGGACGACATCGTACTCACTCCCAACGACAAGGACGACGATGAAACCAGCGTTAGCTCTGTAACGATCGCCCAGTCGCACCGAGAACACATCAATAGCAGCCCTAATGATTCCGATCCATTCTGGCCGAACGATGCTGACAGACCAGCGCCACCTCGCTACATGATTACTGGCGCTCTGGACTCTACGATCCGTCTCTGGGACACGCATTTCAGGAGCAAGCCCACACGGGAGCCTTCGCCACACCTCAATTCATCTGGATTCGACATCCTGCCAACAGACCCTCTGACCAACTCCCACTTGCCTCGCGCTCAAGCGTGCGTGCGCACTTTCTTTGGTCACGTCGAAGGCATATGGGCTCTTTCAGCGGACCATCTCAGGATGATCTCCGGAAGCGAGGACCGGATGATGAAAGTGTGGGACCCCCGAACGGGCAAGTGCGAAAGAACTTTCACGGGCCATCAAGGTCCGGTGACGTGCTCTTGGTTGAGCGACAGTCGTGTCGCTAGTGGAAGTGAGGACTGTGAAGTCCGAATGCTATGTTTTGGAGACGAACAATATAATACACATGATGGGCAGCCCTGAAACTGATGGGCTGCATGAATTTAGCGAAATTTTAGAGCTGGAAATTGGAGTTTGAAGCGATTGATGGAAACTTTAGCGTTGGTGTTTGGGTGTAGAAGAAAGCAAGTCGATTGATCGATTCATCAGCGAAAAATTCTGAAAAGAGAAGACGGGATGGATTCATTCTTAGTCTAGATGAGGTCATGGCGTTATATGGCAAATTTCAGTGGCGTCTTGTGCGATGGCCACTTAACATAATAAGAGAGTTCATCAGAATGAAGAAGATCTCTCTCCGACTCCACGTGAAGCTGGTTGTCCTTCGCTTGCTATATTTACTGACTGCCCTTCCCGAAACGGCAGGTGCGGCGACTGATTAGTTCTTGCTCTTCGTCGGTCAGCTCCGACATGCGGTAGTTCTAGGCGCAGATTCTGGGGGGGACTTCAGGTCTCGGCGTGAACAACCGAGTGTGCGATACGAATCTATCTCCTGTCCCCTCCAAGTCGCGAAATCTCGTTGCTGATTGTCTTCGTACCTCCTCACTCCCATATCTAGACAAGCAACCATGGGCTCTATTCCCCACGACGAGGATGTCCTCCGCCCCAGTGCCGTTTCCGTTTCACTGCAAGAACTGAAGAATGGAAGTGTAGATCTGGAGACTTTGGAAAGGGCGTTTGGACCTGAGAGTCTGGGGATTATCGTTGTGAGGGACTTGCCGGAGGAGTTTGTGGGGTTGAGGAGGAAGGTGCTGAGTTATGCGAGTTATTTGGCGAATTTGCCTAGGGAGGAGTTGGGTGAGTTCTGGTATTTCTTTTCTTCTGGATGATTCGTGGTGTTGCGGTTTATTGGGTAGAAGAGTGGTTCCTGAGCTGGGCGCTGTTAGTGATCTGACTGGGGCTATCCGCATTTCGCTTGCGGTAATGGACGTAATGAGTGGTTTGTGATCTGGATTGTTGGTTCCTTATTTCCTGAAGGATCACGAGGGAATCATGACATGTTGCGATTGCCATGCGCAATCTTCGTATGAAAGTCGTCAAGCTGACAACTTATAACAGAGAAAGTCGAAATCCCAGAAGCACGCTACAATGTCGGCTGGTCTTGCGGCAAAGAGAAACTCGACAATGGACAATTCGATACCTTCAAAGGCTCATATTATGTCCAACCGATCCATTCAGAAGACGGCAAACTAGAAGCCAAGGCGCGAGAACTTTTCCCGCACATTCCAGATATGACAAGTCCCAATGTCTGGCCGAGTGAGGAAGCGATGCCAGGCTTCGAGCAAATCTTCGAACAGCTATGTCGGTTAATCGTCGACGTTGCAGGGCTCGTTGCAAGAAGCTGTGGTCGCTATGGTGTGGCGAAACTTGATGGCTATCAAAATGGGACTCTGGAGAAGATTGTGAGAGGGAGTGTCAGTACCAAGGCAAGATTGTTACATTATTTTCCTCCGCCTCCGAAAGCTGCTGGGGCCGAAGACAAGGGCGATGATGATTGGTGTGGAACGCATATGGATCTTGGTGCTTTGACTGGGTTGACTTCGAATATGTTCATCGACGAAACGACGAATTCTCCTGATGTGAAGCAAGCACAACGAGACAAGAATGGTCTCCTTGCAGATTTGTCGGAATTGGAGAAACATCCTGATCCGAAAGCTGGGCTGTGGATCAAAGACCGCGCGGGGCGGACAACGCAAGTGGATATCCCACGAGACTGTCTTGCTTTTCAGACTGGTGAGGCTTTGCAATTGATTACGAGAGGAAAGTTCAGAGCTGTGCCACACTTCGTGCGAGGACCTGCGAGCGTGATGGGTGATGATGGAAAGGAGAGGAAGATTGCACGTAATACTTTGGCTGTGTTCACGCAGCCGAATTTGTGGGAGATTGTGGACGAGAACGAGAAGTTGGACTTTGCTGGGCTGGCGAAGAGAGTTTTTGAGAAGACTTATTGAGCTTAAGCCATCCATAATGTATCGCAGCCAGACGCCCTGAAGTCAAGTCAAAATTGAAGCTGGAGGCCAGTTGCTGAGCAATCATATATCAGGTTTCTTCTTCGATACCACTACAATTTTGACCCGGTCCCTTGCGAGACTTGTCGGGCTTGATCAAGTGCGCGCTTCGCCTCGTCAACCATTTCCGTTACGATATCCTTCGCAGTCTGGTTCGGCTTGTTCACCGATCCCGCCACAATTCCGGCTGGTCGCATAGCCGCACCATCCTCAATCTCATCTGTCAACTTCCCAGCAGCGTGCAATCGGTCGAGCTCATATGGTAGCGGCACAATTCCTCTCGAAGTCAGATCCTTGATCTCAGCCTGTCGGTTCTTCTCCCAGTCTGTAAGGTAAGGATTCCTCAAAGCGCGCAAAGGTCTTCCAGACCAGACTTCCAATTTCACCCAGTCGTCGTACCCAGCAGCGATGACTTGATTCTTGAAGACTTCTGGTGCTTTGGATTCCACGCTTGGGATGAAACGTGTGCCGACCCATACGCCGCTTGCGCCGAGCATCATCGCTGCCGCCACACTTCTCCCGTCATTGATACCACCAGCTCCGACAAGAACGACCGGCTTCTTGGTCAGAGGTGAAGTGTACTTGGCGCAAATATCTGCACATGCTGGGATGAGAACCATGCTGGGGATGTCACCAGTATGACCTCCGGCTTCGCCTCCTTGAGCACAGATGAGGTCCACGCCAGCGGCACAGGCTTTGTGCACGTGCTTGGGATGTCCGACCATATTCATGACCAGAATTCCGGCTTTGTGTAGTTTCTCAATGACCCAAGGCTGGGGAACTCCTACTGCTGAGACGAAGAGAGTGGCGCCATGTTCGATCACGATGTCTAGCAGTTCCTCCAGATTGCCGCTTGTGTAGTCATACTGTTAAAGTCAGCTCAATGTGAATTTGAAGAATCACATTCTCGACTCATATAGCGATCACGAGCCTATCATATGACCGAGTACAACTCACGTTCGTCTTCCTGGCGCTGCCGCCAACTTGTGGGAGCAGTAAATCGACTCCAAATGGTGCACCTTCGCAACCTCTCGCCTTCAGCTCGTCCTTGAGCTCGGCGAGCATTTCTCTAAGCATCTTTGGCGTGTATCGTGCTCCGCCGACAGTTCCGAAGCCTCCGGCGGCAGTCACGGCGGCTGCCAGCTTGGGACCGGCGACTTGGTCCATTCCTGCCAGCATGATAGGATGCTGGACTTTGAGTAAAGTCGTCAGCGCAGTTGTTAGGGGCGCCATGATGAAGATTGAGGAATGGTGAAACCACGCCGGATGTTACTGGTCACCAGAGTGTTTCGTGGCGGAGTCCTTGGTGGGAATTAAGCCCTTATGTTGATGAGTGCAGAAGTGAGGAGTATCCTTATGTTATTATCTGGGACCTTCGAAGACTCGGCAATGTGGCGGCGACAATGAACTAGGTTGTTCTTCGTGAATAGAGGTCACGAAGTGACCTATCAGGATGCCGTTCCCATGCTACCATAACCGTGTGAGCTAACTAGTCAGCTGAAAGCCGAGGCGTGAGGCTTACAGCCCTGGAGCTCGGCACGCTGTTCTGACCTGGAGACTTAAGCAAATATTGATGTAGATCGTTTCTTCGCTGACTCGGCCTTTGCGATGCAATCAGCTTACGCTGTGCTGCGGTCAAGGCACCTAGGCACCTGCTGTCTTTTCGGCGCCAAGAACATTGAGATATGCATTCGAATGGAACTGGGGAACAGGAGAACCTGAATCGCAAGCAACAGGCAGCATGGCAGTTCACTTGCTCATCAATTTGAACCATTTACTTTTCTTCGTGCATCTCAGAGGCGGCCATCGCACCTGTGTCGTCGGCCTTGCTGTTGCTCATCTTCCGAGCTCTGGTGACACGCATATCCTTCGTCTTGCGTTGATCAGAGGCAGAGGCGAGGTTGAATGCGGAAGGCAGAAGAGTGCCTTCAATTTGTCTCGTCAAATCCCGCCCGCCGTTTGGGTCGTGCACCTTGCCGATGTCCGAAGTGCTCTTCCCTGGCGACGACCTCCATGCTTTTCTCCAACCACTGGACTCACTTACATCCGCTGTTCACAATACCAGCCTGCCATTCGCGCTGTCTTTGTGGGCCCCACCAGTCAAGACGATGGCAACATTGGCAAGGACATCGCATTGCACCGATCTCGGCTCCTGCTCCACCGCAGCAGATGCCGAAGGGCAGGCTTGCGGGCAATGGCGGGCAGCGTAGGCGATCGCTCATATGCTCAGTTCGATGCTGCAACTGCCTCGTAGCTACATTTTCTATTACTCTGTAGGTCGTCAAGATGGCTGACTCGAACGCTGATGGCATTCCCACCTTTACGATCATCCAGGCAGACGGACTGTATCCGGTCAGCAGCAACAGACACCATGGCTGCACGACTTCGCAGCATGCTCACCGACCTTGTAGGATGATTCAGTCGAACAGCAGATATTCGCTCCACGTCCTGGACAGAATTACAAACTCGACTTCGTCTCTACAGGGTTATGGCCAACCGGTACGCCGCAGTCGAAGCCGTGGTCTGCCATCCCAGAAGAGCTTCGCAACAGGATAGACGGCATCATGGTGTTGAAGATTGGCTTCACAGAGTCAGACGTAGAGCTGTTTCCAAAGCTGAAAGTGTCAGTGGCCACATCTCAGCCCCCGCGAGTGACAGGTGCTAAGTTCTGGCAGTATCGTGCGAATGGGCGTGGGTTACGATCGCCTTGATCGTTCAGCCCTGGCAAAGAAAGGTGTGATAGTTTGCAACGTGCCAGACTATGGAACAGCAGAAATCGCCGACCATGCCATTGGGCTCATGCTATCCTTGCGGCGTGGCATCTTGCTACACAACGAACGACAACGAGCGACCCCTCCCGATCCGTGGATGCCCATCGAAACACCTTTAGTCGCACGATTGCAAAAGTCGACCTTCGGCGTGTTTGGTCTTGGGAGAATTGGAACAGCAGCGGCGCTGAGAGCGAAGGCATTCGGCTTCAAAGTGCTCTTCTACGATCCGTACGTGCCCAACGGTGTGGACAAGAGCTTGGACATTGAGCGAACCAAGGATATCAAAGAGCTTTTCAGGAGAAGCAATGTCTTGAGCTTGCATAGCCCTTGCACGCGAGAGACGCGGAACATGATCGGGTACGACTTGCTCTCGCTGTTGCCGAAAGGTGCAGTGCTGGTGAACACGTCTCGCGGAGAGGTGCTCAACCTGGACGGCGTCGAACAATGTCTTCGAGAGAACATCATCTCTGGTGCTGCACTAGATGTCGTTCCTATCGAACCCATACCCGAGGACAATGTTCATTCCCTGATCAAGGCGTATCGCAACAAAGAGCCCTGGCTGGAGGGCAGAATGGTACTGACATGTCATACGGCGTTCTACAGCCCGGAAAGCTTCGTCGATATTCGAGTCAAGAGCTGTGAAACACTAAGAGATGTGCTGATAGATGGTGGTAAGAGCAATATCATCACGCCCGAGATGGAATGAGCGAGATTTTCTGCTCCCTGCATCAGTATTGGACGCGATGGACTGTTCTCCAGTCGCACTCAACAGACGTGTTATAGTTTCCGAGTACCGTCCTTCAATGGCCACATAGCAAGCACGATGTTCGCACCTCTGGTGCATTGACGTACGGATTACTGCAGCAAATCGAGCGCGGGTCAGTGCAGACAGATACAGTAAAGATTCTTGACAAGTCAAATGCTCCTCAAATCGAAGACGGTAGCTGCAGGCACAGTGCCTCTCACTCCACTTCCCACGTTATGCGCCTAGAGCAGACGGCAACGGGCTTATCCGGCCTAGTGTGCATACGAATGCAAATAATTTGAGCACGGGTCTTGCATACGCTATGTACGTCACTACTCGCGAGGAGCGTGGAAAGCATTGACTTCACGCGTCTTCACATTGGACCCAATTCTTCTTTTTCCATTCCATCCCAACAGTGTCGAATCAACACCTATTCTTAAACTCAACATCCATCACTTCATCCACCAAAATGGCAGCCGCAGCTTTGGACCTCACGCGCAACTTTGTACGCAATTTCTACTAGCCTTGCGAACACAACAAACGTCTAATTGCAATGTGGATAGTCCTTCTATACAGTCCCAGCAGCATGGGTTGTGGCCATCGCGCCTCACTTCTACGCCGCAGGTCTTGGAAAGTTTGACAACAAGAGCCCGAGAACCTATACCAAGGAGACCGCGAACGATCAGAGCATCGATAAAGGTGCCGAATGATTCAAGTTTACTGAAAGTCTCGTGAACTGCGGACTAACGTGATAACAGCAACCAAAGAGAAGATCGTCCGCGCTGAAGGAGCCCAGCAGAATGGCTTCGAGAACCTCGGACTCTTCGCTGCTGCTGTCGTTGCAGGCAATATCGTCAGATTGGACAATTGGACCTTGAACGTTTTGTCTGGTGGCTATTTGCTCAGTCGAGTGGCGTACAACCTTATCTACATCAACAATACTACGGATGCGATGGGTGAGTCTGGGCCTTCAGGATTGGCTTTTGACTCAACGCTGACCGAGGAACAGCCAACGCCCGCAGTGTGGCATACTTGACTGGGTTGGGAATCATCTTCACCTTGTTCATCAAGGCCGGAAATGTGCTTCGTGGCCAGTTGTAGGATGCTCTACCGAAGAGCATGTCGAAGATCTGTTTTGAAGAATCTATAAGCTTCACACGCAAATCATACATTTAATAATGCTTACAATTCTTCGTGTTGCCAGTTCGGTTTCGCGCTCACTGAATCATCTTCTTGCAGCAACTTTTCAACAACATTCATGATCACTTGCATTTGTGCTCCACCTCTCCAGTCTGCATCCTCGCCTGACCACCCTATCCAATCGAAACAGGCAATGGCCCCACCAGGATATTCCGTCCCATTTGGAAACCAGATCGGCCGCTTCGTATCGTCATGGCCTGCTTGAGGAAATACGACGATCATGTCGTTTGTATCAGCCCATTCCAGATAACCTGCATCACGAACCCAGGTCTCTCCAATATCGAGAAACGACATCGTGCACCCATGAAGAGCAACGTGAAGTTTACACGAAGTTGCCACTCCGTGACGAAACTGTCCATCTCCAGCACAACTGGCTGGCACATAGATATAGCCCGACTCCGCCAAACCAATAGCACCCAAAGCGCCAGTCTGCTCATACTTCTCCAGCACACCTGACAACTTACCCCTCGCTTTTCTCGGCTGCAACGCAAAGGTCTCATTCTCATACAACCACTTCAACATCTCTCCAGCACCATCATATCCGCAATCAGCGATGAAAGGATGAACCGACTCATTACAAGGTACACCAACTTTCCCCTCTAGAGAAACCTCAAAATCCGTAGGAAAAACATGCGCCGCCCCTCCCATTTCGACATACTTCAACCTACTCTCCGGCAACCCAAACTCCTCCAACTGCCTGACCAACTGCCCTGTTACACCCACCCCGACCGTTTCATCTAAGAATCCAGTTTGAACGTAAACCCTACTTCGACTTGAAGACAAATTCTCGATGTTGTCGATTTTGCCTTCTGCGCTCCATCGTTTGATATTGGATAGCGAGGCTTCGATTGAAGGTGTTGCGTTGTGCATACAAGCGGTCCAGAAATCTTGAGTGCGGGCGCAGTCGTAGGGACCTCCGGCGAAGACGCCGAAACGTGCGGAGAAGTTACTTGAGTAGGCGATGGCGAGTTGGGCGGCCATGAAGCCTCCGGCGCTGAAACCGGAGACTGTGAGGGAGGTTGGGTCGATGTTGTACATTTTGGATGACTTTCTCAAGTTTTGGTCGGGAGTCTGTTTGGGTGAGTAGTCATTCAGTGAGTTAATGCTGTTCGAGAATTATTTGTTGGAGGGGAAAGGGAAAGAGGAACTGAGGAAGGAGCTTTATGCATGTTGTGTCAACGTGCAGGTTCTTGGCGCTTGTTGTGATACATTAGCAAGCGCGCTCCTGCAAGACGTCTACAAGTCTACATATTAGTCCATGTCTTCGACTTCAACCACCCTGTCCTGCTGCTGCTGCTGCTGCTGTTGCTGTCCCGGCATCTTATGCGTCCGCTCAATCTCCTCGATGGTCTTCTTGCCCTCGTCGGTGGTTGCATCGATCACTCCTTCCTCTAAGCTCAACATGCCGCCGTTGCCCAGCAGCTCTACCACCTCCTCGGCTTCTTCCACGCTCATCTTGCCCAATACTTCATTGACTTTGTCCAGACTTCCTGTTTCTAGCGCTCGCTGTAAGCCTGGTGGAAAACTTTCAAAGATCGTCCTCGCGGCTTTCTCATCCTCCGTTTGACATTGATCCATCGGGGGCGGCGTGACGATGTTGATTGTGGTATTTGGATCAACAGCATGAAGTTGAATCTGCTCCTTGTCACCAGTGTCCTCTTCCGCTTGTTGCTTCGCCAGCTCGGCTGTGCGCGATCGGATTCGTGCATAGGTCGAGTTCACGTCATCCAGGAAGAGTTTGCGTGCTTGGTGATTCGGCGTCTGCACGCGTTGGAAGAACAACCCAACGCCGTCTTTACCCAATTGGCGGCAGTATTGAAGCAAAAGTGCCTGGTGAACGCATTGTCGCGCATAGTCTTCTTCCTTCTTGGATTTGGCGTTCTGCTGGGCTGTGAAAGCTTCCACAAGCAGACCATCGGTGTGTTTTTCGGACATGATGCTGGGATTGGACGAGATGAAGGCCAAGCTAGTCTTGTAGTCGCCATATGCGATTGCACCGAATTTCTTCGCAATGGGTGCAGCTTCTTGAATGTCATCCTCATCCTCGCCAGGAGCAGGGTTTAGCGAATTATCCTCTGCGCCTGCTTCATAGCCTGACTTTGGGCCACCGATTTGCTGCACACTGCCTGCGTTCAGCAACTCGGGCTTCTTTTCCGTCTTCTTAGCGGCGGCTTGTGCCTCCTCTGCCTTTGCTTTGGCAACGTGTGATGTGTCGAAGCCGGTGTGTATTGACTCGCTGGTGATTTTGCTGCTTTCCTCTTTCTCCAACTTCGTTAGCTCCACATTGAGGTCTTTTTGCAATCCCTTGACCTTGCCGTTGTGTCCCTCGATCTCACGGATGTATGCATCGTACCTGCCGGCACCTTGCGTATTGGTCTTGTCGACCTCGGACTTGACCTGGTCGACCAATGCGCCCATCATCTTACTATAGCTTGGCTGCTCTTCTTTGGAATGTACCCCTGGGGGAGGTCCAGGCGGGTGGTCCTCCCCAAGGCTTGTGTCGCCGACGACATCGGTCAAGCTATCGAATACGGCCTCATCGATGCCCTCGGCGTCTTTCTTGTCCTGCACCTCCTGCTTGTGGTTGTTGAGGGCCTTGAGAAGGGCGTCGATCCGGAGGAGTAGGCCATCGTTCACGACGCGTTCGTACTTGAGGGTGTTGATGCGATGCTTTCGGTCCAGACGTTGCTGGTGAATCTGATTCTGCTTGGCGCGGATGAAGGAACGCTTGTCGACGTTGGGGTGCACTTCGATGTCGCTGTCGTCGCTCAGCTCGAGCGCGTCCCACTTGCTGTAGTCGACAGGCATGGTGGCGGTATCACTCTTCACAGTCCGAGATATGTCTCGTCGGCAAGCTTCGTCTGTTCAGTGAAATTGCTGCTCGAGGTCTGCCCTTCTGCGAGCTTCTCGAAGCACGAAACATGTGCCTCGCAGCCCCACCACGTCACAAGTCACAAGCGGAGCGAATTCCGGTCCGTTGTCACTGCGCTTCGTCCCAATTTCCCAAACAATCCAACTTCCATCACCTTCGGCACTACATCACAGCGAACATCGAAACACACTTCCATCTCGCTCTCCGCAGACTGCGAATGTCCGCCTGCCAAGAAGACTGATGACCATATGCCCAAGAAAGTTATGAGCGGCCCCGAGCCTGACATCAGCACGAGCAAGGCCAGCAAGCCCTCTGATACGCGTGCCGAATCAGCAGCATGAGGTGCATGCCTATGGACCTTTGCTACAAACCTTTATCGAGGCTGCATGCGCCGGGCCGCTTGTGAAGCAACGAACGGATGTAGCGCTGTGCTGAAGATATCAGTAAGCTGCGCTATGTCCGAGATCACTGAACCACCCCGTGGAATAGCAGTGCAGTGCATACCTCCTCCGGTGCGATCCGGCATGCCTGCGTACTAGGTACATTCACGAATGGGGCACATGGTCGACCATAGAATTCAATGCCTGAGCAGGGCAAGCCACTCGTGTGTTCAGTATACCTGTCCATGACATTCTACAGAGCTCTGTGCGCGGCATCTGCATAAGTTTTGCAAGCAGGATGGTGTGAAGCCTTTCTCCCTTCCCGGTCTCGAACAAGGGCAGCGCCACGCCCATCGACTCAAGTATATATCGTGGCACGGCGGTCCCCCATATGTGTTTCTGACATGTGTCACCCACGCTGCGTACCAAGTTCTATCCTCGATGTATGACACGATCAGAGATGCCCCTTTCGGCCAAGCTGTTCGGTTCTTGTCGAACGGTCGAACATTTTCTGCGCCAGAAGAGAAACAAAGCTTTGCACTCCCTGCCAAATATGCACTGGTCTCAGTTCCCACTCCAATCCAGCCCGGCGACAACGATGACAAGCGTAATTCAGAGATACCATCTGAACCCGACGACAGACGCCAAAGCGCAATTCCCTCTGAGTTTGAGGAGAAACGGAAATCAGACATTCCTTCTGAGTCACCATCCGACCAGCTGAGTGGCATCCGATGGGATGGCGATCAGCAAGAGGAGTACTCTGCCGCTGATGTAGAAAGAAATTTCCAGCCACTCGCTGTGCAGCCAAGCAATGATAGCACCACCATCGTGACTTGGGTAGGTGCAGTTGCAGCAGATTCTCGTCTGGCCAATGTGCTTACTTACTGTTGCTGTAGTATTCCGACACTGATCCAGACAACCCTCATAATTGGAGCAATACAAAGAAGATATGGGTCGGTGCTGTTATCCTTTTCTACACCCTTGCTGTCTATATCGGCGCATCGCTTTACAGTTCCTCCATTCCAGCCATGAAGGAGAAGTGGAACTTGAGTACCGTCGGAGCATCTGCGGGCATGGCCTTGTACGTCGTTGGGTATGGCCTGGGGCCGATGATCCTTTCACCACTATCCGAGATTCCGTCAATCGGACGCAATCCGCCATATATCATCGGCATGGCTATCTTTGTGATCCTGTGCGTCCCAACGGCCATGGTTGATCATTATGCTGGCATGCTTGTGCTACGACTTCTCACAGGTGTAAGTCGAACATGCACTTGAAGCTTTGAGTGTATCGGGCACCATTCTGACTCGATGTATCCACAAATGATGGCTGAGACGCGCGCTGACTTGAAGGGGACGCTTTCAGGCATTTGGCAGTCCAGCTCTCGCATCAGGTGGCGCCAGTTATGGCGACTTCTGCGGTCCAATTGCGATGCCGTATGCAATTGCACTCTGGGTAGCGGGCGCTTCATGCGGTCCAGTAAGGTCTACTCATCTCAACAAAGTTCTCCAAGCACTGACCACACACACACAGGCTCTGGGGCCAGTAATTGGTAACTTCGCCGTCGTAGGCGAAAACTGGCGCTGGCCATTCTGGGAACTGCTTTGGATTAGTGGACCTGTCTTCCTGCTGATGTTCTTCACCCTGCCAGAGACTTCTGCCGATTGGATCTTGCGGGAGCGCGCGAAAAGGCTTCGTAAGTTGACCGGCCGCTCCGATCTCAAAGCCAAATGCGAAGTGCGACAGCGCAAGAAGAGCAGAAAAGCTGTTTTGTATGACGCCCTCATAAAACCGTGGGAAATCAATGCGAAAGATCCTGCCGTGCTCTTTACGACCGTATATACTGGGTAACGAGCCGTCCCGTCCCCCTGAGTCTCTGACTACACTGACACTTTTGGCAGGCTTACGTATGGGATCTACTACTCCTATTTCGAATCATTTCCCATGGTTTTCGGGGAGATATACAACTTCCGATTCGGCATTATGGGAGTTGCCTTTCTATCAATTGCTGTCGGCGTCCTTCTTGGGTTCCTGGCCTGGGTGGGCTATTTCTACTTCTATGCCGACAAGACGTTTGCCAAAATCATGGCTACAGGAGCCATGCCACCACCGGAAGCTCGACTTGTACCTGGTCTGATCTTCACCTGGTTCATCCCGGCAGGATTGTTTTTATATGGTGAGTTGAATATCTTTGCGAGTTGCATCAAACCCCCAACCACTAACCTTCCGTCACAGCATGGACATCTCGCGAATCTGTACACTGGATGGTACCCCTTATTGGTGTCGTCATCACAATCGCCGGAGTCTTCATTATCTCCCAGTGCATGCTGATCTACCTGCCCTTCACCTATCCCAAGTACGCCGGCTCGCTGTACGCAGCAAATGGGTTCTCGAGAGCAATGCTTGCCGCAGCTGCCATTCTGTTCTCGACTCCGATGTTCGATAATATGGGCGTGGACAAAGGGGTCACGCTTCTCGCCGGCTTGTGTTGTGGCTGTTCAGCAGGTGTGTATATTCTGTACTTCTTCGGCGCTAAACTGAGAGCGAGAAGCAAGTTTGCGGAGAGCTAGGCTGGACTGCGAGAAAGGAGAGTTAATAAAGTCAACGATCTACAAATGCACTTTGATAATTGGATCCATGTTGGCGTGAGCACATGCACGAGAGACTGCGGCTATCGACTGCAATATCGCCGCTTAATAATACACTTTTCCGCAACATTGCTACATATACCTAACGCTGTGAGCAAGCCTCCTCAACAATATGCTCAGTCATTCGATGTGCTCCCTGAAATTCGAAACAGCTTGCTCGTCAACACTGCCATCGTACCGATCCAGTCTCCCATACATTCGTTCTCACTTCCCACGCGCTATGTACTCTGCCCCTTTCTTATTCCAATGCTGTTTGTACAGCGCCGCCGTCCAAAACGTATCTGCCCACCCTCCCGCCTCGGTCTTCGGTTCTCTTGCATGAGGTTTCGCAAACCCTGTCGGAGCAGTAGGAGGGCTCTTCATAGGTGGGAGTTTGTTCGACTCGGACATGGTTCTCTCTTTCCGCTGGATCAAGGGGTGACAATTTGCTTCGACTCGTCTTCTGTCTCTTCCGTTGCTTGATTAGAACTTCTGATAACATTTCGCGCTGGCAGAATTTCTTATATCTTCCAGAGATGCTTATCTGTTGCCGTGTTCATGACAGGAAGAGGCGACTCTCGCTATGCACTATGGCTCGCAGTCGAATGTCCTCCGTGAAGACGATAGATCCTAGCATCTTTTCACGTAGCAGCATGAGGAAGGCGATCTTGTTCCTGGAAAGTATGCTGCTCATTGCAGCGCCCAATGCTTCAAATCATTCACTACTTCCCCTCGGCCAGAAATTTTGCCCCCTTGGCATTCCAGTCAGATTTATACAACGCTGCTGTCCACGCAGTATCGGCTGCTGCTCCATCGACTGTGGGAGGATGCATTGGCGGCGGTTTATCTTTGTCGCTGCTACTGTCGTTTGTGCAACCTGCATTCCCAGAACCGTCCGAGGACTCCAGCGAAGCTAGCGTAATGGTCGTATTGGACAAAATTTTGTCTTCAGCCGTCGATGTCGACATCTTCGAAAAGACATCTGCAATAAGTGGCAGTGTCCGTAGCTTCTTGGCAGGTTCGACTTTTGACGACGAATTTGTCGATTTGTCGTGAGAAATTCTGATCCTGTGTACGAGATCTGGATGTGACATTCGGACTTCGTCTTCGCTTGGGTAACACTTTGACCGGCATTCCAATGTTTTCGAGTGGCGTTCGTATTCCGTCGCTTTTTTCTCGCGTTCAACTCGTCTATGATATTTATCGATCACTCTCAGCGATGATGCGATTTGGATCGACTGTGCATTGGCTGAACTCCGGTACCGATGCCAAGGTCGGTAAGGGCGTCAGTTTTAGATCTAGCTTGCCGTTGCTCAACCGACGATTATATCATATGCTTGGATCCGTTCACCAGGCCTATGTCATGCAGCGAGGATGAGGGAAAAACTTATGAGTGAGCTTCCGAGGAGGGTGGGCGTTGTCATAAAGAAGCTACGACATGGCATTTGCTTGATTGCTAAGGAAACAGTGATGACGAAGTTTGTGGAACGATCGTGTCTCCAAGATCGCTGTCGTGTTACCTAGGCTGGAGAAGCGAATGAAGAGAGACAGTGATAGTGCAAACGTATGAGAGGGATCCTGAAGTGTAAGGTAGTAGACTACGGGCTACATTGCATTCGGCAACGAGTAAATACGCTCGCCCCTGATCTCCTCTCACACGCATTATTCAGAACCAGAAGGACTTAGCCAAGGCCTTTGACCAGGCTGCGGAATTTGGCAACGCTTCGTCGCCAGGTTTGCTATTGCTGCCGGGCTGGCAGGCTTGCCAAACTTCTTCGTGGTAGATGAGGGTATTTTGCTCCTTTTGCTTGGGCTTCGATGGCGAGATGCTGTTTGTTGAAGTGCAATGCAGTGCAGATCCCGTTGACAAACTACCACTGCTGGAAGGATGAGATGGATACAAGCGTGACGAGTGGCGAAGGGGTCGCAATTGGGTGACATTTAGCAAAACACGCAGCGTTCTTCACGTGAGAAAGAAGTGCGGTCGCAATCGGAGCAAGTCCCGAGATTCCACGTTGTTCATGGACTATGAGCCATTATCCAATCAGAATCCATCACTGTCGTGGTTCAACAGCAATACGCGATATCTGCATTCAACTGAACCAAAGGTGCTAGAGAATGCGACTATGAGACTTCAGCTGAATTTCCGAACTCGACAGGGCAATTTCAGACTCCATGTTTTGATGTGCACCATCCAGATCAAGGTTGAAAAGGCCGGTCCTCGTTCGCTGTTTCCAGTCTTTCAATGGCCTTCTGAAGGCGGTCGATCCTCGCGCGGACATAATGGACAGCCTTCCCTGCTTCGCGGATATCATGCTGTACTTCTCGTAGCTCTCCTTCATCCAGCACGGAAATCGGGTGTTCGTGTACCACTTCTGCGGCATTGAGCTTCGTGGCAGACGCTTCCAGCGTTTCAGCGACGCACTCCAGGCTGTCCAATGTGGTCATCATGTTCCCTGCAACTTTATCGCGGAGTCTTTCGGCGAGGGCTAGGTAGCGGCAGAAAAGTGCGTGATGGCAGTTGCTCGCAGCGCCATACACGGCAACAGCGTCGGTGAGATCTTGCCTTGCTTCACTCGCTATTGACGCCAATGTCGCGCCACGCTGGCTCGCAGACCCTACTGAGGCTGGACTGAGGGGTCTGGCGGTGTCGCTCGATGGAGCCACAACGTCTTTCGGACGCCTCATCTGTGGTACAGTACGCGTCGAGCTGTTGCCAGACACAGCAGCGGACTCTCTGTACAGCATCGCGAGTACGTTATGGGTGCTGTAAGTGCCGCGACGACAAGTGTAGAAGATCATGCAGATCCTACTTGCCAGGATGAGCAATCAGTGTCTCAAATGCAAACGGCCGCAAAACATACACCCGTGAATGTTTGCGCGCCGCACTCCTTCTGTCTTGCACAGCTGCCATATCTCAGCCGCCGCTTTCCAAGTCGTGAACAAGGACACTACCAGAGTCACTTGGCAACGTTGAAGAGCTCAGGCTTTGCACTGTGTAGAATGATTCCCGATTGTCAGTCATTCGTGAAGGAGTGTTTCGCTCGACTGGGGTGTGTCTGAGCACGGAGTTCAGACTATCTTGACTGCCGCTGCTGTCGGAGAGATAAGGAGTATTGATGCGAGATGTGTAGCCTTCCCGCGCTGTCACTGGACTCATCACGCTTGATTGTGGTGTGACAGCTCGTGCTGGGATCTCGGAATGATCATCATCGTTTGTTGCATCTTCCGGTAGAGACAAGAATGGCACATCCAGGATCGAGATCTTGTCGCTGTTCTGAAGGCGAATCTCCTCTACAATCGCCGGATCGAGTGTATCCATGCCAGCCAGAAGCTCTGCGAACGTGGCCATGAGCTTATCGAACTCACTCACCGTTACCGGTGAGAAACCAAAACGAGCTCTCTCATACTGTGAGACGAATATTTGTCCGATCCCTGGCGGCTGAATAAGACCCAAGAGCCCTAGTTGGGTCATATAGTCGCGCAATGGCATGTTCTTTGGTCTGGTCAGCAGATCAACGACCGCGGGATCTGCAACTCGTGGCTGGTCTTGAACTGGCGTCATTATGGGATCTGGAGGAGCAAGTGAAACGGCTCGGGCCTCAATGAGATTCGGCAGCTCTGCAACGACCTCGGCAAAGCGTACGTCCGGATTCTTGTTGCCAGGGCGATGACTTGGAGACGACCATCCCGGGTGCTGTATGTCTCCCCATGGCGGATTAGCAGGATCCACCTGTATGATAGAGCCCACAGTGTATTCATTGACATTCACACTGTCCGAATCGTTGGGGAGAATGCCCTGTTGCCCTGCAAGCAGAATCTCGCCGTACAAATCCCTCGGTCGGCTCTCCCAAGCCACAGTCGCGCTCCTGTCCAGCTGCTTAACAATCATCTTTCGCACCAGCCGGCTCACTTCGCCATCCTCGACCGGAATATACGGCTTGCCGATATCAGATAGAACCCTTCGGTTCGTGTAAAGTCGACCGCTGTAGAGGACTATGGCAATGATGGCCGTTAGAACGTAGACGCCGCCGATCATGAAGGTGTATTGGACTGCCGACTGTGTAATGGCCGAGTAGATCATTGTGACGGGACTAATGGCCAGAAATACGAGCGTCAGGAAGTACAGCGTGGTATATGTCAAGCTGTAGAAGACTCGGAAGATGGGGATGCGGAAGGGCAGAATGCGCCGCGGAGCCTCTGTGTTGCGCGCCATGTTGCTCGACCGTGTGGTATGTGCAGCTCGAGGGCTGCTCGGCGTGGCTATCACATGTCGAGGATGTGGGAGAGTAAGACGTCGGCGGAGACCGTCGTTGATGTGGTTGTGTTGAGCTTCATTTCGTGGAAGACGCGATGACGACTAAGGCAGATCCCAGCCACTATGGCTGCTGAAAGTCGTGGGACGTTACTTAGGCGAGCTTCCACCAAAGCCAAAGTCACATTCACTGCACAACACTCTTGGCCTACATGACTTCTGCTCACGACGAGCGGAATAGCTTGACAAGATTGTTGGTAAGATAAAGCGAATCTCAAGCCTTTTGGGATTTCATCGTACGCCTGTCCCTCGCGCGCCCAGAAACGGGCATGTTCGACATGCCAGGCAAACAATACTAAGCAATCGCCAAACTCCAAGCGATCTTTGTTCGACGACTACAAAAAAGTTGTCAGCTTCGTGCCAGTAGATGACAGCAACTTGACAAACCAGAACCGGAAACATGGTCGAGCTTCGAGAGACAGACGCCGAGGATACATTGGACGAAGCGATCAAAGATACAAGAGTCGAAGAATTGCCATCCGACGACGATGACTCTGACTACGAAGACGTCGAGTCCGATGGCATCGATGGTGTGCCTTTCCCTGGCAAACCATTTCTGAAACCATCGAAGCCACTCAACTTACCACCCTGGCTGCTGCATCGCGAGATCTTCAACTTGATTCCAGACGATCTACAGACAACCACTTCGGAGGCGCAAGCAAAGACAGAAGCAGAATGTCTAGCGCTTTTGACGGGCGACGAGTCATTGGGGTTGCCGCTCAACAGTCACGGCATCCCTCATCTGAATCAGAACAAGCACGCCTATTTCCTCAAAGACTGGCTGACTGGCCTTCCGGCTCCGTACGTTGCCATGGATGCATCGCGGCCCTGGGTCTTCTACTGGGTGATGGCTGGGCTTACATTCATGGGCAATGACGTGACGAATTACAAGCAACGTTTGATGGAGACGGTCACACCTCTGCAAAATCGATCGGGAGGGTTCGGCGGCGGACACGGGCAACTCAGTCACTGCGCGGCAACCTACGCGACTCTACTCGCGCTCTCCGCCGTAGGTGGTCTGGAAGTCGTTGATCGCAAAGCAATGTGGCACTTCCTGGGCCAGGTGAAGCAAGCAGATGGTGGTTTTCGAATGGCACTTGATGCTGAGGAAGACATTCGAGGGGCATATTGCGCAATGACCGCCATCACGATCCTCAACTTGCCCCTTGAATTGCCACCAGATGCACCAGCTCGCAAGGCAGGTCTGACGACATTCCTCGACGGCCTCGGAGAATGGGTTGGAAGATGCCAAACCTATGAAGGTGGCATTGCTGGTGCACCGACCAACGAAGCTCACGGAGCCTATGCATTCTGTGCCTTGGCATGCCTGAGCATTATCGATGCCCCACACAAAAGCATTCCCAAATACCTCAACATTGATTCCCTGTTATCCTGGCTCGCAGGTATCCAGGCATCACCCGAAGGAGGTTTTGCTGGGCGAACCAACAAGCTCGTTGACGCATGCTACAGCCACTGGGTCGGTAGCTGCTGGTCGCTGATTCAAGCAGCAATCGCAGGACCAAATCACACAGGCAAGCAGATCGATCTCTGGAGTCGAGCAGGTCAGATCAGATACTTGCTCTGCTGCGGTCAGCAACCCGGCAAGCGTGGCGGTATGAGAGATAAACCTTCCACAAGACCTGATGCTTACCACACTTGCTACTCGCTGGCTGGTTTGAGTGCGGCGATGAACCACTTCCAATACGATGTAACAGGCGAGACCGTTGATGAGAGTGGGAGGTTAGCTGCTGCTTTCCAGTGGATAGCTGAAGGGCCATCGAACGAAGAGATGAATACATGGGCGATTGACAAGGAAGACTTGGTCTTGCCTGTGCATCCCGTCTTCGTGCTGCCAATGGACGTGGTAGAGAAGACAAGATTGCAATTCCAGAAAGGTGGCTTCTGATCGAGAAATGCTACAGTCACAGGAAGAACCATTGCACAACAGTCACAGATCTTGCATTGTATGCGCTGGAATGACACACAGTTGTTTGAATCCCGAGTTCATGATAACCGACGGCTGCCGAGGGATGCGAGGCAAAGAAGAATCAAAGATCGCATCGGGATAGCCTATTTCGCACTTTGGAGAGGCGCCCGATCATTCGTCCTGTTGACACGAGACAATTGTTGCATATAGTCCATTTGATAGCTCTGTCATCAAAAGGACTCCCAGCTTTAAAAACATAAACTCATACTATCATGACAAACCAACCCCATGACCTTCACTCAACCACCCCATCTACCTCGCCCTCAAACCCTGCAAATACTTCGAATTCCTCAGCACCCAACCACCCACAAGCGCAGCCGAGCTCACAGCACCCATGACCAACAAGGTCCTATCCGAAACCAAAGTCTCCTCCTTCACCCTCCCAACATGCAATTTCTTCTTCCTCTGCACAAACTCTTTCCCGCTCCCATGAGCCTCAAAATCGCGTTCATAATTAACGTCTTCCACCATCTGCTGATACTCCACAACAGTCCTACTCCAATTATTCGTAATCAGACCTTTTTCATTCTTATACCACGAGTTACAATTCGGATCATTGAACGCAGAATTCTGCAATTCATGCTGGATAGTCTCGTTGAATTCTTTCAGAGCTTGTTTCTTGGGCGTCAAAGCTAAAGCTTTACCGTTCTTGCGCGCTTCGAGGACGGGTTTGATTAAGCCGTTGATGTAGCGACTTTGGGCTTCGATCATGAGGATGATGGAGTTGTGTCCCAAGTTCGTGTTGGGGCCGTAGAGCATTCCGAAGTTGGGGATGTCTTCGACTGTCATGCCGTAGAGGGCTTGAGCGCCGTCTTTCCAGACATCGGATAGTGTGCGGCCGTTGAGGCCGGTGAATTCGATGGGGTGGAGGAATTGGGTGGTTTTGAAACCTGTGGCGCAGACGAGGAGGTCGTAGCCGCCTTCGAGGCTGTCGACGATTTCGCCGTTTTCGTTCTTGACTTTTACTTGGCTGCCTTGGATGCTGTCGATTGAGCGGGTTTCCAAGCTGACGTTGTCACGGGCAATGGCAGGGAAGTAGTCGTCTGAGATGATGATTCGCTTGCATCCAAGCTTGTACTTCGGCGTGAGCTTGTCCCACAGCTCTGGACGATTAGCCAGCTGTGACTCCAGCATCTGCTTGTGCGCATCCGTGAACGCCTGGCCGAGCGCTTCGTCCTTTTGTGAGATGAAACCATGTGTGCTCTCACGGAAATCCATCTGGGCTGCTCTCTTCCGTGACATCGCGCCGGGTACATATCGTAAGACCGATCGCATCACAGGCGACACTGGGGCATCGAGGCGAGGCACGACCCAGTTTGGTGTTCTCTGGAAGACAGTGACGTGCTTCGCTACTTTGGCAATCTCGGGCAAGATCTGGACGCTGGTACAGCCATTGCCAATCATGGCGATCTTCTTGCCCTCGAGGTCGTAAGACCAGTCCCATCGAGCAGAGTGCATCTTCTTTCCATCCCACTCGTCGATACCAGAAATCTCAGGCCACTTGGGCTGATTTAATTGTCCGACACCAGATACCACGAAGTCCGCCTTGATATCATATGCTGGGTTGAATTCTGCCTCTTTCGAACCTGGCGCCGTCTTGACGCTCACAATCCATTTCTTCTGCTCGTCATCCCATTTCGCGCCTTCGACGCTCGTATTGAATCGGAAGTGTGGGTAAAGCTGGAACTCTTGAGCGACCTTCATAAGGTATTGTAAGATCTCCTCTTGACCAGGATACTCGCGTGTCCAGTCAGGGTTCTTTGCGAAGCTATATGAATATAGGGTGGACCAGACGTCGCAGCAGCATCCTGGATATTTGTTGTCGAGCCTTCGCAAGGTCAGTGTGAATGCGTGCGAGTTGTCAAAGACGCTGCCGCAGCATACCATGTTCCACCAATTCCCGCACTCTTTTCGACCAGAATGAAGTTCCGGCAGTTGTTTCGCTTGATCAAGTCGATGGCGACACACATGCCGGAGATGCCTCCACCAATGATGACAACTGCGGCGTTCGCATGCTGCGAGTGTTCGATACAATGTTAGCACATCCCCAAGGAGATTGGTAGAGCCCATTAAATCTGTCGTCCAGCTGTCCACCACAGTCCATGTCTGTAGTCGAAGAGACGTCTGTAGAGGACTGCATTGCTTGGGCTTACATTCTGGTTGCCAATTGGCACCTCTGGCCATGGCTTGTCCCCTGCCATTGTGAGCTGTCGTATGAGTAGTACTGTCTGTGCTCAAAGAAAGATACAGATGCAGGAAGTGTGAGCTTGAAAGCGAGGTGGAAGATGAACTAGGATGGATGTAGATCACAGAGGAGAGGTGCTCTAGTGGCTCTACGGAATACTTGCCGTGCGGTACACGTCGCGTACCGCCATTTGCTTTACCCTCGGATGACTTGCAGTGCCACTCGAGTCGTTTGGTGGATGTCGAAGCGCGAGGCGCGAGTGGGAAAGAGGAGCTGCAGCTCTGGGACGGCACTCAAAAGCGGAGTTGTGTGGAGCCGAAGTGCTTCCGACCGGCAGCACGCGTCGACATGCCAACCTGACGGTTTCTGTACAATTCATGCACAAGAAGTCTATCAATTGAGTTGAGGCAAGTTGTTGCACATAAACATGATATACGCGCAACCATCACAGGTGAGGTTGATAAAGATGCTGACCATCAGCATTGATGAGAAATCGACAACCCGGCCACCACGCGTTTACCCGCGCAACCTGGTCAGAATCCTTGCTGTCTATGCCACTTCTCCTCCCAGCCAGGAAAGAAAGGCGACTCGCTCAGCGTCTCGGGCTTCCAATCTGCCTCAATCAGACCTTTCTCGAGTTGCTCCCTCTCGCATTGCTCCAGATATGGAATTACGACATGCTCGGTATGCCAAGTATCTTTGTACTCCATGATACTCTGCTTCCCTTCCTTTAGGACCTTCAGCACCAGCGAGGGGATATATGGCTCGTCTCGAAACTCCGTCACAGGCGTAAAGAGACCCTTGAAATTGAACACGATGGCCCCCGAAAGAGGCAGCCGCCTCAGTGTCTGCCAGTCTACTCTCAGGTGCATGCGATCAATGGAGTGATCAGGATTCTGTGCCTCGCGGACAATGCTATGCGGATCGCCAGGTGGCATGAACAGCGGCCTGTCAACTTCCAGACCCCAGGAACCGCGCTGGATCGGCTTGTCAGTTGGCTTTTTGGAGAAATACCTGTCCATTGAGAACTCCATCTTCTCCTTGTAGTCCGGAACGGGTTTGTGGATGTCGCTCAGCTTCAGACCAATTTTGGTGCCCAGAGACCATCCCAAGCTCGACATGATCATGCCACTTCGAAAGGTGTACAAGCCAGTCTCAGGATCCCTCAGCATGATGGCGAAGTCTTCTGGAACGTTGTGGAGCAGTACAAACATCGGCGGCGTAGAGGCCAGATCAGTCTGAGTCTTCAAAATGTCGTTATGGAACACCATTCGCTCCAGGTCAAGACGGAAGTAGTGCGGACATCGTGCGCACAGGAACTGCAAGCAAATTTCCATCAATTCTCTTGTTGCCACTTCGGATCCCGGAAGAGTCTGCAACACGGTATCACATTGCTGCTCGAAAATCTGCACTCGCCACCTGATAGTGTCTGCGTATTCCTGGTTCAGCTCGAGCCACCAGTCCGGCTCCATCTTTGTGATAGACATCGTCTGGTGGTAGGCCCATCTGAAGGGACGGTACGGCCTCGATAGTGCGGAACCAATGTCAAACTCATGACAGGCTTTGGGCAACGGAACTCCGCTGAGAGTGGCATAATCTGGAAACCGGCCAAGCTGTTCAATCTCAGCCAGGGTGAAGCCCGTGGGTGTGGCGTGAAGTGCATGTAGGAATGGATCCGGCGACACGTTGTCTGACAGTAGTCTCTCGTAGTTCGCTGGAAGTTGGCTGAGTTCGTGCGGAGATCTGGAGAGCTGACTGCCTGCTGTCGATGGGAGCTTTGCGAACGCGTTTCGGCGATGAGGCGGAAACGCATGCACGTATAATGCGCTCGCATCAACCTCCGCGATTTGTTTCGAAGGCAAATCTCGCGGTGGTGTTGTTGCAACAGAACAGCGCCTTCGCTGAAGGCCCAATCTGTCGGCAAGCTTCTGCCTTGCTTGAACATTAATCGCGAAGTAGAGCACATACCCGGCCAGCACAGCCAGCAACGCCCAGATGGCGAAAGAGAGCATGATGGCTAGGTGTATCGAATGTAGTTCAGCTTGAACTTACGTAGGTGTGGTCGTGCGAGAGGTCTTGCTTATCTAACATGGTCGTCTCAGGCGCCAAGGGAGCAGCTTCGTTGAGAGGGAAGCATGATTGGACTTGCTCTCCACAAACGGCAATTCTGTACGTCGTGTGCCTATCTGTGGCGTACCCTAGACTATATCTTGACCTGGCGCCCAGTTGCAAAGGGCGTGCCAATAATTGCCAGTCGATGTGAGCTTATCGGGAGCTCAAGCTGCCACACCACAAGAACAAGCTCACCCCACAGCTGCCTATCGCACTGACAGAAGACAGCACCTGAAGCACGAGGCCGCTCCTTTTCGACCTCACTGACAAACATCTTCAAGTGCTCATTCTGCCATAACGCAGTCTGATGGCTGACGCACACCCCGTCCGAGACGATGCTGCAAGGGCGGAACGATCGGCACAAGTGGCAGCTACTGTTGCACAGAGCTGTAGGTTGAATCGCAGACTTCCTCACTTCTCAGGCACCGACTGAGTGGAGAACAACAGGGCATAGAACTGTTGCCGCATACTTCAATTCCTCAGCGACAATTGCTCCAGCCGCATTAGGGCCTCAATAGGAAGGTCGTCGATCGTTGCAAGCCCTAGCTTGTTTTTCTTGTCTGTAAACCTAATAGGCCTCGAAGGATTCGGCATGTAAGCAACTGCCCGGGGCTGAATCCTGCGCGACTACATATATCGTACCATATCGCCGTATGATCGAGACGACGAATTGCCAAGTGCTGCTCTTCCATCAACCGCATAAGTTTGCGCTGCAGGAATCTGAAAGACAACGACGTCTCGTTTGCTCTTCTATCGTCTGCGAGTCTGCTACAAGGGATTGCTCATCATGACCAGAAGCATATTTCTCACGGGGCCGAAGCCATCACTCAAGTTGGTTCCTAACGATATCTGGCTTCCTGGGTTGTATTCTCGACGTGTCTTGTGCTTTGAACTTCCTCTGAGCTTGAGCCAGGATAAGGTCGTGGACGTATTCCAGCGTGCTCTGAAAGCACTTGTGCAGGGAACACCAGAGCTGGGTGCTACATCAATAGTCGTGCAAAATGCTGCTCTGCACGATCCTACCAAGCCTGTGAGTAGGTGCGGAAACGCAAATATTCAAATTTGGGATTTACATCAAGCTGATGATCTCTTCAGTGGAGAGAACTGGCACCCGGGCAAGGTATCGAGCTGGTGGTCAAAGACCTGACTGCAACCATGCCAAATTTCAAACAACTGGAAGGCTCTGGATTTCCGCTGTCAGAATTCAGAGACTCGGAGATCATGCCAATCGAAGGACCTATCATGCCCGAACCTGCCGCCGTTTCGAAATTCCAGCTGAATTTTATCGGAGGGGGTGTTCTCTTGAGCTCGTGTATATATCACCACCTCACCGATGGCAATGGCATGAATGCGATCATGCGAGCTCTGGCCGAGAATTGCAAGAAGGCGACTGAGACGCAGGGTGACCTTCCGCCACATGTGCTTGATACCAGCCGTGCTGTGTTCGATGTACCAGAAGGGTTGACCGACATCAGTCATCATGGGGCATACTCGATTGGCGAAGAAGTGTTCACACCGGGAGTATCCCACGATGAAGCTCCTCTTGAAGTCAATGGTGTCGAGCCATTGCCTCCACCACAGTTCCAACCACACTACTACAACATCTCAGCAGAGAATGCGCAAGCGATCAAAGAATATGCCAGCAGTATATCGCCCGTCTCAACACATGATGCCATCTCTGCAGCCCTTTGGCGAAACCTCATCATCTCTCGCGTATCGACAGGCGAACTCACTGACATCGACAAACTCTGCTCTTTCACCATTCCGCACAACGCAAGAAAGTATCTGAGCCTCCCCTCAACCTGGGTTGGCAACCTCACCTACTTCATCATTGCCCACGCAACAGTCCGCGAGATCACTCAACCCGACAGCCTTCCTCTTCTCGCCTCCCGCATCCGCGCCGCGATGTCCGCTGTCACGCCCTCTCACGTCCACGGCGTCATCACTCTTCGCAAGAGGCATCCTTTCTCTCTCTCCTGGTGGCCCATCATGGTCGCCAGCGAACCTGAGATTGTCGCATTGACCAGCTTCTACCACTCCGAACTTCTCCTGAATAGCGACAGCGATGGTGGTCCTCTTGTCGACTGGGGCGAACATCTCGGTCACGAAGCTAAGCATTTCACTACGACGGACCTCGGGGCATTCGCTGCGCAATACCAACGCGCGCATTTCGTGGGTCCGAAGTTGCCGCCGGACGGGAGGGGATGTTATGTTCATATCGGGTTGGTGAAGCCAGAAGTAGAGAGTTTTAGGAATGAAGAGGTGTGGAATCGGTATTTTACTTTGAAGGAAGTTACGGTGGTGGAGGGAGCGAGTTCGGAGTAGCCATGTGTGCTTCATGAGTGACTTCTTGATATCAACTACCACGATTGTTGACGCCAGAGTAATCGCTAGATTAACAACTTTTCTCCATTGGGGATTCTCTGCTGCTTAGCTTGAATCCTCACCAACAGGTCGTTCTGAATACTCAATTGAGACAGGAAGGCACTTCCGCCACTGACCTTGAGATGCTTGCTGGAAAGGCTTCTGTGCTCCTCGACTTACATCATGGTCAGTTGGTTAGACAAGAACATCTGGCGCTGGTGACTCCGAACACTCGCTTGGAAGTAGGGTTTACGAGGACAAGGTTCGGGGCTTTGGTCGAGAGCCTGAAAAGTACAGCTGCGATGGAGAACCAGTCTGTCAGAACGACTCCAGGTGAACCGATGGATGAATTGTGGAAGAGAAACGAACAGACAAGAGATCATGATGAACGTCCTGCTGCGGGAGAGCAGCCACAGTATTGAGTGCCGTTTTTTCATTCAGCGTGGTATCATTCCCATAAGCTAAAACCCTCCCAGCAGACAGCCCTTGTCGTGCTATTTTGAACGCCGTGCTTTCGTATGATACACAAGAGAGAAGATCAGGACATTTAGATCTTGATCTCACGGTCGGCCCGTTGCTTGGCCTTGCGGGTAGCAGCCTGAGACTTGGCACCCATGATACCACCGCCCCAGTGGCGCTTGGCCTCCTCGTTCTTCTCGAGGTAGCCCTCCTTGACGGCCTGAACGAGCTTGGAGAGCTCGTTCTTATCCTCAGCACGGACCTCAGTGATGGCGAGGGCGGCAGCGGTCTAGAGCAGACGTTAGCGTGTGCGTAATAGCGCATTCCGGGTTGTCTACACACCTTCTTGTGGACGACAGTTCCGAGACGGGCCTTGCCCTTGACAATGGCGTATGGGACACCCATCTTCCTGCAGAGAGCTGGAAGGAAGACAACGAGCTCGATTGGGTCGACATCGTTAGGGATGAGGACGAGAGCAGTCTTCTTGGCCTCGATCAGAGCCACAACGTGGTTGAGACCGTACTTGACGGCGTATGGCTTCTTGCTGACATCCTCCTTCTTCTTGCCCTCAGCGACGGCGGTGGCCTCCTTGTGCAGACGCTCCTTCTTCTCGGCCTTGGTCTCTGGTCGGTACTTGTTGAGGAACTTGAAAGCCTGGGCGGCGGTGTTGCGGTCGAGGGTGTTGCTGAACTGAGCGATAGCCGGTGGGACCTTGAGACGCATGTTCAAGATCTTGCGCTGGCGCTGCAGGCGGACGTATTCTGGCCACTTCACCATGCGGGAGAGGTTGCGGCGTGGCTGGATGTCCTGGCCAATGCCATAGTTGCGTGGGCGGCGCTCGATGAGAGGGTTCTGCAGAAGCAGTGAGTAGTCTGTTAGCGGACACGGGAGGGAAGTGCGAAACGTACCTTGGCCTGCTTCTTGCTAACACCGGCCTTGGAGGCAGGGAAAGGCGCCGGAGCGGCCTTCTTTCCACCAGCTTTTGGAGGCTGTCATTGAGAAGAACAATCAGCGACTGTTGCCTTCTCTAGAGAGCCTGCGCGGTTGCCCGACGCAGCTCAAGCCATAGTCACACGCATCGCTCCGCAGAGACGATGGTGGATGCAAAATTTGGGATCATTGCCATTTGCATGCCCGCCGAATCGCCAAGTGCGAAAGAGATCGCGCAGATGTCCATCAGCGAGCAGAGGCAAATGACTAGCCGGTTCGTGCGATGCTTACCATATTGACGGTGTGCTGCTCGGAGGAAGGGAGGGTGATGGGTGGTGTTGTTCTGGCTTCGACGAGCTTGCAGAGCAGAAGACAGTGCTGCGCGCAAACAGAATTGAAGTTCTGGTGGGCAGCGCCAAGAGTCCCGCGCGGGCCGGGGGTTTAGCCGCTTTCTGGGCTGGGAGCCGATTCGGAAGCTGCGCCAGCTTTCTTGGAGGGTCGAGGAAAACGCGCAAGCAACGTCCCCGTCCAAGCATTGCAGAGAGCAATTGGTCCAGGCAGCTTCATTTCGCCACTTGCTGCTGCGCAAATCATTCAAGTCATCTTCTCATCAGACCGCGGCTGTGTATCCTGCCACCGCGCCGCCGAGTTCCTAGCGAAGCCGACTGCCACAGGAGCCTCATTCGTCGCTCCCAGCTGACATCATCTGCCGCGCATTGTGGAAGGCCAGTCAGTGATCTTCCGCAGAGCTCCAACAAACACTTCTTCAACTCCACCACCCGCGACGTCCGGCGCTCCGACACTTCTAGACCAAATCTGTAGCCTTGCAGCGATCTGAACGAACAAGGCGACAGCAACTGCCCCTCAGCGCAACATTGGTTGCAGCCTAATCCGCCGAGATGTCCTCCGTTCTACGAAGCGTGAAGAATGTCACCAAGGGCTACTCTTCCGTGCAAGTGAAGGTCCGGAATGGTGGGTGACAGTAATCAGAAAGGTATCACTACAGAACGGCTGCTGACCGCGCGACCCAGCAACGAGCAATGATCCATGGGGGCCCACGGGCGCAGATATGGCGGATGTCGCCCGAATCACTTACAACAGGTGCGGAATTTCCTGATCAAAGCCCTTGCGCCGTTGTCACATCCTGCGTGTCTTTGCTGGGCAACACGGTAACTCTTGCTAACTATGAGGTCGCAGCTCGACCGATTTCTACGAGGTCATGGACATGCTGGACAAGCGGTTGAATGACAAGGGCAAGAACTGGCGGCACGTGCTCAAGAGTCTGAAAGTCCTGGACTATTGTCTACATGAAGGCTCGGAATTGGTGGTTACATGGGCTAGGAAGAACATCTACATCATCAAGACCTTGCGTGAATTCATTCACATTGATGAAGACGGAAGGGATGTTGGAGCAAGCAGTATGTCTTGAAGAGGCGCAAGCCACGCAGAAAATGCTGACTAGTACTCAGTCCGACATTCTGCCAAGGAGCTGACATCTTTGATCCTGGACGAAGAGCGACTGCGTTCTGAACGAGCGAACAGGGGATCGTGGAAATCGCGCGTTACCGGACTTGAGGAATTTGGTCTCGGGGGCGACCCAACGCCTAAGCAGCGAGAGCAGCAGCGAAGGCGACCACAGAACGACGACGACGATCTCGAATACAGACTGGCCATTGAAGCTTCCAAGAATGAAGCAGAGGAGGATGCTGCGAGGAGAGCGCAGCGCAGTGGCTTTGACACCGATGATGACCTGGCGAAGGCCATAAAGTTGAGCAAAGAAGAGGAAGAGCTTCGCAAGCGGCAATTAGAGGACCAGCAGCAGGAGGACTTGCTCTTTGACAACACTCCGGATCAGGCTCCTCAGCCAACAGGCTTCAACCAAGGCTATCAGCAACAAGCCGCTGTAGACTGGTTCGGCAATCCTTTGCAGCAGCAGCAACCCCAGGCAACTGGATATTTGAACAACGCCTACAGTCAACCCACCGGCTTGCAACAACAGCAGACCGCATTCCAGAACGGCTATGGTTACCAACAGCCCCAACAAACGGGCTGGGAACAAATGCAGCTGCCGGCTCAGCAGTTTTTGCAGCCACAAAATACCTTTAACCCTTGGGCAAATCAGATGAATGGAGGTGCATTCGGGCAACAGCAACAGCCAATCCAGGAGCAGCCCACTGCTCAAGCTGGCTCGAACAACCCATGGGCGACTAACAACAGCCAGACGCAATCGGGCATCGCCCCACAGCCAACCGGATCAAACAACCCCTTTGCATCGCACTCCCAACGACAGACCGCCTCCCCATTCAAACAACCCACACTCGACACGCTCCGAGAGCAACAGACAACCCAGCAATTCCAGACGAGGCCGAACCCAATCCAGAACTTCTCGGTCCCACAACCAACCCCATCACCAATTCAGCCTCAGCAAACGCAAAGGCCAGTCGATCCTTATCAGGCGAAGCTCAACGAATTGTTGTCGAGCGGCGAAGGACAAGATACTTTTGGAAACACTGGAGATCTCCGTATTCCTGCTCAACACACAGCTCCTGGCACATATGTCAACTCTGCTGGTGCTGGCTCTATGGGCAGATTGGAGGCCGCGAAGACCGGCAATAACCCCTTCTTCAGCCAGCCCCCAACACAGTATCCCGCACAAACTGGTCCCGCGGCGCAATTCGGCGGTCCCGGAGCTGGCTTTGGTGGAGGTAATCCATTCGGACCAAGACCTGGCCAGCAGCAGCAACAGCAGGGTCAGAGTCTAATTGATCTTTAGGAAAGGGAAGAAAAGTTTGGTATAGCATTCTTGTCTGCAGACGAGCAGAGAGATTTCGGCATAGGGGTGCCGTGTGGTGGCTTAGCAAAGCTGTGCCTCCTTTGAGGTGATGCGACTGGGCAAGAGGGGAGTGTATGGTGGTGCGCTGCGGAAAGGGGTGAGGCAATTTCCTTCCGGGCGCAGGTCTTGCATTTGCATAACGTTCTTGATACCCACAGTCGATGTTATATCATTCGTTCGGCTGCGAGTTGCTTGCTATATTTGCTTTATATTTTGGGATCAATATCGTGAGAGATCGGAATGGTAAAGATTCTTTCGTTTTCTCAGGCCTTTCGCACAGGCATTCGCAATTTTCTTATCACCGTCCTGCGGCCGAGGCCAAGAGCAAGTCGGATCCTCAGAGTACCTGATCCGCAGTGGAACTCGTTCCCGGAGTCGCAAGTTTTCGTGCAGGTCGTTCTCAAGAAGATGCGTGCTGATCCAGGTTGTCGACGATAGAAACAGCAAGCGAAGAACAAGTTGCACGACATCAGAGATTGACACAATGGGCACGACTTTTGCAGTTGTAAGGTGGTCTCATTGCTCGCAAGGCAGGTCATTCGACCAGATTGCGCGGACTGGGCTCCAGGCATGCAGAGAGCGGTCGAGGATGTGCTGGATACATTCGCTGGACCCCTGTTGGTTTTGCTACCTGACCAGTCGCTCCGGAACCACAAGTTCCCAACTATGAAGAATGCGGCTCAGATCATCGTTCAGCCAAAAGCAGGGTCAGTGAGCAGGCCGAGGCGAATACTGGTCCAGATCTCGAAGTGCTTTCATTGGAACAAGCACACGCTTTAAGAGCAACTACCGAAACCTCGTTAACAAACGCCCATCACTCATCGCCCGGGTTCCTACGCTTGATCACTTGCTCCCGCCAAAATTGGATCCAACGGTTTGGAACCCGACTATGTCTGTGAGCAGGGGCAATTGGTCTCTCAAGGAAGCAGAGACCATCGATACAGCGAGGATGTTGGCAAGGGAGAGGCGACTCCGGTGTAGCGGTTGAGTTGCAAGGCATCTCATGTTCTGCCCGCTAGGAGTACCCCGAGCGAGACAACGCGAGAGACAAATATGCAGCTCTGATTTGCAAGGATTCTCGAAAGCAAGAGGAATGATCATGCCGCTTCAGAAGTGCTTCGATTGACGCACCTTCTCCAGTGCCAAGTCGTGGTCAGTATCGATCCGGTGGTGGTAGTAGCGATGGTCCAAAAGCGTGTGGAACTGAATGGCTCATTCGGTTCTGGGCCTCGCTCACAGGTACTGTGGGCTCCAGTTTCTCTTGTCGATCCGGATGGCCATTCACGGGTCTGTGATGCGTGAGGTGGTGCTTGCCATAGCAGCGACAGCAGCGAAGCATAGGGCGCAGGCCGACCGGGCCGAGCCCCGACGATTGACGGTCTCCACTGCCGGCCTAACTTGCTTCATCGAACAAACACTTCGACACGATCAATCTGCATAGTACGAACAAATTGAATCATTGGGTCGGCACGAGCAAGCAATGCACAAGTATCCCTAGCACCTTCCGGCCCACACCCAATGAACGCCATCTCCACCAGTTCGCCTCCAATATGGAAATCCGCTGCCATTCTTTGCTTTCAGAAGAGGAGCCCAGTAGCGATACTGGCGTTCTACTCTTCTCTCCAGTCCCTCTGAGCTTCTGGGGCGGCACCGACCCTTCTACTGGCAAAGTCGTTGACGCACATCATGACCTCTGTGGTATCAACCTAAAGGGCACAATCCTGGCGATACCTGGGAGCAGGGGTTCTTGCACGGGAAGCACTGTGATACTGGAGATGCTATTGAATGCGACCGCCCCTAAGGCTTTGATCTTCAAAGAGAGGGAGGAAATAGTCACGGCAGGAGTGATTGTTGCCCGAGAACTATTTGGGCACGAGCTGCCGGTTGTGATCACAGATGAGAAGAAGAAATTTGACAGGTTGGAAGGGAAAGAAGGAAAATTCGTGAGCATTCGGAACGGGATCATCACCACGCGGCGCAATTACGAAGCTGCGCCGATGGAATTCGGTCCACCGAACGGTGTCCCCGCAAAACGCCATTTCGATTCAACTGGGATCAATCTGAATGCGAGCGACCTTGCTGTACTGGAGGGGCAGCGAGGAAGCGCTGCTGCTATAGCGATGAAAATCATCATTACTTTTGCAAAGGTTCAGGGAGCGACCGAGCTGATCGACGTTACTCAGGCACACTTGGACTCCGTGCTGTACACAGGCCCTGCAATTCTAATGTTTGCAGAGCGACTCCTTGCTCTTGGCGATGCGAAGTTCACCGTGCCTACGACTATGAATGCAATCAGCATCGATCAGCAGCGGTGGCAAAGTCACAGCATCGATGAGGAGTTCGCAGCGAATGCCAACAAACTGGCAAATGCTTATGTTACGATGGGTGCAAGACCCACTTTCACTTGTGCCCCTTATCTGCTTGATAGCGCTCCCTCGGCCGGCGAGCAAGTCGCCTGGGCGGAGTCGAACGCAGTAGTGTTCGCGAATAGCGTTTTGGGCGCCAAGACGCAGAAGTATCCGGATCTCATTGATGTCTGCATCGCACTTGTTGGCCGTGCTCCGTTGGCTGGATGTCATACAGCTGCAGGGCGCCTACCCTCGATCGCTATTAATGCACCTCCCCCAGATTCCACAACTTTTGACAAAGATGTCTTCTGGTCCATACTCGGCTACTGTGTTGGAGAGCTCAGCGGCAATCGTATCCCACTCGTGCTCGGCCTCGAAAACAGCAAACCTAGAATATCAGATCTGAAAGCGTTTGGAGCAGCTTTCGCGACGACTTCTTCCGCGAGCATGTTTCATGTTAGGGGCGTCACGCCGGAGCATTGTATTCTCCGCCCGGAGATGCTTAGGCAGCGCCTCGAAATAACAGACCTGAGGCAGTGTTTCACGAGACTCAACACTGCAATTGAGCCTTCTGTGAGTGTCATCGCTCTCGGAAATCCACACTTCTCTTTCGAAGAATTCGAAACGTTGGCTCAGTTGCTTCATGACAGCGAAGGCAAGATGAGAATGAAAGCCAGCAGCGTACGCCTTATGATCACGACGAGTCGTGATGTTCACCAGAGGATCACTTCGAAGAATATAGCAATGATGCTTGATGCGTTTGGCGCGGAAGTTATCACAGATACGTGCTGGTGCATGATTCGGGAGTCTACGATCACGCGCGAGAATCGACCGCAAGAAAACATTATGACGAATTCGGCAAAGTATGCACATTATGCAACGGGTCTTGTAGGAAGAAAAGTGCACTTTGGATGCCTAAGGGACTGTGTCGAAGCCTCTCTGCTGGGGAAACGGACTCTGGAACCCATCTGGTGAAAGAGAATATACGCATTGTTCGCCGCGTATAGATCTTTCCGTGCAACTGAGACTCAGACGTGCACGATCGATACAGGCAAAGGTTCCAACACTAACTCGTACAAAGCTTAACTGTTATGCAAGCACGCCTACTGTGCAATGAACTTGCAACTTTCTTCTGTCACGATTGGAGGTCGTACTTTGAGAAAGAGGAAGAATCGTGATGGCTCGCAAGACGCCCCTGCGCTGGAGAGCAGGAAACGGCAGAAAGCTTCCAAGAGAGCACCCATCGCTCCACCACAAAACAATCCCAACGACGACCGAGAAGAGCAAATTGAGATAACACAGCATGATCGTAACGAGAACCTTCGCATCGGGCATGAGAGGGCCTCCGATGCTGAGCACACCAGTCGCGACAACGTCGGAACCCGTCTGTCAGAAGCCATGGGCGTAAGCGCAGCTCGTCGCGCCAAAAACATGGTAGCGCGCGATAGCAACCACGAACCCAATGAAAAGCATTTAGAGCTTCAAAACCCAGGTCGCCGCATGATTCTCAATGACCAGGCGGGTGCTGACCGCATTCGTGACTCGGGCCCTGAAGCTTCTGGTGCTGGTAACAATGATCCAGCCACTGACACGAGCCAAGCCTTGCCCGAACTGCTTCAGAAACTCCGAGAGATCGAAAGCATGAACTTCGGACAGACGTGCAACTTCTTCACGGAATGGACCACTAGCCACTCTGGCCGTGACTTTAAAGAATGGCTTGATTTCTACCAGACGGTCGTCAAGCCCACTTTCTATCGCGACAAGGAATGGGAAGAATACATTGATGCGAACAGAGTGGAAGAAGGTATCACTATTGGAGAGGCACGCTTGCGAGAATCAAGGTCTGTCATGCTCAAGCTTGTTGGAGAGGGAACACTGGAGACCGGAAGACCTCCGCGAGAGTTTCTGGAAGTGCAGTCTTGGGAAGATGCCATTAGAGACTCGTCGAACAAAAAGGAAACAATTGTGCTTAGAGACCGGATGCTGCAAGATCTCATGGCAGACCGGATTCACCAGCCACAAGATTTCGATACATACCTGCGGCAAGCAAGTTGGCAGATGGCTAGCCGTGATGCGAAGAACAATCAGCAGGCGACCCGCATAGAAGAACAACGACAGAACATGATCGATGGAGTTGTACAAGCAGGAGAAATGCCCTGTAGTTTTGAGGATTGGTTCAAGGCATCTGAATGGAGCGAGTATGCCGAAAGGTTCCCTGGAGAGAGAGTTGAGATCCGCCGGATGGAAGAGCAGATGATGGAGAACGTTCTCCATGAAGGGACTGCCCCCTACGGCGCCGCGTGGCTGTTTCGTGCACCAGAATGGAATCGATATATCGAGGAAGCGGAAGCTAATCAAGGAGAGAAACGCTCCTGGCTGTGGGAAAAGAGTCGCGCTTGCGTTTATGATGATCGGGAGCGCAGATGCATGGCACCCGCGCGAGCACGCTGGGCTGCAGGCTGGAATTTACTGTGTTCGAGGCTTGAGAGCAACCTCAACGCTGATGTCTCGCAGATTGGGAAGGAACGCTCGATAGTTGACAAGTACTCCAACTTCGAGCCGGAGGAGCTAATAATGCCACCGAGTCTGAACGGTGAGACGATCGCTATCCATGCGCTCAATCTCGTGAAGAAGACCGTCAAATTGGAAAAGGCCAAGTTCGACATAGCAGAATGAAACAGACGCAAACGAAGTGCGCAGCCCGCCGAAAAGGAACGTCTAATACAGCAATTTGCCAAGATGCAGAAGGCTTTTGTCGACAACGACTTCACATATCGTCCTAATGAAATTCCGGAAGACCGTGTGGCAACGGCGAAGGAAATTGGGTACGACGGAAGCCAGCCTGGACTCTGGTGTTACAAAGGCGAGCTCGGTGCTGGAGCTTATGGCACCGCCACTTTATGGGTCCAGCTAGACGCCCAAGCCCGACATATCAACAGACAAGTCCTTAAAGACACGTACCTCATCGACGGTCGTTGGAACCATGCTGCCTACTGGGCAGGTAATATTGATTCTCGAAAACCTGTGGAGTTTGAGATCGTCACGCAGCTCAAAGCTCTACCCGGATCTGAAAATATCGTAGAATACTACGAAACAACGGTTTACGCTGAGAAAACCATGTACAGGTCAGTCTATCACTCGCGAAACGAGAACCAAACGCCCTGGAGCTCTGATTTGCCATTGTGAACAGAGTGCAACGAAGCAGACTCACTGACAAGACGCAGAATTTACATGGAGTATGCCGAACACGGAACCCTTCAAGATCTCATGGAGGCACATCGAGAAGCACAGGAATTGCAGACCGCCGAAGGAACTGCTGTAAATTGGTAACTACGCTAACTCATTCACTCCTTCTGCTGAGCTGACGACACTTCTAGGAGAATCTCACCTCGCTTGCTCTGGTGCATCTTCGAAGGATTAGCTTCAGCTTTATGCCTCGCTCACCAAGGACGTCTTCCTGAAAACACCCACCGACGGCCGAAAATCGTTCCTGTGATACATCGAGACATCAAGCCTGCAAATATACTGCTGGCGGCTCCACATGCTGATGTTTGGCCCGAGCTTCCGATTGTAAAACTCGCTGACTGGGGCCTTGTGGTTCCAAAGAGCACCGGCGATCACCTCACACGGCGGGGAGGCACAGCCGCGTGGATGGCGCCAGAGGTTTTGCCATATGAAGGATCAGATCACTCGTTGTACGGGCATCATGAGCCCTCGGAAGCCTCCGACATCTGGTCACTCGGTCGGGTAATGCTTGCACTGGCCAATCTTGACAAGGCCAACGTGAAACCTTTCCGGTTTGGTATGGCGCCTCCCACGTACGGATCTGGGGTGCAAGAAAGATTGCCGCCTCGAATGGTTGCGCTGATTGATCAATGCCTAGAGACTGAGCCAAACGATCGGATCAAGTGTGGCGTCCTTTGGAAGAATATTCAAGCTCAGGTTGCGACTTTCAAAGGACCGTTCGGACAGCCTATGAAGATGAAGAAACGCGAAGAAGATGAAGTCTTGCTGTACCAGCATGACAAGTACCGAGCTTGGGGTCGCTGAGATTACTGCCTCTTTGCGCGGCTACCTTTTGCTCAGCTACACGCCTACAATCCCAGTTTCTCTCTCCACTCTACCCCTTCTTCTTTGGCCCAAGCGATGCTTCGCTCTCTGAAGATTTCTACCACCTCTCCGACGATGACATGCGTGATGTAGCTCTTCTTTGTACGATGCCGATCCACACGCGTCTTAACAGCCCGCTTCAGCTCGGAATTGATCTTCCTGACATCGACCGTGATCTCCACCAGCCAGACGACTTGTCTGAGCAGTAGCATACTCCAATCCAGCTCATTCTCTGGCTCGTCCGTGTCACTGGTCTTGGGAATGATTCCCGTATCGATCAGGTCTTCTGCCTTTATCCCGCAGCGCGCGCGGATGTAGGACAAATAAAGAGCTTTGTTGAACAAGGACTTGCCGTGGGTTTCGATGCGATAGGTGACTCCATCGTATTCCACCTCCTCTGGCTCGTCGTCGGCTACTTCGTCGCCTCCGTATGTAGACATTGCGATGGAGGAATGCTCGTCGTCACTCGCAATCTGAGCCGTGTTAGTCCATGTGAGTTGGCTCAAGTGAGCAAGAGATTAAACTTACATTTAAGTCGCTCTCCGGTGTGTCCGTCATTGTCACTCCGTCCTGCTGCGATGCGGAGCTGGTGTTGGGCTGGAAAGTATTGCTTGAGCCACCCTCGAGCATCGCAAAAGCCCACTGTTTCTTTCTGTGTCGACGAGGAACTTTTGCTGGTGGCGGTATTGTAGTCAGGCCGCTCGACTCGCGAAGGCGCTTCGCCTTCTTGGATCGTGCGCGAGACATGTTGGTGGTAGAGTGCGATGGAGTTGTTGTCGCGGAGGTTTCGAGGTTGTGCTTGTTTTGTGCCGCCTGGGGCTCCACTTCAAGTTTTGCGTGTGCAGCGTTTGCTTCGCCCTTCACTTCACTTCACTTCGTTTCCTTGGCGCGCATGCGCACTTGACACTCCACCCACCATATCCCGCGGCACCGGCCCATAGACTTCCATCCGGATTGATCATAAGAAATTGAGTCCTGTGCCTCGCTGCTGTCGCTGCTATGGAAAGCAGGTAGAAATGTTAACAATATCATTCTGTTAAAGTCTAGGGTATCATCAAGGTCTACGTCCGGCCCAACCTGTCCCAGCCTCGCTATGCTTTGAATCCCAGGAACCTCTATCCTCAAGTCCGATGCTGTCGATGTTTGGTACTCGCAAGCCCCTCATCTGCTCAATCGTCGTCATCATCTTTCTCCTTCTTACTGTCCTTCTCATCATCTTGCTCTTTCTTCTTCTCCGACTTCTTCCTTTCCTTCCTCAAGGCCTCTCTCACCTTCTCATCCCCTTCATCCTTCGTCTCATCCCATTCAACATCATACTCCTCCGCGACCATCTTGACCTCCCGGCGCAAGCGGTTGCCCTCTTCGACCAACATCTCCCACTTAGGCAGATCGAAACCTTTCGCGCTGTACAGCTGCGCTTGCCGCCGGCTGACAGTGAAGTTCATAGCGCTCTTATAGCTGACTTCTCTGTTGTGGTAGAGGAACCACATGTAACCTCCTATGATACCAGTCAATCCCACCAGATATGTGACAGGCTCCATCGTGTCCCATCCTAGTTCTGTTTCGAAAGTCAGATAAAATACTATTCCCCACCAGCCTACGAGGCCTGTGAAGCCGAGACGGGCGACGTTCTTCGCTCCGCGATGGGCGAGCTCATCGCACTCCTGCTTGATATCCGCCATACTCGAGATTCGCTTAGAGACCTTTCGTAATCGCATTCGAAGATAGTATGTGCGGTCGTGAAAGCTGGGGACGCCGACATAAATGGGTTCCGGGGCGCCTTCGATGTCGACAGCAAATTCCTTGCCTCTAGCCGCGTCTCGAATAAAATCGCCAATCTCGGTGGATGGGCTCCAGCGCACAAAGTTAGGATGCGAAGAATCTGCTGGTGGTGCCTGTTCATCTTTCTCGCTTCGCTTGTCCTTCTGTGAGCCTGATATGACTCCGGTCTTCTCCCGCTTGCCGTCCACCATAGTCTCGTCCGCACTTTGCATCGACTCTTCTTGCTCAACTTCCTCTGCCGCTTCTCTAGCCTTCTTGTGCTCTTCACGTGTCTCGTCTGGCCCCATGCTTTCTTCCATGCTGTCTTCTGCTCGAAACGTCACGTTCGGTGGCCGTGACTTCCCATCTTTGCCCTCGATGAAGGGAATCTCGCTCTGGATCAGTCGTTCTAAGTAGCTCAACGGCTGTTGAGGATGAACCAATAGTGCCAGTGGTTCCACATCTTTGCGGTCATTGTTGGTGTCTCTCGTTGTCAGAGGTACTATCAGCTTTAGCATCCTGCTCGGTGTTGTCAAGAGCTTTCCCTTAGTCATGGCTCCAGCACTCCGCTGCCTTGCCACTGGAGGCACATCGCTACCATCGTGCATCCACGGACTTCGCGCTTGCAGTTCCTTCGACTGCTCCTGTACGCGCTTGAAGTGATCCTTCTCTTGCTGCGTGACATTGTTGGATAGATTCGAGGCAGGCTGGGAATAATGACTGTCGGGAGCAGAAGCTGTATCGAATGGCTTCTTCTGTTCTCTGACTCTAGAAGGATCGGTTGTAGCGAACAGTCGTTGGAGGCGAAGTTGCGATGCGGTGGCTGATGTCGCGGCGGTTCTCCAAGCTCCCGTCCTCGATATGAGTAGGCCCTGTGCGCGCGGAGCAGCTCTCACAGCCAGCCGCGACAACAGCGGCTCCATGATGAGAGGGCTAGGGATCACAAAGGTGTGTTGCAAGCGAATGCATGTTGCATGTCGCAAAGGAGAAAGTGAAGCACATGCGAATTCAAGGATTCAGAGGATGATGTCACATTTCGTAGGTGATTATCATGGTCGCGTGGCAGTACATCGGGACAAGAAGCATGTATGTGCCAAAGTGAGCATACTAGCCATGGTAAAAGAGTATGAGACTGTGGTAAGTAGAAGGTTGAAGAAGATGGTATGTATCTGAATTTGAAGAGCCCATGGCCGGAGACTTGGTCGGAGCAATATAACACCCACGCAGGTGCTCAAGCTCCAGCTTCATGATGCCTGTCCAAGCTCTTTAACGGGCTAGGGAATAGGAACAAATTGCCGTTTCTGGTGTGAACCGTATGTCTTCGTGGTCGCGTAACTGTCGTATGATGCAAAGCTTCAGAACTCTCAAGGCCAAACTTCCTGTCATCGGTTCATGAGCACAATGCCGCCCAACAGCTGCAACGCAACGACCATGCCAATCGCCTTCATCCAATTTACAACAGCTGCTCGTATCGCGTCCGCCTCGACAATCAATATGGTGCCACAATCTCCTGCTTCTGTAGTTGGTAGCCCGGGCCCTACCGCAACCAGCGTCTTACAATACTGTCCCGCGTATCCTTGGTTCTCGACTGTAGTCTGAGGTTGCTGGTAGTACGTAGTCACGGCTGCCGGGGCCACCACTACAGTTGTAGGCTGCTGCTGCTGATACACAGTGGTAGTCGGTTGCGCGTAGCCTGAGCACGTCTTGCCATTCGGACAGCAGGCGACCTGGCTATTTGCCCAAGAGCAGTAGTTGTCGGCTGGACAGCAGCTGAAGAGCAAGCCTGTTAGTATGCTCCTCTGACAGATACCCATCGGGCAAGGTAGGACTTACTAGTAAGGCTGTTGTATGTTTGTACAGCTGACAGGGTAGTTCGCTGGACATTGCGCCTGCACTGCTGGAGACCCGGCTGCATTCCCACTATTACCACCGCCAGACGTCCCACTGTATGTCCCTTGCCCATTGACAATTTGTAATGATCCAGTGAAGTTCTCCACGTTCTGTGCCAGTACCATCGTCGAAGCGCTCAACGCAAAGATTATCGCACTCCATATGCGCGATCGCATCGCATCGCAACTGAAGCGCATCATCCTGGTGATTCGGGCTCGAGCTCAAGCTTGTGTAAATCGCGTCGAAGGGCTTTTCTTTTCCGTCTGGTGTATTCTGTTTGCGAATCCCGGCAAGCAATACAGTAGCAAACACAGCGGCAGCAACCTCCTCCAGCCCTACCCAGCACGCAAGCAGACGAGGCGATAGACTTTCGCGACAACGAACGGAGAACAGGTGAACGACAGGTTGGGGATAGGAAAAAGGAAGAAGGAAGGTCGGTAGGTCAGCCGCTCTTACCAGTTTCATGCGCATCCACCTCGATCAAGGTCAGCCTTCTTGTGACGGAAGCTTGCATATAGGACTATCCCGGCCTTCCGCGGCTTGTGAGTTTCTGTTGGGCACTGGGCAGCGGGCAGTGCTCGCAGGGAAGCGACGAAGCCCGGCGGACTCGTATGGTGTTTACGCGTACTGATCATGGCTGGACGATGCCCAGTCTGGCGTACGTATGTTGTTCGGTACGGGCGGTAGTGAAGACTTCTTTTCTTGGGAGCTCGAGCATCCGAATATCAGATGGCTGGAGGAGCTCGAGCTTCATGCTTGACACGGCGCTAGTGTGAGCTTTGACGCTATCGATATCGGCTTTGGTGCTCATTGGTGGTATGCTTCCGACCTCCGACTGCGTCAAATATTGATGTCTCCATCTGTTCACACTCCCATTCCATTATCATCCGATCAAACAACGACCGCAAGACGCGCCGATGTGGGCGAATAGGATGCGCATCAAGACCACCGGTTGCCAAGCACTTGCAGAATGTGCTATATGGCAGATATGTCCTGCCATTGCAGTTGAACGAGGCTGTCCGTCACTGCTGGTCCAACAACGCCTGCCCTCTTTGCCGTAATTCAGCACTTTCCAGCGTCTGCTTCTCTCCACCATTCACAGCAATGTCAACCATCGCCGCCGCAAGTTCCTCTTTTGGAATCCACCAACCTCCGAAGACGAACGACCACAAGGGCTTGCCGGTCGTCACAGCCGCGGGTCGCACTATATACGACTTCCATTTTTCACCATGCTGCTTCTCGAGATCAACGACGCCAATTTCGACCACACCCTGTGCATCGTCAGCATGAACTCCAGGTGCAAGAGCGACATCTTACCCTTAATTTGCGCGTCTTATCCAGGAACCACAAGCCCGCATCCTGGTCGCGTACAACAGCAGCTCCGCTGGTATACAAGTATCGGAATTGCTTCCCCTTCTCCAGCGTCGGCAGGACATTCTCGGCGAATGCTTTGGTCGCTGCGAATGTCATATCATTGTGGACGTCTTTGCCTTGAGTCGGAGTGCCAAGGACCCAAATACAGGCTTCGGCCCCCGCAAGCTGATCCAGAACATCTTTGTCGTAATGGAGAAAGTCTTTGATAATGATGGTCTTGAGTTTGGCGTTTTTGATGGTGAGTTCTCGTCGTGAAAGCACGATGATAGATGTTACTGCCGGCACGGTCAAGAGACGTTGAAGAACTGCTCCGCCAATGTGGCCTGTTGCACCTGTGAGGATGACTTTCATGGTTGCAGGATTGCCAGGGTTGGTAATAGGTTCAGGCTGAAAGTTTCGTGTGATGTGGTCCACTGACAGAGAAGTCAACGAACCTAAGAGCATAGAGCCTTCTTTATGGGGCTCCTGCACTCAATGAGTATTTGGTGTATTCTAGGACGCGCGCCATTGTAGCCTGCGAGCTATCGCAGCCACGGCCGGATTCGTAGCTATTCGCGAGAAGGATTCATCGGATTGTTGTACGAATGTCGTCAATGCGAACGGGAGCGGATGAACTTTGGAAGCCGTGAACTTCGCTTTCGGTTGAGCGGAGTCGGCTCCTACTACTGCACACCATGCCGCCGGGTCGACCTAGCCCATGGACTGGCAAGGATATCATCGTGAGGTTCAATGAGTGTTCGGAGTATCACTAGCCGACGTTTGATGAGCAGGGCGCGCCGTCGGCCAATATGCACTTTCACCTTTTCTTTTCCGCAGCAGTCTTCGACCATTTCATCAAGCTCAGGTTACTCACTATCATTTGCTCCAATCAACATTCATCATGGCGAACAAGCAGACCGGCATCGAGCATCGTACGCTCCATGAACTCTCCGGCGCCGAAGCAGTCTCCTTGATGCAATCTGGCGAGCTAACATGCGAGACTTATGTGACAGCATTGTTGGCTAGAGTTGCCGAGCGAGATGCAGCCGTACGAGCTTGGGTGCATCTCGATAAAGCACAAATCATGAATCAAGCACAAGATTTGGACCGAGTACCTGTCGGCCAACGTGGTCCCCTCCATGGCTTGCCAGTTGGCATCAAAGATATCATGTTGACCAAAGACATGCCGACGCAGTACAACTCGAAGCTATTCGAAAGCACAGAACCAATTGCAACAGACGCGGCAGCAATTGCCGTGCTACGAGCTCGAGGGGCATTGATATTTGGGAAGACCACCACAACTGAGTTCGCTTCTTCGAAGCAAGGAAATTGGCATCAGAATCTGACGAGGAACGCTCATGCAGAAGATAGAACTCCAGGAGGATCCTCTTCAGGTTCAGGAGCAGCTGTAGCTGATGTTCAAATTCCAGTGGCGTTAGGAACGCAGACGGGAGGGAGTATAATCCGGCCTGCAGCATTCAATGGGTGCTACGGATTCAAGCCGACTTGGGGAGCTGTCTCGCGAGAAGGAATTGGACAGTGGAGTACGACGAATGATACATGTGGCTTCTTCTCGCGGACCATCGACGATCTGAAGCTCTTGTTAGATGCATACAGCATAGAAGATGACACTCCTCCACGACAGTTCACTATCAAATCTTCACGCATCGCTTTCTGCAAAACATCCTTATGGCCCAATGCCGGACCTGGAACACAGAGCGCGTGGGAGAAAGCAAAAACTTTGTTGACCACCGAAGGCGCCCAAATAACAGATCTCGAACTCCCAGAAGATTTCTCCCACCTCAACGACTGGCACGACATCATCATCGCGAAAGAAGGTCAAGCATCATTCCTCGGAGCCTACCTCGCAGACAAATCCAAACTCGAAGATTCCATCCAGGGCCACGTCGAGGATCGGAAGAAATACACACGGAAACAACAGTCAGAAGCATATGATAATTGTGCCCGATTAAGATCTGTATGGGATTCGATCGCGGGGCAATATGAAGTGGTCGTTGTACCTTCTGTGCCGGATGAGGCGCCGCTTGGACTGGAGTGGACGGGCGATATGAGCTTTAATTCGATGTGGACTGTTCTGCATTGTCCGGTGATACATGTTCCGGGATTTAAAGGGCAAAGTGGTATGCCTGTTGGGTTGTCGTTGGTTTCCGCGAGATTTACGGATCAACAATTATTGGAGACTGCTCAGGTTATAGGGCAGTTGTGGCAGGAGAAGGGAAGCGATGGAACTATACCGGAAAACAAAAAGTTGGAATAATGCTCAAGGTGCTAGTACTCAACGCTCGATGACATGGCCTAATGACTGTTCTTGCCGGCGACAACAGCGCGTCCTCCTCTCAAAGCCACGAGCTCCCTCCACAATGGTGGTCGCAAATAAGCTGCCTTTGTGCAACCTCCTCGTCAGCTTGCAGAACTATTCATTTCCCCAGCAGATCACGCGGACATTCTCCTCGAGCATGCATGCACTCCAGACGCAAGGCACCGACTCCCACAACTGCCATCGCTGCCATTGATGCCACTGACTCGAGGACCGGATAAGGCCCGGCGCGTATTGCGCCATATGGAAATGACTCGCAGACCCGGATATCCACGCAAGCAAACCCTTGTGTCTCAAAGCCTGGTCTATCGAGACTCCACACTGAATGCTTCGATCACCAGCACGCGTTCTCAATGATTAGGTCGCGTCGATAAGGGTTTGGAGGTAGGAGCAGATGGTATTGAAACAGATGGACTGGAGGTGTCAGAAACCGAATCGAAAAAAATACATTCAACCTCTGAAAATCTCGAGAAGAAAAAAAAAGAGCGGTGACCAGCCACTTTCAACTCCTCAAAAAGATGGCCACAGGCGGAAGCGATATGGGTCTCTTGTTAGCATCAAGCTTCGCGAGAGAGAATTCAAAATGGAAATCAAGATATGCACTATTAGGTCTCGATTAAGATGGACGACCCGGTTACACGGCATCCACGTAGTACATACTCCCAAGCAAGCGTGCCCGAAAAGAGGAGAAGCATACTACTCCAGACCCATCTCGACTCACGAACAGAGAGTAGAACAATAGAAAACCGTTGAGCCATGCGCCTGGGACTGAGCACGAGTCAAAATGAACGAGATACCGGCAAGCGTGGTGACGAACGCCATGTGCTCGGAAGTCATCGCGAGTCGAGAAGAGATCGTGCCTTTCGTGTCCGACTTCAACGGGTTCTTCCCTCTCCATACAGAGCAAGAAGCTTTGACTGCGATATTTGATCTATAATACTATTCTGTTAAGAAATATCTGAAACATGGAGGTTCTCTCGCAGGGGTGTGCCTTGAACGAGGGTGGAGAGTAACGAGGATAATGGAGGACGAGGCTGGACTTCATCTCTTTCCGATAAGATTTAGAAGGTGCAGAAGGTGGAGGGATATCGGATGGAGATGATGATACTGTGGGTATAAGGCGAAAATTGAGGTAAGTTGCGTCGAGGTGAGGTGAGGTTGGGAAGGCTTGGCGTTTCTCGCTGCTCACTATGGCGAACTCAGGTGAGGTGCTGTGGTAGCAGGTCAGTCCAAGATCATCCACTGCTATGCCAAGCAGTGTTTCTGCTAAGTCGATGCATTATTCCGAGAAGCGCCTTCGCCGGCACCGACCAGACCGTGGTGGCTTACGTTCCCTCACTGTAGCCCGATAACAATGCCCGACGAAGTCTCATGACCATACGCTGAGTGCAGCACTCGCGGTCCGTAGCTTGCAAATCCGGGGTTCGAGCTGAGAGTGGCAACGAAGGATCAATGAGGGTCTTCGTTCAGTTGCATGAGCTGCAGTTGAAGGTATCTCGCAGTACGCGTCGAAAGCATATCCAGCTTGCGTTGTGCTAACGACCACGGATCAGCGACAGTTGCTCGAGCAGCAGACTCATTGCAGAACGGATACATACGCGTTCGCCACTGCGCAAGTACCACTAGATCTGGTAGTCGATCACCTGCCGGCGAGCCTCGACTCGGCATCCCAAACTGGGGCGTTCTGCTGTCGATGAGACTCTCATCTCCGGCTCGGGCATGCTATCGTTGCGCTCATGTCCTATTGTATACTGGTGTGTAGTCAAGTTAGACTCCATCCATCGAACCACGTCAAAGCATGCGCGATCTACTGTGCAGTGACAGGAAGTTCTGCTCATGCTCGCAGCACATCTTTGACATGCCAGCGCACACCAACCCACGCGCAGGCAAACAACCAAGCGGCAAGGGCAGAGTTGCCACGCAGCAGCAGTATGACGGTCATCGTGCTGCGTGCATGTCACGTGGAGTGCGTTGTATGGCGCAAGAGCTGACTCGTCGTGCATGGATGCCAGTTGATTGTGGTTGAATTCTTCGAATGACCTGCATATGGGTGGGGTGTTGTGCATGGGACTTGATGGCCGGATCCGTTGATGTCCCGGATGGGGACGCATGCGTTCTGGTTACACGCACCTTGATTTGATGTCTCTGCAGATGTGACATTGGGATCTACCATGGTCCACGCTCCAGACTCGAAGAGCGCGCGCGTCGTATAGTGCTGATGCTGGAGGTGATCATGTGCGCGCGACGAAGTCTGGTTCGTGTCGCTGGAAGTGCGGATGATACGAGGGCTGTGCTGCACGTAGCCGAGTGGTGAGAGGGTGAGACTGCACGAATGTTAGGCGCCGGACCTCGCTGTCGCCTGCTGCAGTGAGCGCCGAGCACGAGGCCACACGTCGTGAGACAGTGCGCAGCATCACGTCGCTATCGTAGGCTCGATGATCACCGGGCCCTCATGTTCCTGCATTTAGCTTTCCCAGCATCCTGCTCGGAGCGAGCGTGTCGTACACGATCGACTTTCTTACGTCAAGTGTAAGCTGAGATGAAGCTGAAGCAAGGCACGCAGCGAGCCGTCCGGGAAGGGCAATGGTGACGGCGACTAGGAAAGACGGTGAACGGAGTCTAAGCCGCAGACAGCTTCTCTCGAGTGTTGCGCCGAACTTGGCTCATGAAAGCTACACGACCATGCGTTTCAGAGAACCGGTAGATTCGATGGGACTAGTCGGCCGTGCAGGCTTGCAGGTCACGCATTGGATGCTCGGGATGACCTTGCGGCAGCACGCCGTGGAGGAACAGAGCCTCGCCCAGCGCATGCGACTTTGAGACACAGCTGCTGCAGGGCCGGCGGTCGGGAGAAGCAGGAAGAGAGAGGGCAGAGTGTCGGCATGTCTTGGAGCGGCGTACACGCGCGCGTGGAATTGACAGTGAGCGCACTGGGGGCCGCAGATGTCTCGGGTTGAGGGAATAGTGGTACAGCGACGGAGGGAGCAGTGGGAAGTAACGAGTGGGTGTTATAGCGACCCTGCAGGACGCAGCGCAAGTGATATTGGACGGCAGCGGCGCAAGCTTCGTGATATTGCGCGAGTGGACCTTGTCCGATCGAGGACAGCAGCAGACCAGCAGCAGAAGCAAAAGCGGGCGAAGTAGCGGTGTTGCACGTGATGGGCGCTTTTGCACCGCACCTTCCCAGTCGCAGTCGATCGCGGCTTGCCGATTTTGGACCCTGGTCGGGACAGCTGCGTGGGCCTTGGCGGGACAGTGCGGGCGGGCAGAGCAGGCAAGAGCTCGTCGGCGCGCGCAACACAGGCCAGCAGCGGCGCGGTGCGCGGCGGCGGTGGTGGAAGAGGGCGAGATGTGGTTGTTCGCACCTCACACCATCCGTATATATGTCTGCCCATCGCCTGCGCGACAGGATGGTGACGAGCAGCGCGCCCGCGATGGATGGCCCGCGAGAACAGGCGGCTGCCAGCTCATCGAGCAGCCTACGG